CCCCCCTTTTCTCTCACGGCCAAGGGAATTACAGTACTTCGTACATGCCATGCACCGAGTCTCGTGCTCGGCAGCTACATTGACCAAGGGCAAACGTCGTCGCACCACATGGCAAGCCTGCACGCACAATGCACAAGGCACCAAGCACAGCAGCAGGCGACCAACACGACCCCCAGGCCCAAGGCAAAGAAGCACAGCCGCCGCCGCGCATGACGCTCAGTCAGCGCTGCGGTCTTGTCGCCCCGCGAGGGCCCAGCGCCCAGCCTACGCGCGGGTAACAAATCAAACCGCCCGCGCCGAGGTGGAGGAATGATGGGGGACCGATGGCATGGCATGGCATGGCATGGCATCCTGGCACACTGGCACATGGGAGGATGGGGGAAAAGGAAATGGGAAATGAGGGAAAATGGCACACCGACCGACGTCCCAAAGCCAGCCCCCCCTGTCGCCCTGACAGCCTGCTTGGCCGCCTCGTCCAACCACACACGAGGGCATCGGCCAGCCACGCCGAGACAGGAAACACACGACACACCCGGACAGGGGAGGGCCGTGGCCCCAACTGATGTCATGGATCGGCACCTCGCTATGCGCCTTGTCTGACCGTCCGGTACGGTACGGTTTGGTGGATGGGCCAAACGGTGGCCGTCATGCCCGCCCCCGACGGGCCTCCAATGCTGCGTTTTCGTCGGCCGTTTTGCGGCAGCTGGCCAAGCCAGGGGCATGGCATGCCGCCCGTCGACTCAGTGAGCATTGAGCAGATGGGGCGTACGCTCCGAGCCACGACGGCGACGGCGAAGGGGGTCCCCGTTTTCCAGTCTGGTCACTTGGCTTGGCACGAGACGGGAGGCGCCGCCGCTCTCCCTCCCTCATCACAGGCCCGACCCAGAAGTAATCGCTGTCGACGGTCGCCCCCAACAACGTCAGGGAGCGAAATCTGCCTCTCCCGCCGTGGGTCGCCCGCCGCCGCCCACCCAGGAGGGAGGCGCTCAGCTGCCGTGCGCAGCTTTTCTGCTGCCACCGTTTCTGCCGTCCCCACGCACACGGTACAGTAACCACTGCACTGTACGAGGTCGGAGCGAGGCAGACGGCCTGACAGACGCCGCGCCCGCCCAGCCAACGAGGAATGACGCTCGAATTGCGATGTGCGCCGTGTCCCGTCACAGCAACAACAGAACATGGCCCCCCCGTCTGCTTGCCCCGACCGTACCCGTCCCCGTGCCCGCTGCGACGGCATGCCATGCCTCGCCTCGCGGTGGACGCCTTGACCGGTTTGCGAGGGAGGGGCAGGCAGCGCAGCAGGACGGCAGGGTCAGGGACTAGCCGTTGTCAAGCTGCCCAACCAACGCCGCGCTGTCGTTCGTCAGCGGGCGGACGTGCTATCAAACGGGCAACACGTCCGCCTGCCTGTCAACTCGCCAAGGTGCACGTGAAGCGCCGTCGCGAGGCGCAGACACCTTGCCATCCTTCGTATCGAGAGAGCCTCTGTCCGCCGGGCGTGGAAAGAGCTCACCCTCTCGCACGGCGAGGGACGGGTGTCGCGCCGTCTTTGGCTCCCACGCCCAGGCTTGCTGCCGGCCAGCCTCACCAGGAATGCTTTGTTTGCTCAGCAACGGGTCATAAAACGTCATCGGCCGGACCCTAGGCGGCCTGGTGCGTCCCATCCGTTTTGCCTCGTCCCCCGTACCCCACGGTCTCGGGCCTTCCATTGGCCTTCTAGACGGCCGGGGTGGTGGCCCGTGATGCTGAGGCTCGCCCCCTTGCGCACCCCGTCCGCTGCACCACTGTCGGTCGGCCGTGTTCGCCGGCCGCCGCCTCTTCGCCTCATCGTGACGCTCGTCGTGACGGCCCGGAAACACCTGAGCTCGTCGCCGCACGCGTCGACCCCGGGTCATTGCGCCCCGGGCCAGTGTGCGAGCACCCGTGCTTGCGCTTCAGCTCGTCCTCGTTTCAGGTCCTCGGGCCGTGTGTATGCTCTGCCGACTGACGGGCATGAGTTTTGCTTCCTGCGACGAGGCTTGCGTGCGTCTGAGCGTCGCGCAAGGGAAACGTGTGTTTTGCTTCTGCCCCGATAATCGCTGATCTTGAGCAGAAGCAGGCCGTTGTACCAGGATGGCTCTCCCACTCATCCACGAGGTGCCGCGCCGACCGCTGTGTCGACTGTGCTACGACGGCCGGTTGAGAAACAGTCACATGGCGACGGACGGCCGTCTGCCTCGCGCCGTCGATCCTCGCCTTGCCAATGCTGCGTGCGCCCGGCACCAATCCCTTGCCGCCCTTGGCCGATTTCACACGCGCATCACACCATCAGGCCAATCTCTGCGTCGCGGCGCGCGCTGATCTGGATGTCATCATGCAGGCTTACCAATGCGACGGCCCGTCGTCTTCCCTCGTGGCTGGTCTGCCCGAGCCTTGGCCGGCTCGTTGTCGTCGCCATCCTGGTGGTCAAGGTTCATCAAGACTTGTGTGCCTGTCTGGGCGGCGCATGCCAACTCATCCACCTTGATGTCATCAAGATCTGCCGACAATGATATGCACCGGTGGCGCGCCGGCAGCGTCTCTCGATCGGCGCTCTCGAGCACGCAGAGGCCAGCAGGGAGGATATTTTTGGGCAAAATCACACCGACGGGTGTAAGTCTTGCTAGCCGAGCAGAGCGCCGAGAGCAGCCCAACTACCGACGCAGCCTTGCACGTCTGCCGAATATCGCGCATCACGGCATCTAACGGGAGCGAAGTCGGGGCCGGCACGACTCCACGGCGACGGTTTGTTCAACGTCCTGGGCCTATAATTAGGACCGCCGGCGTCGCCGGCCAGGCCAAGGCTCTCGTCAACGGCGCCGTCATAAATCACCACCACCCGCCGCCACTCTCATCCTTGTGCGTAGACCCTTTCTGGAGTCCGGACCGAATTGTCATTGCACGCGCCCGTGAAGCATTAGACAATACATCCTGAATGGCGCAAACGCCAACTACACGCCGACTTTTCTGGCCCTTGACGCTATTTTCGTCCCCCGTAGACGCCGAGGCGGAACTTCCCTTCAATTACCGCCGACTTTGAATCGCCTCGCTGGCCATGCTCCTCGCCTGCCCCATGCCACGATGCTCCTACTACGAGCGACTCTCCGACGAGCAACTCGTTCTGCTCGGCATCCAGCCTCCCGATACGCCCAGTCTACTCGGCCCATCCGTCTCCCGCGCCTCGCATCCAGTTTACGGCAACGAGGGTGAGCTTGTGCTGTTCTACAAAGGCAGGCGCGTCAAAGGAGCGCCGCTGCGGAAACTCGTGTCCGCCGACGTCCGCCTCGGTGAGGTCGAGGCCGTCGGGCTCGCGGAAGAGCAGGAAGAGGTAGCGGTGCGGGTTGGACCTGCGGCGTTCCTTCGTTAGTTCTGCTGCGCGTTTTCCACTGTTCGCTGCCAGTGGCTTCTTCGCAGATGTCGTGATTCTACTCATGTGCCAAGGGGTGTGTTTGGGTGAGTGCGATTCATCCGCTTGGTTCGCCGGCACTCGACCGTCCTCGCCCGTCCAGAGTCCTCCTGCCGGCAGCACATTCACGAGAGGAAGCGGAGTGAGGCAAGATCAAGAGGCGAACGTACGAATCCTTGGGCCCCGGGCCGAGATAGTCGGTCACGGCGGGCTTGGTCTGCGCGACGACGCCGTCGACGCCCGCGAGGGGCTGCAGGCCGGGGAGCACCCAGTGCCGCCAGAACGCAAACTTGGGGTCCTCGGGCGTCGGCGCGTCGGGGTCCACGAGCATGAGCGTGTAGGACGCGCTCGACGGGACGTTGGCCTGTCTCATTCAATGCCGTCATCAGTATAAGCCTTGTGAATTCCCACGCGCCCCTGTATATCACCGATGCACACAGACGCGCACACACTGGAGGCAAGGGGCTGCTTGCACTCTCTCGGCCTCCTTACGCCGCTGATGGATGGGGAAGAGGGGAGAGGAGAAGGGAATATAGCTCCGCACCTCAGGCTCGAAGCTGATAAACGGCGCGAGCTTGCACTCGTACGCGCGAAACAGGTTCCCGAGCTCGACCTGCTTCCCGTCGTAGGCGACGGCCAGCGCGGTGCTGGGCTTGAAGTCGGAGGGGATGAGGCCGGAGGCGCAGCCAGGGACGAGGTCGGCGCGTAGGAGCGACGTGGCGAGCTGGTCGTCGCCGCTGGGGGTAGCCATGGCTGGGCTGACTGGCAGGCTACGCGGGCGGGCTGGCTTCACGGAGGGGCTGAGTGAGTAAGTGTGTGGGTGAGCTTACTGGTGGTGCCCAGGACGTCGCGGAGATGACTCCTTTCGTGTACCGTTGTGTCGCGGATGAGCGGCCCGTCGTGAGTGAGTGAATGAGATGTGGTCGCTGAGGGTTCGAGGCCGGTTGTCAAGTGACGTGCGTGGAGGCCGCCGATGAGACGTGTGAGTGGTGGAACAATTGGCGGCGGCTGAGCTGGCAGGCGCCAGGCTGCGTGACCAGAGGCAGACCATCCAGCTGCGCCGTCTGTTCCGTACAGAATTCGGTATTGAAGAATATCCATTCGTCGCCACGCATCACACAGTTACTGTAATTCGGATAGACTCGATTGGCGCAATGATAACAGCATTCATTATTTCGTCCTACGAGATCCAGCAGCAGACGAGCGGCAACAAAGTCCCGCGCCGTTGTTCAACCCGGGATGGTGTAGGGTAGCGCCTCCGGGGGCTCCGGACGGACCGGGCCGGGGACGTGGGTCGCCCGGGCCAGCCAGGCCGGCCTCGGTCCGCCCAACTTGCCTGTTTTGGAAGCATTGAAGAGGGCCACTCGGTATGAGTGGACAGCACACCCACAGAGCTGCATTCAAACACAGTCTTCGAGCTTGAATAGCTGCTTATCGAGAGCACAGACACTGCCATCGGTGAAGTAGGGGCGGGACCCCTCGTGCCGTGCTCCCCCGACAACGCCGTTACCACATGCGCTCCCAGCACCGCCGCCAAAACGGCATCGCCGCCAGCACCGCCCGCCAATTCTCATCCAGCCCGCCCTCCTCCCAAACCCTGCACTCGGCATCCGCCTCGGCCTTGCCGGCCAGCAGGTCTGCCTCGCGCGGGCTCACCAGGCGCGTCCGCCGCCACACCTTCCAGAAGATAAACAGGCCCGCGCTGTACGGCAGGCAAAAGTAGCTCGTGACGAAAGCCTGCGCGCTGAACGGGCCGAAGGCGTCGAAGCCGATGAAGAGCAGCGCCGTGCAGCCGAGCGCGAGGGCGCCGCACGCGGGCCAGGGGCCAAAGGGCGCGACGTACGGCAGTTGTGAGGGGTGTGCCGGGTGCGCGCTTCCGCCAAGGGACGAGTCTCTGGCTTGAGCGCGGCGCGCGCGGTACCACCCCAGGTAGACAACGAGCATGGCCGTGTAGGTGGCGATGAGGCCCGTGGTCGTGAGGTCGACGAACCAGTAGAAGACGGAGACGGCCGACGTCGACGACACGAGGAAGGTGATGCAGGTGACGAGCGAGACGGCGAGGACGCAGTACACAGGCACGCCCGAGGTGGTGCAGCGCAGGAAGATCCGAGGGGCCTGGCCATCTGCAGATCATGCCTTGTCAGCTAGCGCGAAACTTATTCCGCTCAAAGACTCATCATCACGTAGGCTGCAGAGTGCACAACAAAGCGGGTGGCGTGCGTACGTACCCCTGGCGAGCCCGTACAGCGTCCGCGACGACGCGTACAGGTACGCATTCCCGCACGACCAGCCCGACAGCAGGATAAACGCGTTAATCATGTCAGGCAGCCCCCCGATGCCCAAGTTCTGTATGCCAATAACCCACGGCGACGCCGCCGCGCCGACGCTGTCGCTCCCTCCCTGCACCGCGCCCATGAGCCGCTCGTCGCGCGAGCTGCAGATGACGCCCACGGCGAGCACGCCGACGACGTAGAAGCCCACGAGGCGGTAGAAGATGAGGCGCGCCATGCGGGGGATGGTGCGGCGCGGGTTCTGGATCTCGCCGGCCGCGAGCGCCATCATGTCCGGGCCCGAGATGGTGAAGCCCGCGTAGATGGTGGCCTTCCACCAGCCGAGGAAGCGGCCGAGCGCGACGGGGTGCTCCACGCGGTACGGCTGCATGGCGAGCCCGCCGGTCCAGTGCCGGAAGCCGTAGGCGTCGTGGCGCGGGTTGCCGCCGCACATGGTGACGAGGGTGAGGAGGATGAGGAAGAGGAGGAGCAGGAGCTTGGTCGACGCCATGAGGAACTCGGCCTCGCCGTACCACCTGCCACAACATCCATAGTATTAGCCACCGAGAAACGGAGTTTGTGCAAGGGGAGAGCAACGTTTGCCCAGAAACAACGAAGCACAAGAGCAGCCAAGATTCTCGCCCCCAACGCTCGTCAACGTGAAGGGGAGAGAGAGGGTTTGCCAGCACAAAAAGGAGGGCAGACGACCATGACGCACTCACTTCACAGCCACCACGTTGAGCAGCACGCACACCACCATGGCCACGGCGATCCACACCGCGGGGTTCACGTCACTCGCCCAAAACTGCATCACCGTCGCCACGGCGCTGTACTCGACGCACACGAGCATGACGCCCGCGTACAGGTACGTCCAGCCCATGGCGAAGCCCAGCGCCGGGTCGACGAAGCGGCCCGCCAGCTCGAAGATGCTCCCGCGGACGGGCAGGTAGGCGCACATCTCGGCGATGCACAGGTTGCACGGCCACACGAAGAGCACGCCCCAGAGCGCGTACGCGAGCAGCAGGCTCCCCGGCCCGGCCTTGGACAGCACCCCGCCGATGCCCACGAAGAGGCCCGTCCCGATGGACCCGCCGATGGCCATGAGCTGGACGTGCCGCGGGGAGAGGCCGCGCTGCGTCTGGCCGTAGGGGCTGTTCCCTGGCGTTGATGGCTCGTTTGTTTTGCCGGCTGTCGGTGTTGCTGTTGTTTCTGCTGGTGCTCCTCCTCGCTCCTCCGAAGCATCGTCGTAAGGGAGGACGACGCCGACGGACGTGTCCACGGTGAGCTTGTCCGTGGCGAAGACGCCGCCAGACACCGGCTTCGCGACCATGTCGATATCCAAGTGCTAGCTCAGCACGATCGTTTTCTCGTAGCCAGACGTAACGAGCAGTTGAACGACAACCCTCCGCCGTGAAGGTGAACAAGATGCCTGTCTGTACTCGCGACAAAGACCCCGCGAGGCATCTGAGACACAGCGCGCGACTCCAGATTGGGCCCATGCCAAACTTATAGAGCAGCACTACTAAGTTACTCCGCCGCTGATCCAAACTTCCAAAGGCGCCCGGCGCGCGAGGGGCCCGAGGCGGCACACGCTGCCAGCCTCGACGGACACAATGCCGCTGGCCCGCTGGGCTGGCCGGGTCATCCTTGACCACCACCCGTCATTGCCCCGATGGGCCTCGACTTATCCGTGCGCGCGCGCGCATCCCTACGCTTCCCGACGTAGTGTAACCCTCTCCTTCAGCCTGGCTATCCGCGGGGGAGGGGGCGCAGGTGGATTGCGCTGCAGATAGGCAATACTAGCAAAACCTGAGATAAGCGTTTTGCGCGGCACGGCCCGGGGGAGCGCCCCTGCCTGTCGCGTGACTTGACGAGCCCCGACGACGACGACGACGACGACGACGACGCCGGAGGTAGTTAGAGGGCGGGGGAAGGGAGACAAAGCGGGGGAAATGCAGACAGTTTTACGTTAAGGAATCGTCGCTCGTTTCGCGCGGGCCATCATCACACGCCGGCGAAGAAGAGTGGAACAGTTTGGCGCATCCAAGACTCATTGCCGAGGCCGAGCCAACTGCCGGCCTGCGTCGGCTTGGGTGTCGTTGTGTGGTGCGCGCGCGTACGGAGAACGAATGTATCTGCAGGAGACTGCAGGCTTGACCGTGAGCCGCCACCCGCGCAAAAAGAACAAAAAAAGGCAATCAGATGAATTGTGCGCGGGGCGAAAAAGGGGCGCGGATGACTTACACGTCGGCGGCGTCCAGGCATTTCCCATGTTCAAAGCCAAAAAAAAAAAAAAAAAAGTCCGACGTCCCCCCCGGATGGCCAATGTTCGTGAATGCTGGTTGCGTGGCTCGCTGGATGACGCCCCCAGCCGCGAGACGTTATTTCAGAGAGTCCGAAGCGTATTGCCAGGGGGAAGACCCAGGTTGACTTTTGTCTAGGACTGTGGCTCTGTGGACGGGTTCGAGTTTACCCAAGAACTCGTACATAGTCGCGAATCAGCGTGAACTTTACTCGACGTCGAAGCATCACCATATTTTGTCGCGGGTCAAGACGCTGCCTAAGTACTGACAATGGCGTTGTAGGTATATAAGAAAGAGCCAGCGTCTCCCGTAGGTAGCTGTCCTTAGGAACCATTCCGATAGCTCATCGCTCACGCTCCGAAACAAGATCCCACCATGGGCCCCCTTTTAAAAGGGCTTTTTAAGTGCGTTCGCTCTCTGGCTTATAGGCCTGCTCTGAAAATTGGCGACGCCGACGACGACGAGAGAAAGAAGCCGGCACCCGCAGGGTGGAATAGCCTACCCCTCGAGCTGTGCATCCAAGTATGGCAACATCTTGCCGACTCGGGCGAGCCTCTCGCCTCACACGCGACCGTCTGCCGGGAATGGCAGCGCCACCTCGAGAAGCACACCTTTGGCACCCTCAATGTCAAGTCGTCCGACATCGACACCTTTCGAGACGTCGTCCGAGGCGAACGCCGCAAGCACGTCCGCCGCATCAACCTCATCATCGAGCTCCCCGACAAAAGCGTCCGCCCGGCTCGGCAGTCGTTCCCCCCCGGGCTCCAGGATCCCGGTCCCTTTTGGACGACGGGAGTTCCGGCCTTGGTCGTGCGCGAGATGCTGGAGCTTACCCTCCCAGGCTTCAGAGAGAAGGCCCTTATGAGTGCCTTCATCTTCTCGCAACGATTTGACAATAACGTCGCCTTTACCCACTCGTTGTGGTTCTTCTTTCACGCCTTGAGTCTCTGGGATCCCCACGACGACGCCTCTCCCTGGGGACTAGCAGTCTATATCATCGCGCCGACGTTTAGCCTCTGGCAACGCGAAGCGGCAGCCGCCAAGAGCATTATCCAGGCAAATCCAACCTTGCAGCTGGCAGGAACGCCCACCGATTCCTGGTTGCCGCCCCCACTGAGGGACCAGATAATCCGATCGGCCGAGAGAGATTTCAACGTCAACCTCGACTGGAACTTCAGCCAGCTGTTTCGCCACGCGACCGAGGGCTCCGCCAAATCCTTCCCCGTGGCGCCGGTCGTGACTAGCCTGTGTGTCCCGAGCCTCACAGTCCGCAAAACCGCACCAAAAGTCCTCTTCGACTTGCTCCTTCGCCTTCCGTCGGTACGAGACTTTGTGTGGGAGATCTGGCCGCACGCCACGATAGACGACAAGATCGACTTCGAATACGATGTCTACGACGGACTCCGACGTCTCGAGTGTGCCTCTGCAGCTCGTCGTCTCGCCCACATTCGGCTGCACCAGGTGCAAGAGTATGACTTTGATCGGCCAGTCTACCTCGACCAGCACGTGAGACAGAGGTGCAACTCGCCTGAACTTGGTGCTGAGCTCGCCCTTATGGCTAGGCGCCTGAGGCACGTCGAAATTCTGTACCGCGTCGGCACGCACCCCTTCTTGTGCGGGACGTGCGCCTATACGCCAGTGGCCGTGCCTAGAGAGAGTGTGTACTGGGAGACTCTGCAGCGGCTCACGCTCCTGCTCGGTGAAGATATCATCGATGAAGCCCCGGCGATGGACCATGAGGTGCTTTACCATGCGGTCCGCGCGACATCGAGGATGCCCAATCTTAGGGGACTGGTGCTGTACAACGCGAACCAAGGGACAGATCAAGACTATGCACTGGTCAGTTACATGGTGCAACCAGACAGGTCAGCCACTATCTGCGTGCGATGCACTTGGGAGTTCGAGTTGGGTACGAGATTGTGGCGGGCCTGGGAGCACACAGGCCGCGAGCTGCATTTCGACATTAAAAGAGCGACGACGGCAGAGACTCGATACCTAATCAAGTACCATGCGAGGAAGAACAGCGCCGCATAGAGGCGGCGGGGACGCCGAGCACCGTGGAGAATACTACGGCGTTCAAGGCGAGGCAACAGGTGTCCCCTGATCACAAAGTCGAGCAGCATAGTGGCTGTGCCTGGACGTGTGTAGAGCGGGGCGTCTCATTCATTCCTAGCATCATGTATCCTGATATTTTCTGTATAAAACTGACATGAGCCTCCAGACTGATGGAGCTGGGGGGTGTCCCACTCACACCGCGCAATTGCATCTTAAACATCGTCCACCTCGAACCTGACGAGAACAGTGCACTTTGTCTCGCCGCCCTTCATGTCCATCAGTCGGATAAAGCTCCAGCCGGGCACCGTGTACTCAAGGCGCACCGCGGCCACCGCAAACATGGGGTTTCTTGCCCACGCGTCATCACTCTTTATGAGCATCCGCAGAAACACCAGCTCGTTGTCCTCGTACGTCCACTCGAGCGTCTCGTGCCAGAGGGGGTCCGTCGCGGGCGGGTTGCTGTCGCCTCGGTGGAGGATGCCGAGCTTGTGGTGTTTGTACGGCGACGTCTTGCGCTTATTCGTCTCGCCATCGATTTTGCACGGGCTGTACAGATTGCACGTAAGATATGGTTTAATGGAGTCGGCCTCGCGATCCTCGTGTAGCGGAATATCTGTCGCGCCAGCAACGTGCAGGCGAAGCCTCTTTTTGCGGCCCGTGCTTATGACACCGTTGCCGCCAGCGCGCAGCGCCGCTGGCTTGAGGACGTAGCCCTCAGAGCCGCTGAAGAGGGCATCGTTGAGTTGATTGCTCGTCCCAAACGTCTGCCAGTTGAGCGCGCAGATCTGGGCGCCGATGCCCCAAAAGGAGACGGGCTTGAGGTTGGACGAGCCGATGCGCGTGCCTTTGGGATATACGCGCATGAGGTGCTGCGAGTTGTGGATGGCAATGGCCGAGGAGTTGGCGGGGAGGTGCTTGGCAAGGCCGGACTCGGACACGTTGATGAGGTGGTGGTGCGGCCCGTTGACGAGCTGGCCTGGGTCGTACCACGAGTTGTCGCTCGGCTTGACGGACTGCGCGTACACGCCAAGCTCGGCCAGCTCCGGCACAATGATGCTGGCAGCCGCCTCCTTCTCCTTGCTGCTGGCCTTGTACTCCTTCCGCGCCCTCTTCTCCTCTTCGTCGTCCGACTCGGAGCTGGACGGACTGTCGCTGTCCTCGACCTCGCCCGGGATGTGGTGCTCGACAATGACGGCAATGCGAGGGCCAAGCTCCTGCAGCGACACATGCTCGCCGGTGTCCTCTTGCTCGCGGTGGCCGAGCTCACGCACCGCCTCACTCAGCAGGCGATCCCCAAACACTTCCTTCATGATTTGCACAAGGCGGAGCTGCCCGTGCTCAGCGCAGTGATTCTCCAGCGACAGCAGAATGGGCGCGACGGTGTAGGCCGGGTCGCTCGCCGCCAGGGCCTTCTCTTCGTCAAAGACGTTGCGAATGGTCTCGCAAACGGCGCGAAAGGGAATGTGCGACACGAGAGTGTATCCGTGGGTGACCTTGGGCTCTTCCTCGTCGGCGCTGTTATCCCAGGCGTCGATCTCGACGCAGCGAGAACCCGTTTTGAGAGCCGTCTCGTAAGCCGAGGCCGACGAGGTACCATAGAGCTGGTGGGCGATGAGATATGTGTTGTGGCTGGAGCTGATGAAGTACTCGGGCAGAGGGTGAGAGCGGACGAGCAGGTCCTCGGGCGCGTCAAACGAGGTTCGGCTCAGCAGTTTCCGCACGGCGTCGCTCTGCAGCTCCGTGTCCAGGGCCGCATCCCTCTCGGCGATGACACCCTCTTTGGCGAGAAAGATTCTGAGCGCGCGGCTCACCCTCAGCTGCTCCTTGGCGTGGTCGGTCTTGCGGTTGTGGCGACCGCCTCCGCCCACGCTGTCAATGTCAATCTGCCCGCCCTGGTCGTCATCGTCACTGCCCTGCTTGCCAAAGGGCTTGAGGTTGGCGAGACGCGCGGCAATGTGGTCCGACATGGTGGCGACGGCGGCAGGCGCGCTGTACGAAGGGCGCGGTGGGAGAATGACGGATGGGTGAGGGGAAGCTGAGATTCACGTCGACGGGGTGAGCTTGGAGAGCGCGTCGCGATCCATGCACAGCCACGACTCGGCAAAGTTCCGCCAGTCGGCTATGAGGGGAAGATTGCCCAACGACGAACTGCGGCGGCCGGCTTGGGGTGAGCGATGGGACGGATTAAAAATCGACGGATGGACAGGCGGGCTCAGTGAGGCGAACAAGACGGGTTGCGTCATGGGCGCCTTTGTCGACACTCGACAGTGGGGTTGCGGCTTTCGAGTTTAGTCGGCGGCGGACCCCAAACTCAATCTCGAGGCAACGGCGGATGGTGCCGCCGCCCTTGGCGCCCGCCTCGTCAGCTGGGACCAGTCGAGCGCCGTGGCGCACATTCGCCGCTGGATCAACGTGCGCTGGCTGACGGGCTAATGACGGACGTCCTGATGGTAGGCGGCCTAACAGGGCGGCAATGGTTTCGTGGCAACGGTTGACACCGGCGTGTTCGTCACACGCCGTAAAACAGGATCCAGTCCTCCATGCAAATCTCCGTCGGGCTCATGTACGGGAGCGCAATGTCCTTGTGCCCGTGCCGCACCCAGTAGCCGTCGCGGTGCTCGGGGCCGTCCAGCGGCCGCCAATACCGCTCGAGACAGCCGCCGTAGCACGCCTGCTCGACAACGGCGCCGGCCATCTTGGCGCGGCGCCGCCGCGGTCCGTACATGGAGCTCGGAATGGCGATGGAGCAGTCGCGCACGTGCGGGCCCAGCCGCCGCACCATGCCGTCGAGCGGGTGCATGATGGTCTCCTCGGCCGTCTGGAACGCGGCCTGCGTCGGGTTGGGCATGCCCCAGCGCTCGGGTCGCGGGTTGCGCCACTGCACCGTCAGGTGAAGGCTCTCGACGCTCGGGAACATGCTCGGAACGCCGTCGAGGAACTGCGGAAACGTCAGGCTTCCGTACCGCGTGTCTTGGAGCGGCGGGCAGTCCATCTCCCACAGCAGCTCCACGCTGATGATGGCAAGGCGCCGCTGCGGCAAGAGAAAGCGGTCCATGTGGCAGAGCAGCTCCTTGCTGGCCGTGTGGATTGTGTTGGTCGCGTAGAGGACCTCGATGCCCTCAATGTACCTGGGGAGTGTTAGCAAAGGCAGTATCGCTGCGAGCCATGAGGAAAAGACGCGTACGCTTGACGGCAGCTGAGCAGCCAGCCCATGGCGCCGATGAAGCACTTGGCGGGATACTCGCCCGGCCACAGCTGGCACATGCCTTTGCCGACAGCACCAAAGCGGCACAGGTCCTGCGACGGCTGCACGCGGTGTCCGGGCGGTCCAGGCGTGGGCGGATTTCGATGGCAGACGGAGCCGCGCCAAAGCCACTGCTTGCCCGAGTTGCTTCCCAGGCGCGCTTCGTGGCATTCCTTGACGTCCCAGATAGGGATGCCGCAGTGGCCGACGTCGCCGGTCGTAGAGGCATGGTCCGGCACGGGCGACTCGTAGAGGAGATCCATGTGCACCGTCTGGCCGCCAAACGCCTCGATGAGGATCTGGCGACGAATCTCGGGGGGCAGCTTCTGGAAGAAAGGGCTCGCGGCAATGGCGAGTTCAGCGTGGGGGATGAGGCTCTCGCATGACGGCGTGGGCGTGAGCTGACGAGGCCGCTGGGCAGGCAAGACAGGCATCGGGGGCGGGTCGTCGCTCGTCTTGCCGCGCCGCCTGTTGATCCAGCGCGAGGATGCGGCAAAGGGCGACTTGAGCATGCTGCTCAGGCGAGGCGAGGATGGCGTGGCCATTTCGACGTTGCAAGCGACGGCAACGGGCTGGAGCACAGCAGGCAGGCTGATACAGGCAAGCGAATGCTGGTTGGCCCGCCTGTCTGTCGTGTGCCGTGTCGCCGCGAGAGTCGTGAGCGTCAGCCGCGGAAGACAAGCTACTCGTCAGCGAGCACAGCGCAGCATCACGGGCCCGCGGCGAGGCCCTCCGTCTCGTTGAAAGGATGGGACGCGGGATGGAGGAGCGAAGATGGGAGGGCACGGGCGGTGGGTGCAATAAAGCGGCAGGTCCATGTCGGAGGGATTGGATACTGGCAGGAGCCGCCACTGGTGTAAGTCGCCGTCGCGGAGGCACCGAAGCACTAACGGCCAGCGCAGCGGGCTAAGAGCAGGGGAAAGCGGGACGGGCGTCTGCCTGCCGCCCGGCACCTTGCCTGGCCACTACCTGCGCTGCCTGGAGTGATAAGGCCGGGTGCCACTGTAGTGGGCTTTGGCAGCCGTACCTAAGTACGGTGCTGTGCCTACGTACCTCTGAGGGGCGTTGGCCTTGCACATCCATGGATCCCCTAGGTCCCCTCCCGTCCACTGGATGGGAGCCGCCAGCTCACTCCACCCATTGCGAGATGGCAGGCGCGGCTCAGGCAGTAGGCGGAGGCCATCCCAGGTTCAGCCACCACCCGCAACAACTACAGCCCGAAGCCTCCATGCCCGAGCTATGTTAAGGTACCTACCTGGCAGGTCTCCCGCCGTCAGGGCATGGACCATGCCCGTCCACCCCGCTCCACTGTGCCGCGACGGGAAACAGTGGGCACCTCGCAGCGGGCGCCGTTGCCGCCGTCATCGCCCCAAGGCAGTGGCATTGCACACAGCACTTCAATCTTGGTTCGAGCCTGCCAGACGCCATTGGCTCGGTGTCCGCGATGGGGGGTCTCACCGCATGACAGTATTGAACAGCAGACGAATGTCTTCGTCACCTTGCGCAGTAGCTATGACTATTTCCCCGTATTACAATTAGGATCGCTTGCTTCATGATGCGCTCGGTCTTTTCACTCGTCGACCGGGCGAGTTGAGGAGCCCCAGGCCGTAGAAGTGCGCAGCTGTGCATCACAGTGGGTGCAGGGTAACATATCTCTGGTAAGAGAAGGAAGTCTGATTGCAATGGGAGAACACAGGTTCTTCAGACGGTTGCGGGGGATGGGAAGCGCTGATTGTAGCTGCGAGAAAGGATGCTCCAAAGGATGGCGCGGCAAGGACGGTCTTCCCGCACCTCGGGCAACAAGCCGCCATCACGACGACGCTATTGTGCCCGTTCCCGCTCCCGGGCTCTCCTCATCCTCCTCCTCCGGCCGCAGTCGACACACGAAAAGACACACAACGCAAAGTGAAGCGCCCTGCACCCGCAGACAAGTCAGTAAATGCAATAGCCCAAGCAGGTCAGCAAGCCATCGCGACGGCCAGAAAAACTCACGCGACAACCATGGGCATCATCCACGCCGCAAACACGTAGTCGTCAGCCTCCCGCCGGCGCCTGCCCTCCCTGTCGCATTCCTCCGCCGACTTGTCTGAGGCGCAATGGTACTCTTTGAAGCCGACTTCTGCCAGCCAGACGAGGCTCGGCACGACGGCGCAGATGGTGCCCGTCAGGAAGTCGAAGCCGCAGAGGGCGCCCTCGGTGCAGCGGCCGACCCTGCGCTTGGTGTCTGCGAGGCCGACGATCTCGGCGATGTCGACGGGGATTGCCAACAGGGACTGGGCAACAGAAGCGGTCATGTTAGTCAAAGCACGGTGCGAGACTCATGAAGCCTGCCGGCGACAGTAAATATAAAACGTACCGCGGCAAACGCCCCCGACACAGCCTTGCCGTACCCGTACTTTGTCGTTGCGTACAGCGACGCGATGAACGTGGCGAGGCTCAGCGCGACGCAGGCGCCTCGCAAGATGATCTGGCTAAAGGCGTACACGGTAGGGACGCGGGGTCGAGCCATGTCGAGGAGCTGGCCAGGCGCCTCTCTGTCGGGGGCCTTGTCTTCGGATCGCGTCTGAAGGTGAGAACGGAACAGAGTGATTCTTGGGAGTCACCGCGCAGACGAGGTACGGGATGCGACCCCGCGCAGGCGCGCAGGCGAGCAAACAAGTTGGTTGGGTTGGGTCATCCAAAGCACCTTTTTTCTCAGCCGCCTCGTGTCGCCGGCGAAAGACATTTCGGGAGTAGCGCCCGCTGTCTCTGGAAACCATCTGCGGGAAACCGAGCCAAAGACCCTGGCAGCAAACAAGATTGAGCTTAAGCTTACGCTGCTCGAGAACACTGAGCCGAGGAGAGCAAGGCACAGGCGGTCGCGACAGGCCACCACACACCCATGCTGGATAGATATCCCAGGAGCTCCAGTTGGTCGGTCACCGGAGTCAAGCCTGGGCGTGGAACTCTTCCAGAAGGACACATGGAAAGCCGACATGGGTTTTTGGTTGGCGGACCGGGGGGATTGGCGCGACAGCTCAGTCGACGTTTCTCATGCCTGAATCATTGACAAGCGACTGGTCGCGTGTTGGTGTTGGGGCTCTGCTGGTCGACTGCACTGTTGTTGGTCGCGGCGCGGTCCTCCTTCGCTGGGCGTCATCGCGCGCGCATGTTATGCTCGACGGCATTCGGATGAAGCTGACTCATTTTCTGGCATTCAAATCGTCACGCTCGGCGTTGGTTCCGCGAGAGAATCGCATCGGGATGTGTTTGAACGTTCGACAAGCGTTGTCGATTCTGCAGCGGATGTTCTCGTCAACTCGATTCGATGCCTCTATTGTCAGCGTTCGTGGCTGCCGCCCCACAGCGTACCTGGACCCGCCCACCACCTGCCAATGTCTCTCTGCCAGTCTGTCTGCCCCAATTCCCAGGCACCAACTCCCCCGCCCCACCCACCACCACCGTGCCAAAGAAAACTTCCACCTCCGTCCGCGCCATTTGCTCTCTTTTTCTTCCTTTCTTCTCCATATTGAACAACGCAAAACAATCAACGTCCACGTCCCTCTGACACTTACAATGGCCCGAGGCTCGGGCTTAACCGCTCTTGACGCCCACGACTGCAATTACACGGGGGACTGAGGATGGAGAAGGAAGATCGAACAATCTTGGGTGCGGTGCTCTCCGGATTTTCCGTGGGGAGGATCGCAATGATTGAACGTACATGCTCGCTCGCCCACCACCCCCTTTCACTTGACTGTCCTTGTCTCGTATTTGACGTGCGAGCGCACGCATGCGCCAGCTGTCCTCGCGCTCGTGGACGTCGGATGCCGGGGCGGCATCGTCCTCCGACCTCTCCGCTGGTGAGGGGTCGCGATGTGGCCGCTGCCGCCACCGCTGCTTCTGCTGCTGCTGCTGCTGCTGCCCCGTGCGTGTACGTCCGGCGTCCGTCAAACCCCTCCCGTCCCACCAGCTTGCCGTGATGCCGTGATGCCGTCGTCGCAGTCCCCGCGGGCGGCCCCCAAACCGCCTGTGCGTCGCCGCCTGCCGCCGACGGCGTGCGCAATCCGCGTCGGTGCGTTACTCCTTGGCACGGAAACTGCGGGAGACCAGCCACCAGCAGCTCGCTCGGACGCCGGCCTACGTAAAGGCAACGCCGGGCTGAAACGCACGACGCTGATATGTGATCGTGTGCATCTCCGCCGTCCGTGTCCTCGTAGGCCCTTGAGAGGGGTGAATGGGGTCGTCTCCATCGCCCCGCGACATCAACGACACCGTTCACGCTACAAAGTCCCGAGTCCCGACCTGCACGGATCACGAGTGACGAGGCACCACCATCATCTCCACTATCACAACTTCGCAAGCAACCAAGCAAGCAAACATGATACACAAGAGTCAAAATTGGCCCCCTCGCAGGGCGAGAGACTACTCTGACCGTATTGTACATCAGCGCCCATGAAGCGGCGCAAAAGTGAAAGAAAAAAGAGAAAGACGCTGCATCACAGCTCTACAAGCGAGCCGGTCCCAAAGTTTTCCCAGATTTGGCCTCAGGCCCAGGGCACTCATATGCCCAAGTAGGAATCAACGCCCGGTGCGCCGCCATAATGCCTCCCAGTCAGCCGTTAGAGAAAGACGCGCTCGCATCGAGACTGCCCCTCTGAGGAGTCCCCGTTGCGTGTGCGCGCAAAGTGTAAAAGCAACGTGCCGTGGTGTTCGGGTTCGCGGCTGTCGTAGTCCAAAGCCATCGGCGCCCGTTCCCCTGCCACCATGGCCCGCCGAAAAGAGACCATGTACATGTCGATGAAGAAGCATCAACATCCCTCGTCACCAAGTGCTGAGAACGCGGGAAGAAGCAAAGGAGAAGAAGAAAAGCGTCGCGACTGTTCGTCGCGTTGCCGGATTTGCCCTGTGCCGGGTGCCAAGTCATCTCATGTCGACCATCGGGGTCCTTGGTGCTCTCTCTTTTCATTGTGGTGTTTTTCTTTGTGCGTGTATTGTTTTGTTCGGTTTTTGTTTTGTCTTTACCCCTTCAGACTGGAAATCTCGTCTAGAGGCATCTTGGTGGGCGGACCCATCGTCTGATGTCAAGGCGCTGCAGAAAAAAAAAGAGAAGAGAAGTATATATGCGGTTGTGTCGTCAGCTCAGCCCCTGCAATGTACAGAGCCGGGAGCCGAGCTGCTCAGCCTGAAAGCTGGACGAGAGGTGTAAAAGGAGACGGCAAAGCTTGCCTCGCCGTCCACGGAGGATGGAAAAAAAGATTTTTTTGCAGCGCCATGATGTCAAACGAAAAGGGAACAGGCCGTGTGGGATCCGAGGAGTGCTTTACATGTCCGCGATCTCGCGGGCAAAGTTGTGGATGGTCTCAAGCGCGCCCGACTCGTCGCGCTTGGCGAGGTCCTCGCTGCCGATGGCGCCGAGGACGGCCTCAGCAACGCGCTTGGCCTTGCGGCAAGGCTGGCCGGGTCGGTAGCACCAGCGCTTGTCGGCCTCGTGGGCCTCGCTCAGGTCGACGATGGAGCGGCGGCAGGGCTGTCCAGGGCGGACGCACCACGGGTCGGCCTCAGCCTCGGGGGACCGCTTGACCTCCTCCTCCATGCCAAGGTCGCGGACGTACTGCTCGGGGTTGCCGGTGGAGCGGCCAACAAGCTGGATGAGGTCGGCGATGGCGCGCTTGGCGCTCCAGGCGGATCCGCCGACGGCGTTGCTGACGTCCGGGCCCGGGGTTCGCTTGCAGGGCTGGCCGGGGCGGTTGCACCACGGCTCGGGCTGGGGCTCACGAGCGGCGATCTCGCCCTCGGAGCGGACCACGTTGGCCAGCGTGTCGATGACCCGGTCGACGGGCTCTCGGGCGACGTTGTCGGCGACGGGGGCGGCGGTACGCTTGCAAGGTTGGCCTCGGCGAGTGCACCAGGGGGCGGGCTCAGGGACGCGAGCAATCAGGGTGGGTTCGGCGCGCTTGCAAGGCTGGCCGCGGCGAGTGCACCACGGGTCGGGGTTGGCCTCCCTCTTGCACGGCTGTCCGGGACGGTTGCACCAAGCCTCGGGCTCGGCCTCGGGCTCGGGCTCCGGGGCGCGAGGGGCCATGGTCGGCTCGGGGTGTCGCTTGCAGGGCTGACCGGGGCGAGTGCACCAAGGGTCGGGGTTGGCCTCCCGCTTGCAGGGCTGGCCAGGGCGGTTGCACCAGGCCTCGGGCTCGGGCTCAGGGAGACGAGGAGCGAGGGTCGGCTCGGGCATGGCCTCTCGCTTGCATGGCTGGCCGGGTCGGTTGCACCAGGGGGAGGCGATGGCGCCGCTGGCGAGGATCGCCGCAACAGCGGTAACGGACAGTCTCATGTCGGGCGAAGTCTCGGATCGAGTTGCTTCAGTGATGGTTGGTGTATTGTGCTTCGATGTGACGACAGGCCGAAGTGTCGTGGAGTGGCTCTTTTGTTCCTTTCGCCTTGGATGAGGAGTGTGTGTATGTGATGAAGACTCAAGACAAGAAGGCGTTCAGAACGGACGATGGGGAAGGGCCTTGATATATCTGGCTGATGGCTGGGGATGCAAGGCTTACGGGACCGGGCTGTTGGGAATCGTCAGATGTCGAAAAGAGGAAGCAGGCTTTTGCTCAGGCGAAAAGGACCGACGACGACGAGGGCGTGCGAGAAGAGCGGGCGTCATGTTCTGGGTCCAGCCAGGTGTGGTTGCGCGTTTATTCATCTGATCTAGTCAATAAGCCGCGCTCGCTGTTCAGGACAAAGGACGGAAGGGGGAGGGGCGACGAACAAGCGAGACGAACATCAAGGTGGGATAATTAGTCCCGATACTGCAAGCCGCCGCGGGCGCGCATGCAGAAGCGTGGGAGGGTCTAGGTGTTGGTGGCGAAGGACAAGAAGTGTCACGATGGGCAATACGTCTGCCGCCCGCAGTTGAGAGGAGGCGAGAGTGTTTGTTTGTCGCCAGCGATGTCGTTGAGAGTTGAGACGTCGAGTCCCCCCCCCGGTCCCCCATACTCCCGCCGCCACGCCAGACGCAGTCGTCGTACCATCCCTACATGCTGTGCGGCTCCCCACATGCGAGGGAGTCCTGGCGGGCGTGGACGCAGCATAAACTGTCAGACCCATGAATCCATGCTCGAGCATGAGCCACCCCTCCCGACGCTCGAGGTTCCTCGCGACGCTATCAGGGGGGAGCAAGGGGGTGGCCGGCTTGCCTCTCGGGAGTCAATCTTGACAGGTACAGTACATTCGTCTCGTGTCCGGCGAGCCACGCCCCCCTGGCCTGACAGGGCGCACTCAACGGCTTTCGCTTCGGGATTCACCGATAGACTCTATGGCTTCAAGAGGCAGGTGGCTGGATGAAAAGCGGCACGACGCCCGCATGGCGAGAGGCGAGGGGTATTCCAGGGCCAGGAGCAATACGGGTCAATGAGGCACTCAGCGGGACGGCGGCTGGGCTGTGAAAGAGCAATTGAGTTCAGGTCCTCGCAATAGAAGTCAAGTCGAAGCCATCGTGGAAGCAATTGATGCGGCCAAGCCGACTGCAACCCAGCGCCGCGTGGCATCAAGGTGCGCGCGCGCCGTGGAAAGCATCGCAAATGTCACTGCTGGCCGGGCAGTCGGTCGGCATGTCGTTGACTTAGACGCACGCACGAGGTGTGGTTGCGGCTATTGAGGCTCTCTATTGACAACCGAATCGGGACATGCGCGCCTCTCAGCCTTAGCGCGGGCGCCACAGGGCCGCCCGCCGTCTCGAGCGGCTGCAGATGCCGGCAAAGCGATGACGAGTGACTGTTGGGCTTGAAACCTGACAGGCTGTCCCTGTTCGTTCCTCGCCGTCTAGGTGTCGTGCATTGCGTTGTTGCTTGCCTGGCCCTGCTCGGCTTTGCCCGCGCTGCCGTCGAACTGCGCTGATCACCTTGATCCCGGCGATGCTCTTCTGTACGGTAGCTATCGTTTTTGTCGTCTCCCAGTTTAAGGCTGGACCCCCGTGGTTGACATCCACTGCCCTCGTGGTTCGAGCTCAATAGCAAGTCAATATGGTACAGAATACGGCACTGCTACAACGCTGAACCGTACTCGATTCCTTCGGCGCCATGCTGCGACCGACCACCGGCGAGCAGTTTTACCCGCAATACTACGCTGCCGGCACGCCGCCAGCCCCAGCAAGGTGCCGCCAACGCAGCTTGGCACTCCCGCCCGGACATGGTGCGGGCGTTGGCGGGCTGCAGGAGCAGCACCCCCTTTTCTGCGGGGAGCAGGGGGTTATTGGGTTGGTTGCGCGGCGTCTGGGGAGTGCAGACGGTAGCTGCGAGCATCATGGCCGTTTGGCCTCCCTCAGACGTTGGGAGTGAGTGTATGTAGCTTGGCATGTTGGTCGGCGTCGACGCCACGCGCAAGCGAACAAGCGCGCGCCGGCTCCACGCACAGCAGCAGCAAACATCCACCTAGACGCACACCAGTGACGGAAATGTGCTGTCGGATGGCCAACCGAGAGCACCGACGAGCCGAGACGGCCGCTTCGGCTGCTGGGGGCCCCGTCGGGTTGTGCCACTTGTGTGAGTCCAGCCAGGACTCCAGTAACTGTAAATTTTCCAGCGTCCCAATTTTTTACGGCAATCCGAGTAGCCGACAATACAGTGCCTGGGTCCTTCCACTGTTGCAACGCCGGAGGGGTTCCGACATGCTCCCGGGTGCGACCAGGCACGGCGCCGTATCCCCACGCGCCGACGCCGATCTGGCCGAGATTCGACAAGTCCGGGGGGGACCGGTACGACCCTACCGTACCAACGACGCAGGTCCCTTACTGGGAGCCCACGCCTGGCAGTGCGCGGGCAGTTACAGGGTTACAGCCCCCTTGCACAACAAACCACGCGATGTCCGTCCCCAAACCTGCATCGTCATCAGATATCGCGTCGCAGTCGCCCGCCGCCGTTCCGAATTTCTCCAGGCACTGCTTGCATGAGAATAAGACATGGAAGCCTATTCAGCCCCGAATTGGGGACGCACTGAAGAACCGTCGAGCGAGGGGGATCACCGGGCGGCCCGTGCCCCCCGTGGCTGCTGCGGCGTGGCCTCTCGGCAAGACGGGGACGGCAGCTGCACTGTCCTCTTGCGAGTCAGTTGTGCAACGTACCCCCGTGATTCCGAAGAGAACACGTGACTTTAAAATGGAAAAGCTTCGGGAAGCCTTGTTCAAGATTCCAAATGATCAGACAAGATGCAGTGGTGAGCGATGGGCACCTATGCGGCTGTGACCTCAATACATGTAACCGGACGGCCGCACTTGTATGAGCGAGGTGTCTACCCGCTCGCAACACCAAGAATGACCTCGACCACTTTGTCCGGCATGCTCAGCAGAGGCGTGTGACCCGACTTAAGCCTAACCACGGCATCGAAGCCTCCATTCTTGACAAACATGGCCTGCCATGTCGGATCCACTGCCTTGTCCTCCTCGGTGAGCACGTACGTCTTGGGCACCTTAATGTCTGAGGCTATGTACTGCGGAAACAGCAGAAAGCTCTTGCGAGACTGCGACTTGAATAGGTCGGCCCACGCAGCGTCTTGCGCCTCTTGAGTGAGGTCGCTGTACCACAGGGGCTTGGCTGTCTCGCCAAGATGGACGATGCCATTCTGCGTGTGGGCTGTATCAGTTTCGATGCCTCCATTATGAAGAGAGATGGGGCTGTCTCACGTCCAAGGTATGGTATGGCATGAGGGGCGGCACGCTCTCATCTCCCGCGATGCCCTTGCCCCTAACCGGATATGCGAACCCAGCAATCGTGACAAAACCTTTGATGCCTCCCGGTAGCCCTCTCGCGGCTCGTTCAGCGACCGTCTGGCCCTCGACTGCGAGTGTCGCCGGCAAGCTGCCGTAGCTGTGGGAGACGATGACAGCTTCTCGGCCCTGATCCAGGAACGGGATCAACGCCTCATGGATCACCGCAACATCGTCCAGAGGGCCTTTGTCGGCCAGATCCGCCCATGCCGAGTCGCCTGGTGTTTTTGACGACAGGTCGCCGCAAACCGTCAGGCCCGGGCTCAGGACCGTGTAGCCGGCCTTGCCCAGGGATTGCGCCACGGCACCCCACACCGATGGGCGGTGAAAGGCGCCCGGGACCAGAACAATAACTGGATTTGAATCCATGGGGTCCAAGTTTAGTAAGTTGCGATGCCAAGTTTACGGTCACTGGCCTGTAGGTATTAAACGAAATGGTATCGACACCTGGATTCGCTGCACCACACGCGTCTCAGATGGGAGGTGCCTTGCCTCTTATACACGTAGGCTATGGCGGCGACAACATCAAACGCGGACTTAAGACGCTCTATGCCTGTGCTTCTCCGGTCAAGCTCAACCTGTCTTGGGCCGGCTGGTGCCTGTGGAACAGGCCAACCGAGCCTGCCGACAAAGGCAGAGGCCTGTATGTAAGACTTTAGTATGATGAAATGCGAGATTCTGATTGATCGTGCATGTCGCCAAACCCCTCCCCACTCAACTATAAGAATGGGCTATGGCCCCGATCATGTCAGCTCGCGCCCCCAAATGCACGAATTCACGGGTTCCAGGCCCTGGACGGAACTCCGTGGAATACGCGCCCAGCATCATCGGCCTCGAAAATGAATGATAGATTGGTCCGAGCTCAAGGATTGCGTTGCGGCCTGAAGCCTCTCAAGCCCGTGCTACACTGCGAGACTAACACCAGCGCAACATGAAAAGAGTGTCGTGCTTTCGCGTGTAGTGGCCAAACAGTGCCAGATCACTCCACCCTTGGTTTCCAATTCCCCCCATGTGACTTTCAAGTTCAGTCTTCTCTTCAGTTCCGAATAACAATGCAGCGTTTCGAGCGAGTGTGCTTGCTGAAAACATAACAAATGAAAGATTTGACCATGGACTTGTCCGATAACTGTTGATGAGCGGCCTCTCATAATCCCACTGGCCAGTGTGTCGCCTCCTTCCCCAGCCAAAATCTGAGGCGGTCCAGGCACATGAAGCCCTGTGATGCTTATTAGCGCAGAGCCGCGGCAACCATCATCCAGGTCGTCGCCGGCCCAGCCTGTCCGTTGCTGACCCCCTGCATCTTGCACGGCGCGTCCGTGTTGAGAATGTACTGGACGCCCTTGCACCCGCCGTCCTTGGAGCACGCCGCCAGGCACTCCTCAAAGGGCAGCGCGTTTTGCTTGTAGATGGTCCGCGCCCCGCCCAGCAGGTGGTTGCACCACGTCGCAAAGTTGCGGTTGCCGTAGCGCGCCGTCTGGCCGTGGATGTGCGGGCAGTTGGGGATCGCGGGGCCCTTGGCTTTGTGTTGGCTGCCGCTGCCGCAGCTCTTGAGCGCCGCCTGGCATTTGTTCTTCTCGGCCTCGCATTTGGCCTTGTCGGCGCCGCATTTCTTCCTTTCGTCTTCGCATTTCTTCTTCTCGTCCTCGCACTTTTTCTTGCCGTCGCAGCATTCCTTCTTTTCCTTGTTGCAAGTCGCCAGCTTGTCCGTCAGCTCCTTCTCGCTCGCCTCGCAGTCCTTCAGCGCGTGCTCCGTCTCGCTGCAATCCACCGGCTGGGTTTCTTCCTCGGCTTCTCCCTCCTCTGGCTTCTCTTCCTCCTCCTCGGGGGACTCGCGGCGCATAAAAATGCTCGCACGGAGCTCTGCGTCGCTCGTCTCTCCCTCCGAGTAGAGGGTGCATTCGTTGTTGGTGTAGCGCCACGCACTGCCCTTGCAACCCTTCTGAGAGTTGCAGGCCATAGCGCAGTCGTCTGGGTTCTTGATGGTGTCCGTGCTGAGAAGCGTGTCCGCCTTGCCGGTTGCTTTGCAAAGGTAGGTTATCTCGTAGCCATTGTCGTACGTCTTCTTGTCCTCGTGCTTGTCGGGGCAGATCTCAGAGTACTTGGACCGATCCGCGTCGTCCTGCGCGGACACTCCCGCCAGGAGTGGGATGATGTAGACGAGACCGGCGAGCTTCATTGTAGCGTATGAAAGGAAGCAGACAAAGATGAAGGGGACTGTCTGTAGCGATTGATGTCCAGATTGTTCAAATGAGGCCTGGCTACCTCGTCTTTATACTTGCTCCTCGCTCATCTCGCGCAGGCTCGGGAAACTCTGCCTCCGTCAACCCGACGGCCCTGCTTTCTTCAGTGAAACCTCATGTGAATGTCCGAAATGGAGCTGGAGCACTGTCTGCATGTTCTTGGGCATGCATCCCAAACATGCAGAAGGTCGTGGATGAGCGAACAATTCATTACGTAGCGAGTTGTTACCCCGAGACACGATCCCAAGTTGGCCTGTAGCCATATCGGTAGGGAAAAGACGTTGCAGGATACCAAAATCAAGTCCCTTGGACGCTTGTCATGACCGAGGCAATTGCTGGCCAGTGCGCGACGTGGCTGAACATGATGAGCCGATGCAGTAGCGCGGCTGGGTGTACCGCATCTTGGCCAGCCCGTGGCCAACATGATATCCTTTGCCAACATCTGCAGCGTGGACTTTGCTGTTTTCGTACAACGCTCAACACGACATCGTGTTCATCAACGGAGACCCTCTGCATGATAAGCATGTTTCATCAACTTGGGTCGTTGGGGTCGCTGCGCCTGAGCCGTGCCGTGTTTGAGGACGAAATGATGTATACAAGTGGCGTAGCGGGTGGTTGGGCCAAGTATCAAGGTGAAAACTCGGCCACCCTTACCCCATAGCTGCAAGGCGACCATAGGCAGGGCAGCCTGCGGGCGGGGGACTCCTCCAGCTTCACTTCATCTGACAAGGTCGTATAGTTCAGTCGGGGATTTCTTGTCGTGTTGGACCATACTGAACTGAAGTTGCCTAAAGCTGTAGAATACGGACCAAAACAAATATGTTATCACGGTGTTGAAATATTTCATCGGATTCTCCATCTGCCAAAGAAGTGGGCTCCTCGCTACAAAGCCTGGATAAGAGACAGAGTGGACGCTACGCTCCCCGAAGGCGGTCGGTGAAACGACATGCTGCGGCTCTGGAACCATACCTAACATGTCTGGATAGAGAACCGTTGGGACGGATACGGAAAAAAATGAACCTGGCCATCGCGACTGGTATATGCCGCTGCGGCTCCGCTGTAACCGGTGAGACTATGCCTAGCTGACCTCTATACGTCACAGCTGGTTGAGTGCTCCTGCCGGCCACTTTGAGGGCTCTCATTTGTCCTAAACAAACACAATGGTCACAGCAGCGGTGGTCGACATCAAATGCCATCGAGGAAAGCACATGCTCGTGGACTCTCTCCCTTGCTCCCTTTGATCAACATGCACGCGGCCCGTCGGCGTTCTTGTGCGGATCGGACCGTGCGTCGTGCTGACGGTGGCGGCACAGCCCGTGAACATGAAGCAAGACACCGAGTCCCATCTACTTCTGCAGGTCTCTCCCCAGCCGCCTGGCACTGAATGCATAGACCAATCTGAAACAATCGGAGACGGCGGTTTGCGCTCAACACATGACCGAGGACCCATGTCAGCCAAGATATCAACAGCCGCGCGCTCATAGCACATGTCTCGGATTCTCCATCTGATGTACTTTTGCTGGTTCTATCGGAACTGTGTACTGCAAATATGTACTCCGGATACTGTACGTACTGCGCACCACGCAGCATCGAGACTGTGAATCCTTGCCACTTGTTGCAGCCTTCACCGCCAAGGGTGCGCCAGGCTTTTGTGGCGCGAACAGGGTCGTGCAAAGCAGCGTGTCTTGGAACGGGCGGGAGGGCGCTCTGGTCAAGAGGCGGCTCGTGCCGTGTGAGGGTCCGCGCCATGCGTTCGCCGGACCAGGACAAGCGCAGCTAGCAAGGTTGAGAGACCCCGAAACACTGGTGTAAAGTGGCAAAGTGGAAAACCGGCGTCTCCTGCGGCTGTAAAACATCCAGCACTGCATCGGCCTCTGCGCTGTGGCAACGAAAACGGCCTACTCTAGGCCAGCGGCGGTGTTGGTGCGAATCGCCGCCCGCGGATCCCAGTTCGCGTCTACGTCGTCGAGCAGTTTCAGTTTCTTAAGCTGATCTGCGCCCAGGATCTTGCTCAAGCTTGTGATTTTGAAGCTTGCGAGGGCGCTCGTTGAGCCGTTGGGGAGCTGGTTCGCATCGTCGTGCGTGACGAGCATGCCAAAGGGGAAATCGGGGCCAAGTGCCGTGCCCACGGCCGTGACACCGTCCGTGTTGCTCACTGCGTCCACCTTGCCATCCGACGACGCCACGAGCGTAAAAGTCGTGACGTACTCGTGCGGCGGCGCCCGGCGATACACGTTGTAGGCGCTCACTCCCTGGCAGGACACGATGACGAAGCCCTTCTGGGCAACCCGCCCCATGACCAGCGTCACGCCCTCGACGTCACCGTAGAGATGGCCGTCTCCAATCTTGGCCACGACGGTGCCTGTGGCCTGCGAGTCAGGCTCGGCGTCGTACCGCCACAATGCAGAGGGCTCTTCGCCGAGGAAGATCCACCCGTTCTGCTCGTCGGTCACGCAGCCCTCGACCTGCCCGCCCGATCCGCCTTTGAACTCCCTCACGAGGGTCGTCTCAAGGGTCCCGTTAGACGTAGATGACAGCTCGTACTGGAGGTACCTCGCCGACTTTTCATTGACAAACAGGTATTGCTTGCCGCTCTTGGGCGAGCGATAGGTGCACGACCCGTAGACGGAAAAGTCAGTGACTACAGGGTGGATGCCACCGGGGATGTTTGCCAGTGTGCCGTTGGGGAGCATCTCGAAAAGGCTGATGCGTTTCTCGTCAGCCATTTGAAGTGTCAACAGTGCGAACGCCATTTCTTACCAGAGAGTGTCATCCTTGCGGCAGGCCGCGAACGCAAGGTCGATGGTGCGGCTACCCGCCTCGAAGGAGTAGATGACATCCACATTGTTGGGCTCACCAGCCGGCATGGTCTGGAGCAAGTTGCCCGACAGGTCAAACACCGACAAACCAGCGCCCTGTTCCGACTTCGTCGTGGTGATGATGCGCGAGTCCGTTCGCGACGCCGGCGAGATCCAGATGGCAGGGTCATCGCCGTCTCCGCCCGCAGCGTCTGTTTCAAACGATGGCTCCACGAGCAGAAACGAGCAAGCGATCCCGCCCCATCCCTTCTCGCACTTACACTGGTTAGGTCCGACGCATTTGCCGCGGCCTGAGCAGTCGTTGGTGCACGTATTCTTCTCGCAATGGGAGCCTCCAAAACCCGCAAAGCACTCGCACGTGGCAGACTTGCTGGCGTTGCGACAATAGCCATGGAACCCACAGTCGCCACACACAGGAGACTTGCGCGGGCATGTTTGAGGACGACGGGGGTCATACTTTGTGTTGGGCTGGATGCCGAGCTTCGCCAACACGCCGTCCAACGATGTGACGCCAAATCCGGTGTCTTGCTTGGACTCAATCGCATGGCAGATGACCCCCTGTGGGTATAGCGAAGTTGATGCCTGGTATACATCAAGGCCTTGCACCTCAATACCGTCGTAGCCCGACAACTTCAAGGTACCCACTGGCCTTGACTCGTGGTCGAACACAGCGATGGAGTCCTCGGCCGCCACGAATACATAGTGGCTCGTGTTGGTCGCGCCAGCCACGTAGACGGCCAGCCCTGTGACATCGTCTGGGGCGTCAAAGGCACGCGAGATCTTGGGCGCAGCAGTTGACTCCTGGAGCGGCATGACGTAGACAGCCTTGTCGTCGTCGGTGGATATGTACATCTCTGACGACGGCTGTGACGTTGCGCAGCCAGACGCCTCAAAAGGCACAGCGAATGTTTGGACCTGCGGTCACGTACCGTATCAGACACAAGCTCATTACATCACTAGTGCTGTGGTCAAGTTACCTCGAAAATGCCCAGCTTGTCCTTGTCCGCGCGCACGAGCAGCTGCACGGCCTGGCGCTTGCCGAAGAGAAAGAGGTACTGGTTCCCGGTCCTGCTCTTCCACGAGCACAGTGCCGACCAGTCGCCGAGCTGCTGGCGCTGCGCATCCTGAATGAGCTTCAGTGACGGGAGTTCGAACAAGCGAATGACCGAGTCCGGCTGGGCAATGGTGATGGCCAAGTCTTTGCCGCCCACGTCATAGACCGACGTGACGAGCTTGGTTCGGCCGACGACGGCCGACGCGTGCTCGCGCAGGGGCGTGCCGGAGTTGAGACTGTATGCACGGATGCCTCCGGTGTCTGGCCCGGCGTCGTTGCCCAGCAGGAGAGGCTCGCGATCCGAGTAAAACGTGGCGCTCCAGTCCGACTCGATGGTGCCGGTGATGGCGGTGACGTTGACGACGATGTTTGGGGCGCCGTGCGTTGGCCACACGTTGAGTGCCACCGCGAGAGCGGCGACAACGATTGCGATAACCATGATTCCTGGCGCTGTTCTCGAGAACCGTGGTTGAGAGTGAGATTTCTGTAAGATGGTCGGGCGGTCGCTGCCGTGATCGTCGCGCAGGGTGCTCGTTGTCCTCTCACCCGACGGGCGAGGCGCACGTGAATCCATAGTCCCTCTTTATGCTTAATTCACGTAGTCGCTATACCACGTGGGCGTGGTTACCCTTGCCGCGATGCCGGCCGCCATTGCCCTCGTCGGTGTTGATGTTGTCGGGCGGTCGCGTGTGAGACGACGATGGCGGTGCACGTGTGCGCTACGATTCGCTGCTACGAGCTTCACCGGGGGTCTAGGGTCGGGATTTTAATTGGAGTGCGCCATCTGGACGATCCATCATGCTCTCGCTTCGACCGGGAGCACGCAGAATAGCATAGGTAGGCGTCTCTTTTGGCACACCGAGCGATCTTGAGAACGGATTTACAGAGTTGCTGCCACGAAGCGGAAAATAGGCTGAGGTCTTGGCCTGGGTTGTCCTGGTAAACCGCGTTACGTCTCTGCTGGTTCTGCAATCGCCGCTTGTTCTAGACTTCGGCAAACAAGGGACCTCCAGGCTTGTCCTGCGGGGCGCTGGGTCGCGCAATAGCTCCTAGAGTCCTGTTCATCCTTGCCCCGCACTCGCCAGGCACAGAGCTGAGGCGCTGAGTCCTGAGTCTTGAGTCCGGACGATCGGGGGACTGTAAAAAGGACCGGATGCTCTCCCGACCTGCCCCATCGACTGACGGCTTTACATTGTGCCGTCCACATCGGCAACGCTACGGCATGTCTCACTTGCAAGCTCCGGGCTCCTTGCATCCTGAAGCGGCTGCAACGAGCCCGCAAAGGAACGGTCCGCCATTGACCACTCATGCGCGCAGCTCGTACAGCGCGGCAGACAGTCCGCTGGCATGTGAAGGCATGTTCTCTTTTGTCGGGCAGAGTCCCGTCTCGCCATCGCATACGCACCGCTGGTCAGAGCCCTGTCTCCTAGCGTCCCCTGTGCCGCCTCACACGATCCAAGCCGATCGTCCCCTCCCCTGCCTGTCCGTGCCGGCGGAGCCTCCCGTTTCACTACCGATACGTCCAAACCAGCCTCTGACTCTCGGCTGCGCAAAATCCAGGCGCCCAGACCAGTAATGCCATCGCAGTATCGCCACGCCTCCCCTGCCTACGCATTCCGAGCAAAATACTTCGACTGGGAGTGGCAGTATCGTGGACCCATCAGTCACCACTGTGGCTGGCGGCTTTCGGATCGTGAATTCGGAAGGCTGGCCTCGTCATCGGGACAACGGTAATTACTTCGTAGCCAACACGTCTGGTTGTTCAATAACACGCATGCCCACATCGGGTCCGCCACGCTTATGACCTCATCCAACTTGAACAACCGCGCTCCAAACTGCTTTCCGTGCCATTTGCCCGTTTCCTGCGTCCCAGCACATGTGATATCATATGCAATGCAGACATTCACGTCGAGCCAAAAGAGGCTTGAACTGCTGCTGCCAACCACATGATGCTTTTCAGCACGCAGCACGCAGCTTGCAGGCGCCAGGCCGTAGGGTAGTACGTACGGGGACCTGAACGCCGGTGGGGATCCGCTCTCATCAAGGGCCATGGAAGGGACCGTGCAATGCCAGCTGCAAGGGCTTTCAAGGTTTTCCGGCAGGGGCACGGTCGACTCCCAGCGTAAGACAGACGGCGTGCGAATCCGAGCTTCGCAAGAGGTCGCCGACAAGTGTTTCAAGCGCATCGCGACCGAGGGGGTGTTGCGAGAAATTGTTGGCTGAAAATCCAGACACGCAAAAAAGAGTCTCCTCCTTCCTCCCAGCACCTTTCGACTCCACAGACACTTAACGTGCTACGTATCGAAGAATTTTTACAACAGTCCAGGCGGGAAAAAGTGGTCATTTGCTATTCAGGAGGAGTTGACTTGATCCGCCGTCCTTTCATACACATATGTATTTGTCAACCATCCCGCAAGGGACCAAGATAGAAACTGTGAGACTCTAGCAGGGAGCGGAGGTCGTGATTCGCGAGTTGTCCAACATACCTTGCTTCCCTTGCCCGCGATCCACTAGAGGACAAAGCGGTGAGAATTGACCTCGGGGACTCAACCGTTGACCTGGGCGTGTCGCGCATCAAGAGGCATGCAGCCTCCCACCAACATGGAGTGCCTCACCACCAGCGCCACAGCATCAAGCCACTTCTTCACCTGCAGGGCGTTTATGCTCTTGTTAATTATTCCACTTCTTCAAGCGCGTCTGTGCGCTTGTTAATTATTCCCCAGAGTTGTTCCAGCCTTCCAGGCGTTTCTGTGGCGGGCTAATTTGCCTGCAAACCGAAAGTACGCCCGGCTACCATCGCATCTGAGGCGTTGCGCCATCTCCCTCTGCGCCTCACAATAAGTGTCCACTCGGTGCCGTGCCGCTGTGTAATGGAGCCCCTGACGGCCAAGAGGCTGGCGTGGCCCTTTCTCTCCGGTCGATGCCGGTCATCGAGTGCATGACAGCCCGGAAAATGATCGCGGCAACATCTCACCGTGCGCTCTCGACTCTGGCAATCAAGCACATTGTCTGCTTAACATCCGGAAAGAGCTCCGCGGGGCAAGGCGCAGGATCGCCCTTATGCAGGTGTCCCGCTTCTAAAACAAGCTGTTGTTGTAGTGCTGAGCTGAGCCGTCTTGGCAGCAACTACGGCGGACGGCACCTCAACAAAATGCAACGCTCTGCCAGATTCTCCGCACGGCGTTTGCTGGCCACTTGGTCTCCGCGATACTGAGTCCGATGGTCCGAGCCCGACGTGATTCTGTGAGGATACAGAGCTGAACAGCTGAGATGGGCGAAAGGACTGGAGCATCCGCTTTAAACCCGACTCTTCACGACTGGGGCCGAACATGGTGTCTGCAGGACTGAGTCGGTGTTGCCGATGTGGCACGCACGAATGCGAGGCTTCCATGGAAGCGAAGACTATGCATGTCTCACCTCTTTGTTCGCGTTGTTCGACTCGGAACATTGCCAAATCCTCCGCTCCCGTGAAATTCTCCGCCGCCTCTTGTCCACAACACATCTCTATTATCAACCGTAAGATGTACCTGCTGATCGCGGCCCGGAGACCGGGCCGAGCGAGGGCTGCTGAAGCGCTGATGCAAGCAAGCACTGGCATTGGCATGGGTAGGGTTCCATGTACGCGAGTGGAGAGTGAGGCGAGACGAGGCGAAGCGAGAAAAAGGCACGGCGGCAACATACGCGGGCCATCCGGCCGCCCGACGCTCCGAGCCGTGGCGATGATTTGGCAGCAAGCTATGCGCTGCGACCCAAACTTGGCGCAGGAGATCGAAAGCGGCCATCGCCAGGCCCGCGGCTCTGCCGCAACTGGCTAACTGACGTTGCCGCATTAGTCAAGCGGGAGGTGCAGGTGGATGGGTGTCAGTGCGTGGTATCATTACGCGACAGGGAAGCATGGACAGCCTTGGACTTGGCGCGGTTGTGATGCAGTCTCGTATTTGAGCGTTCGCTGTTCACGTCCGTCGTGCAATCTATTTGCTTGGGTGCATATGTATGTTCATCCCAAGCCGCAAGCTAGTTGCCTCTAACAACACTCCGCCGCCGGAGGGATTTCTCGCACTTGACGCTTGTGCATAGGCTAACTAATCGCTGCCCTCGTGCTGAGCAAGTTGCTTTTTCAGGACTACAAGTTCCAACAACTAAATGATCTAGCTTCCGTACACTACACATACACATGCAAGGCAAGTTGGCGAAGCCTCTGGTGACTTCCGATAAGGGGCCAGAAGCTGTACATTGGTGTAACGAGTTTGCGTCTTTTCTGTTCCCTGAGATCCTAGACCATGCCGGGTCCTTGTCCCGGCCGCAGTCAATCTCAAGACTATGACTTGACCGTGCTGAGGCCGGATATGCACAATGCTTAATGTGCCTACTCTAATATGCCCATTGCAACATCAAGGGATGCCTCTGAGCGTTGCCGGCCGCGGCTCTCGCCCCTTACCATTGCATCCGTCTCGGCTTTTGATGCTCGCTCAACGTACGGCACAAGTCACAGGCTTCATCTCCGCAGGTTGTCACCGCAGAGTGACGTGTTGGTCGTGCCTGTGGCGAAGCCCAGCCCGGTCTACCTGAACACCAAGGTAGCATTCCGATGCACCTGTGGAGTGCGGCAGGAGCGGAGCCGGTTACTGCAACGGCATTGGGGCGGAGATCGTTATTGGACATGTGAAATGTCTGTCAACGCAGATGCGGGTGAGCTGAACGGTGCCTTGCCGGTGTGTACAGCTCAGTGGCAGCAATATGTGGGCGGAGTTCGCGATCCTGCGCGCGGAAGACGGCTCGTGGCCCGCATCGAAGAAGAGAATAAAGAAATATCCTCATCTAGGAGGGTATAAAATGCAGGCGTTCTCTCTCGTTTACATCGACTGCTGACCCTCCATCATCTCATCCTCCAAGCCAACACCTCCCGCACAGATCTTCACACATCACATATCAAAGCCGCAGCCATGAAGCTCTTCGCCTTCACCGCCCTCTTCCTCGGCACCGTCATGGCTGCCCCCACCAACGACCACGGCAGCTACAACGCGTGCCCCAACGGCCTCTACTCGGTCGAGCAGTGCTGCGCCACTGACGTCCTGGGCGTCGCGAACCTCGACTGCACGTCCCGTGAGTTCAGGAACCTGGGAGCAACCCACTGTTGGTCCTTTAAGTAGCAAAATATTGACACTCCATGGCAGCCGACGAGTATCCCCGAGACGCCCGGAACTTCCGCGACGTTTGCTCGGCCGAGGGCAAGTTCGCCCGCTGCTGCGTCCTTCCCGTGGTATGTCCATAAACCTTCGCAGAGCGTTGCGTTCTACGAAGATGGAAGATGAAGCGTGTACTAACATTGTCTTAACCATAGCTCGGCCAGGGCGTCCTTTGCGTCAAGGCCCCTGGCACCTAAGCAATGACTCGATCTTGAGCTGGCACCTCGTGTCTCCAGTCCTCCGGACACAAACTGTGCCCCAGCCATGCTTTCCGGTGCGAGTTGTGGGGGCAGGGAGCTACGAGGTCACGGAAGCAACACATCATGTCATCTTCGCACAGCCAGTGCCTGTGCTGAGAACTGTAATTTGAGAGACTGAAACGCTGCCCTATATCATGCTCCTTAATCAATCTGGTATAACCCTAAAGCGCTCGTGTGTCCTGAATGTACCAATCTGGGCTGTCGCACACGTATTTATATCCCAATGGCATGGTCCGCTACGTTATGAGGTCTCGCTCCTCATCCTCTCCTGAACTGGCAGCAGATCAAGCCGACGCTCCAAACGCCATTTTCCATCCCGTGGCCAAAGAGGTACCCAAGCCTCGAGATTTCGCCCTTAGATGTAAAACATCGTGTCCTTGAGTTTCTCGTGCGTCTTGATGTCATCACTCGCACTGCCAACGCCACCAGCAGTGTCCGTCACAGACGCGTTGGTCGATCCTTCAAACAGGCTGGACAGGTAGCATCTGGCCCTCTCGCAGAGAATATCCGCATAGTAGGCCGGCGTGCAAATGCTGACCGCCCTTGTCGCGCGCCCAAACGTGTAGGACATGTTTTGCGTCAACTCTTGCAGCTCATCCGAGGCAGCCGCCTCGGCACTCGAACGCGCGTGTCTCGCACGAAAGATCTCATCCAGCACCACGACGTAGTGTGCCGGCCGCGCAGTGCCCTGCAGTGCAGCGTGCGCCTGAAGGAAAAAGTCCCAAGTTTTCCCCTCGGTGACGCCGCGGTCGACAACGGTACCGGGCTTGGTGTTGCCGGAACGATCCATGTCAGCCTCCGAGCTCGGGTAGAACCGCGTGTGGTGCCGCTTTCCAACAATGACGACAGTCATGCGAGGCAATCCCTTTTTCTGTGCGTCAGTTGGATAAATCTCTTTACAGGCAGCGCGAAGAAGCGGCAGCTCTTCGTTCAGGACGAGCTGGTACTGGCCCTCGGAGACGCCGTCGCGATACACCAGTATGTTTTCGGGAAGCGAGGCATTCTTTCCCTTGGTGTGCCAAAGCCTCAGACGAGACAGTAGCATGTCTTTGAGATCCGCCACCATTTCTTGTCGTCTCTGGGGCTGAATTCTCAGGGCAGCAGGCCACTGCCCCATGGACTTGTCCACACTGGCAACCATGCCGGCGATGCTGGGAGCCTCAGAGCTGGAGCCCGGAGAAGGGTGGGTTACGTCGATGCCAACAACCATCGTTTTACCATCGGCGATCAAATCGTTTCGCATGGGCTCCACGACTTGGTTGCTGCCGCCGAGCTTGAGGTTGACCTTGAGAGCCTCGTTGCGCAAGTATTGGTCTTGGCCGCTAGCCTTGGCAAGCTTCTTGCCGACGCAGCAAACTGTCTGGATACCATATTTGACATCGCCGAGATACTTGATGCGGTTGTATAGAGGAATCGGGCCGGCAGGCAGTACCACGAAGAGTAGGTCCAAAGAGTTGGCAGCGCGTTGAAGACACTGATCTAGAGCCGGGTCCTCCTCGTCGCGGAGGCGGACGCGCTGTGGCTTCATGGGGGTGCTGGCGGCGATTCCAGTGCCTACTAAGACGGCGTAGAATTTGTTCATCACATCAGTGAGGCCTTCCATCGTAAACTTATGCGCGTCGTGGTAGAATTCTGGAGGGAATTCAATGTACAGGCACGACCAAGTCCTCAGCGCCATAGTAGTGCTGAACTTGAGGGCCGGGCCGCCTTGGGGAACCATGTTCCAACCGCCGGCCATCATTTGGGCCTTTTGGTTGGCCTTGTACAGGACCCTCGGCGTAGCGAGAATGCGACCATGGACGGTGACGAGATCCGTTCCGACAGTGACGCCGAACGTGGCCTATAGGCTGTCAGTGTGACTGGCTACACGTAGTCAGTCAGGCGTCGCGTACCAGTAGCGGGTTGGTGGCAGGAGAAAGGCCAGCCGTCCTCAGACCCTGGCTGACGATCGACGTGGCATTGTCGGCTGGCCGCCGGACTGCGAACCTGATCATGTTCTGCGTTTGGCCAGGGTCGAGCTTTGTTTGCGCTGCCTGGCCTGGAATCACGGAACAGACTTGCGCAGGAAGGTAGGACGGCCGGTCGCGAGTGCCGACGTTGACCACGGGCATGGAGGGGTCGGCGATCTTGATGTTGTGCGCTGTCTAGTTGTTAGCGGTGGAAACGCCGCAGAAACCAGGTGCGCTCCTACTCTTCAAGAAAAAGTCATAGACCGAGATATAGTGGCCTTCGGATGGTGCCTTCTGCGGGCCCGCTTTGCTGCCCTTGCCTCCCTTCTTCGTGCCGGCGGACGAAGCAGACGATGCTGCGGGCTGAGCGTCAAGCCAGAACTCAACCCCGTTTGAACCCGCGCCGTGTTCTCGCACGCGCGGCGGATGCGGCAGGCCTTGGCCATCACGAGGGCTTGCCAAGGCAATGATTGTCTTGACCCGTGGGATGACTTTGCCGTTGCGGTTTCTCTTCTCCCGGAGATGATTTGTCGTTACGCGGAGCTTCTTCAAGATGCGCTCCAGCTTGTAGAACCCACGGGCCTTGCCAAACGTCATGATGAACCGATCGAGCGGGCCCTCTTGGTAGAACGCTCCATGGCTGACATTGACGTTGACGAGCACGCGGGCCGTGGCCGCGCGGACACTGGCGTAGAAACCGCGGATAGCGGTGAGACAACCGCCGAGGTCAAACTGGTCGGAGGCGGCCGGGTCCATGGCAAACGTCTTGGACGAACCGATGGTGGCAAGGCTGCCGGTCGACTTGGCGTAATGGTTCAGAAAGATGTTGAAAGCCTGAATCATGGGCAGCTTGGCGTCGTAATTGGCCGACACGTTCGTCGACGTGACGTAGTCGATGAGCTCAGAAGTGGACAGCACATTGGTGCGCTGGAGCGTCACCGTGTACACCGTGGCGTTCTCGGCGGGATCGTCCTCGTCTTCCTCGCGATACGTGATTTGCACGGCCTGATCGGGAAACTCCTGACGAGATATGAGTGTCGACCGAAAGTCGGTAACGACTTCATCTCGAACACGGTTGAGCTCGGACGACTGAAGCAGGAGGCGAATAATCTGCGTCGTCTTTCTCTTGGGAGCACTGGGCTGGATGGACATGTCGTAGCGATACAGAACGAGCTTAGGGGCGACGGCAAACGTGACGTAGTTGCTCCAGAGAACGATGGCCTTGCCCTTGGTGCCGTAGCCGGGCCGTGTGGGAAAGGCAGCCTTGAGCTGAAGGCTGTCGAGGCTGAGGGCTCGTCGGCTCGCCTGGATAGCGTCCTCTGTTTTGGTTACTGTCGCGTCTGGAGCACATAGTCCTCCGGGAGATCTGGGTGCCGACCGGAAATGGTCTCATTAGCGTCCGAAGGACTGTGTGAGGATCATCAGGACGCAGAGATGCCTTTCATACCTGAACACTGTTGGCGGGCCTGCAGCACCTCCGCGGCCGAAGCCACCACGAGGCGCTCCTCCGCCGCGAGGGCCGCCTCCACCGCGATGGCCTCCACCACCGCGAGGGCCTCCTCCACCACGAGGACCACCGCGCCCGCGTTGGTCGAAGCCGCCGCGGTAGGACATCCTGAGGTTGTACCACGAACTTTATCTGATGCAGTAGTCAGGTCCCGTTTCGTATTAGGATAACCGGAGCCAGAGCCGTTGAGGTCAAAGGGCGCTAGAGAAAGATGACCGGCGTGGCGCTGTGGGGATGAGGGGAAGAAAGTCTAACTAATGCACGACGGATGGGAGCGGAGGGGTTGTGGGAAGAAGAGAAGAGGGCGGACGACGGGGGGCGAAGGACAAGCTTCCAGGTTGAAGAGCGTACAGTGCCCTGCAAAGTGTGCCTGATGAGGTGCAAACTCAGGCCGCGCGCCATGCGGCTCGGGTGGCAATCGTCACCGTGTGCAACGTCGCCGATGCTCTGCATCAGTGTAATGCGCCCGTGAGTGCGCCTGCCGCCGGATGCTGTGCGACTTCACCGTGGCGGTGTGCACGAGCACTGCCTGTTCTCCGAGCCTGCCAACAACACGGTGGTGCCTTGTGGGCGAGGGGGGAATGTGCGATATCCTGTGCTGGGCCGCAGGTGTGACCCGGCAACCATGGGGTTGAAGAAGAAGGGGCAGGATGAATCGGCGGCGCAGTCACAGTGCCTTTTTGCAAGCACCCAATCTGATGCCTCCTGGCTACCCGAACATGCGTTTGCGCATGAAACCGCCGACCAGTCGGGCAGCGTCTGCACAGCTACTCATCCCATGACCCCATGTTGCTCGCGCGGTTCATGCCCGAAGCAAAGTTCTCATACCACTGCGGAGAGCGCTGCGAGGCCACATGTCTCACACTACCCGTCAACAAGGATTGAATGGCAATTGCAAACGACCGATAGGCATCGGCAGTGGCGCGCTCCACTACTCTAGGGGTCCCATGTCAGCTCCGTTGGTTGACCCTCCCAGTACTAGCCTTCTGTGCTTCGTACATATGTACAGACACGTGGTGGCAACGCTCGCCTTCAAGTTAGGGCCATGCCGCGAGGCAATGCCCATGAATCATGAGGTTGTCCAGGCACGTGTGGAACTCTGAAGCAGACTGCAGGCGGATCACTACACGGCGGAGCGCGCGTCATGATGCGACTGCTCGAGTGATTCAGATGAGACAGCCATCAGTGCGACTCCGCGCGACCGCAACCTGCCGCTAAAAGGCTCATCCACTTACACGCCATAACCATCGGAGCACCACTTGCACAACTTGCAAGCCAAGCCGGTAAAGGCGTCGCCGGGGTCCTTCTCCCCTCTCCATTCGGCAACTAGCCGCAGCTTGTTCACAGCACCTTCGAAAAGCCCAGGCACATCAGCGTCAGCACGCATTGCTTGTCGGTCCCAAATCGGGTCTTCCAGTTCCGTGGCGAGATGATGAAGAACGGCGACAGAGCGTGTCAGCTGCTCCCACTGGATGAAGGAGACGTTTGCAAGCTCGGACGGCGAGAGGCCAAGCATGGCCGACACGCACGCTTTGCCAGAGCGCGTGCACTGCCAGAGGCGCTGTGTTTGCTCGTGCCGGGCCGTCCTGCTATCCGTCGTGCCCTCGGACAAGCCGCTCGTAGGTCCGCTGCGAGTCATCCTGCCAAACTGTCGCAGCATGACCGGCACGGTCGACGCGAGGGAGTAGAGGCTCAGATTGAGGCATAGCTCTACAGAGTGTGCGTGCGCCATGGCCAACTTCCCATACAGCAGGCCTGAGGACACACCCGGCTGAAGTTTGTGGAGCTGCTCCAGATGTGTCTCGAGAGACATGAGAGCGGGAGATGTTGACGCCTCTGATACGCTAGAGCCTGGGTTCAAGTCATGCTGTCGAAGGAGCTGATTGCTTTGGTAGGCAAGGAGCTGCAAACGGACCTGCAGAGCGAACGCTTCGTCTGTGGGACATGCCTTGTTTGCGCTGATGGCCGCAAGGCCTTGCTCCATGTGCGTCGTCCAACGAAGAGCATCAACATGACCGCAGTAGGCCGAGACGGCGGAGCTGAGCACAAAACACCCGAGGACGGCACGCTGGCGCTCCAGAAATTGTGCCGGTGTCAGTTGGCCCGCGTAGCCAAACTTGTTGCCGCCGCCGCCGCTGTCGCCGGCAAACAACGCGGCAACGGGTTCCGTGATGTGCCCCCGCTCAGGGACTGCCTGATCCAGACGCATCTGTCTGACCAGCAATATGGCATGTATCATGAGCCGTGGCATACGGAGCCCGTCAAAGGCGAGACTCCGTCCCCAAGCCAGGTACGTCAATAGACCGAGGAGAAAGTCCATTTTGGCCAAGCCGGACTGGGCTCCCTCCTCAAGCTCCAGTGTGGCTTCGCATATTGACCTGTCGAGCTCCCTGTCTCTCATGACTCTGTCCGCTGTCACCATCGCCGGCATCGCCACGTGGAGAATGGCACCAAATAAAAAGGGTCGGTCTTTTCGCAGTTTCTGGGCTGCAAGCTCTGCCGGTAGATCCATAAACGCAAAATTCGGCAGCATTCGCGACCGGAAGCTGGAGAAAAGCTCATCAATATCTGCTTCCACCCTGGACGGGTCAGACGTAGCCACCGAGCCTTTCCAAGCGCCGGCTTGCTTTGTCCGGCCATTATTGTCCGCGAGCGTCGCAGTCGTCGCTGATTCGGACCCCGCGAAGGGCCCCGCGAAGGGTTCCCAGTCAGGCGGTCGTTGACTGTGACGCCTGTGAACGTCGTCGCGCTCGTCATCGATGACAGTGCGGACGGGATGACGCGCCGGGAAATGTGAAATAACTCCGTCTATCTCGCGTACCAGCTCGCCAATTCGGGTCCTTGAATTCAGGTCCTCATTGTCAGCGCGCCGCCGGATCAAGTCAGACGGGCGACACGCCTCGTTGCGTCGGTGGCATCGTTGGCAAGTCTTTGGTGCGCCACCATGGGCGCCAGGACGGGCAATGCATTTGCTTTTGGACTTGAAGCAATTTGCGCACGCGAGGCCGTGGGGCCCGGAATGACTTGGTCCTCGTCTCGCCATTGATTGCACAGCTCACAGTTCCTTTGCTGCGTCCAAGCCTTGTCGATGGCCTGGTTTTATCGGAGTCCGCTCTGACACCACAATCTGGGGCCGGCTCGGCGCTTGCTTGTTTGGTCATAATGGGCTCAAGCGACACTAAAGTACAGGCGGGCCTCCGGATTTCGGATTCCGAACTCCAGGCACATCATTATCACAGCAGGAATTGCAACACCGGGCGGAGTCCGGTCCTGGCGGGTGCATACGGCGTGGTACTTGGGCGACGGATTGAATGACAGCCCGATCAAGATGGACTTCACATAACATGACCGGGCACGAAATTGCGCAAACTCAGTGCATTTATAATCGAAGAATGCCATTGCAACGGGACAGGACGGGCGGCGATGCCGCGAGGAGTGTATATAGTCTGCTCAGAGCCGCGCGGCGAAGCGCGGCGTTTTCGCTGGAGGCGCATCAAGAGCCAAAGAAATAGGAGACGTTCTTAAGATGGCCAATTCGACACCCAGAGCCACAAACGGGCCCCGTGATGGCGTAGCACTGTACGACACTCGGCAGACTGCCCTAACGCCGCAGCAGGAAACAGCGCATGTCAGTGCATCGCATTACAATGACCACACGGAGCTTCCGTACGAGTATCCGACGGCGCTCCCGCTTTACCTCGTTCTAACCTCGGTCACTCTGGCTTATTTCTTGTTCTTTCTCGATCTTGCTGTCATCTCGACGGCAACTCCTGCCATTACCTCTCAGTTCGACTCGTTGGTGGATGTCGGCTGGTAGGCTCATTATCAGACACTTGGGCACAGGGTCAAATTCTGACTGAGGCGCGCAGGTACGGCGGTGCCTACCAGCTTGGAAGCGCTGCCTTTCAGCCCTTAACCGGCAAGCTGTATAGTCAGTTCTCCACCAAGGTATGCCCTGCGAACGCTTTCGACAGCTGAAGCCTGCCCTGTCCAGGAGTACAAGCAGCTGACCTGGACTAAAACGCAGTGGACGTTCCTTCTCTTCTTTATCATCTTCGAGATCGGATCTGCCATTTGCGGAGCAGCCCAGTCGTCCGCCATGTTCATTGTCGGTCGTGTCATCTCCGGTGTGGGCTCTGCCGGCGTGGCTAACGGTGCGCTGACAATTATCGCTGCCGTTCTCCCAAGGAAGAGGCAGCCGCTCTTCATGGGAGTCAATATGGGCATTGGCCAGTTAGGCCTGGCCACGGGCCCCATCATCGGCGGCGCCTTTACCTCCCATGCATCCTGGCGGTGGTGTACGTAGCTGTTCAATTTACCACCGCGAACCCGTCGCAAGCTGACGGTTCTGTTAGGCTTTTACATCAATCTCCCCTTGGGCGTCGTCGTCGGTGGGTTCCTTCTCTTCAACACGATACCCGAACCAAAGCCCAAGCGCCCGGCTCTCCAAGTGCTCGGCACGGCTGTCAAATCCTTGGACCTGCCAGGCTTCTTCCTCATCTGCCCCTCGGCCGTTATGTTCCTATTAGGTCTACAGTACGGCGGGAACAATTATCCGTGGGACAGCTCCGTAGTCATCGGCTTGCTGGCCGGCGCCGCGGTCACATTCTGCCTCTTCATTGCCTGGGAACGGCGCCAAGGCGATGAGGCCATGGTGCCATTTACAATGCTCAAACACCGCGTCATCTGGTCGGCCGCTATGACCATGTTCTTCAGCCTGTCTAGCACCCTTGTGGCCGACTTTTACATTGCAATCTACTTTCAGGCTATTCTGAACGACTCGCCGTTGATGAGCGGGGTGCATATGCTGCCGGTAACACTGGGCATGGTCCTGTTCACCATGATTTCGGGTGTTTTGAGTAAGAGTGTCTGCTTCACCATTGTTGCCCCGTGTGCTAATGGCGTTCACTTCGCAGTTTCTGTGGTGGGCTATTATTTACCATTCATACTTGTGGGGGCTGCTACATCGGCTGTGGGCTATGGGTTGCTGTCGAGACTCAGTCTAAGGACCACAGTAGCACAATGGGTCGGGTATCAGGTTCTGTATGGTGTCGGGAGTGGCTGTACGGTCGCGGCAGTCAGTGTACACCCTCCCAGCAGACATACCTTGCGCTGACGTGATGTCTGCGCTTCAGCCCTACATTGCTATACAGAATCTCGTGCCTGCGGAGCAGATTCCACTCGCCATGGCCATCATTATTTTCACACAAAATATCGGGGCCGCCACGTCACTCATCGCCGCCAACGCCATATTCAGCAACAGCCTTCGACACGAGCTACAGCAACGCGCCGAACAGATTGGCCGCACTCCGGATGCAATCGTCGCGGCTGGTGTGCGCGGCATTCGTGACTTGGTATCTGACACACGACTTACGGCTGTACTTACAGCCTACAGCAAGAGCATTGACCACGTCATGTACCTCGGCATCGGCGTCAGTGTTGCCGGGCTGGTCTTTGCTTGGGGGCTAGGATGGACGGATATCCGCAAGATCGAGAAGCCCAATGCCATTATCAGCGACACTTCTGACGCAGGCGAGAAGGACCCGATCCCAACAGTCACGGCGAACAGCAAGTAGACGCTCGTGATGCTCGTGTCAAAATTGATTGAAATTTCTTGAGCGGGAAGATCGGGCAAACGGGGGACAGCCATAGAGGAGATGCACCATGCATGAATGCAAGGAGAAAAACAAGGTGCTCTTCAAGCTCGACGAATAAGACAACTGTGCTACTCTTGAGGGCAACGAGATTACTCTGCAGAGATAGCTGTCAGGGCCCTAGACACGGGAGTGCTTCCTGAGTTCCACGAGCTTAAGATACCGAGAGGCCGTTCTCTCCCGACCACGCTTTCCCCAGATAATGACTGGAACGTGAGCAAACCCAATGACAATAGCCAAGATTCCCATCACAATGAACATGTTTTGCAGGCCCTGGGCTTCGATCCAGGGGTTAATGGCAAAGAAAACAGCCATGCTAACGACATTGCGGATAAAGGCAACAGCTACAAAAGCTTCGCCGGTGATCTGAGACGATGGTCAGTGACAAGAAGAATGGGGGCTTGGAAACCACAGAGCTACTTGCCACTTGGTAGCTGTCGATGAGCACAGTGATTGCCAGATCAAAGATGCTGCCGCATGCAAAGCCGAAGATGGCGCTGCCTATACTCGGGAATATCCAGTGCGTTCCCTTTGGGCGGTTAGTTCTCGTCAAAAGTGCTGGTCCAGGGCGAGGAACATGCCTTGGCTGTGGTGATGCCAAAAATAATCAACCCTGCACCGAGAGCGAGGGCGGGTACATGAAGGAGGTGAAGTCGCATCTCTGGCTCATAGTAGCCGTGGTTGCGACGGGCGAGCCTAATAACAGACCAGTCCGACAGCAAACCGCCATAGACTGCCCCAAAGATGCAACCGATGTAGATGGGGACGTTCATGTTACCGATGCCGATGGTCCCAAAGTTGTATGGGGGCTGTGCATATGCGATGGAGATGACAGAGGCTTGAACGGAGATCCAGCACAAAGTGGCGGCGTATTGCAGTCCAGTGTACAGGACAAGTGGAAACCGAAAGGCCACAAAAAAAGGAAGATATGTAAGATTCCAGAGTGACTCGTCAGTCTTGGTGATCAGACGCAGTCGTTGGCGCCAAGTGAGAAGCGGTATCGTCTTGTCGATGCGCTCGGAATGGTCCCGCGGGTTTGAAACACAGGCCAAGTCGTCCACAGCCGGCTTCGTGTCTGGTGACTTTTGTGAAGGATTCTCCCCGGAGTTTCGGGGGCTGAGTGGTACTTCTGCTTCGATGTGTGGGATGTATTTGGTCTCCTCGAAGAAGAGGCAGAAGAACACGAAGAGGACGGCTTCAATACCGAATGCGATCCAAAAGCATCGTCTTCAATTACCATCCGCAGCTATGTAACCGGCAATCATGGGGCTGAGGAAGCTCTTACGCTACAGTCAGTGATGGAACAGAGGGAACGGAAGAGGTATAAGATTGTCTCGTACACCAGTCATAACCATGGCCGTGTAGGCACCGTTGGCGGTTCCTCGCTGATGGATGAAGTACATATCCGCCACCTGAACCCTCGTTAGCTAGCACATCGCCACCGCAGTAGATTGCCACCTACTGTCATCTGGACGATAGTCTCATTTGTGGCATTAGCCATTCCGAGTATCAAGGAAGACACATAAAGCTCCACGATAGTTGTCATTTTAGCCTGCCACACGGTGCAGACAAGCATCGCCGTTAGGGAGACGATGTAGACAGATCTTCGGCCGTATTTAATAGCAACGGGGATGAAGAAGACGCATCCTACACTTGTACCAGCGTATGCAATTGCTAGCGATGTGTTCATCTCGCTATAATTGCTGTCAAACTCGGGAACCCAGAGCACCCAGAAGATGGCTGGTATCGCAGCCCTGGGCAAGGGATCAGCATCCAGTTGTCCAAGTGAGATCCCTCGAAGACCTTACATCGTAAACATCATGGTTGTGTAGACAAGGATGGGCACGAAATTAACCAGCTTCCTCGAACGCGTCCAATTCTGCAGCGCGGTTAGTCTCTCGCGGGCAGGGCGGTGGTCGTCCCGTCACACACCAAAGGGTCGTTCGGGTCCTTCGTAGGAACTGGCTGGAAGATGAGATCTCTTTTGTGCAGTTCCCCGTCCTCTAACAAGACGCGATGCATTAGCCTCGGGCTGGTTCTGCGGAGCACCGCTGGTACACAGAGCGAGCTTACCATTGATCAGACGGACAGTGCCGGGCGGCATGCTGAAGTGTCCTGGATCCATGACTGCTTCGACCCTTGACTGAGACGAGACTTGAACGGGATACTGGAATATGACCACACGATTAAAGACTGCGCTGGTCGTCTGCGACGACAGATGCACGGAGTCTTGCTCGCTTTTATTGTTCTGGGTCGCTTATCGCGACCCAGGAAGCCGGCCTTACCAGCACTCAGTGCGATGATACACTCACAGTCTGTCTCAGAAAGCGGAGTGGTTGATTTATGCGCGATTGGAGGTGCGTGGAGCTGCCATTCCTGGTTTAGTTCACCTTGGAGATAGTTGAAGTTAATCACCCAAGCCGGGAGACGTACCGGGAGATGAAGAGTGTCAATATGACCATGCTCTGTACTCGAACTCGCACTAGCACATAAAAAGGGCAAAATCTCGTCTGACCGTAGCATCTATTACTCGGGAACTTCAAACCCCAGCATGACCGATCTCTCCATCTCCTATGGTCTTCGAAGGCTCGACACGACTTATTCACACGAAGTGCTCGGGACAGGGATGTGAAGTTTAATGCTGCAGCTGACTCGCCATGCCGGCGGTTCCTGCATCCCTGCGTGGCAGCCAGCCATAGCGACCATCCTTTAAAAGGGAGCTCCATCCGCCCCTCAGCGAGTTCCACGTTATTCCCCGCCGCTGAACTGATTCACCCCGGATTCCCCAGATTCTCCAAATCCCCCGGCTCAACTGAATGTACGGCCCAATCATCACCCCCACTCCAATTGACACTTCACAGACATGGCCCGCAAGACACGATCGCGGGGCGGCTGCGACAACTGCAAGAAACGTCGGCGGAAATGTGACGAAACTCGGCCTGGCTGTCTCGTCTGCAAAGACCGGGCTATCGTCTGTGGTGGATATCCGCTTAATCTCAAATGGGATTGGGGTGTGGCCTCGCGCGGCCATCTGGCTGGCTCGACGCTGCCTGTGAGAAAGAGGGAAGCTTCTGTACACGCCAGCCCCCGGGGATTGCAGCATGATCGCTGGCGAACAAGCCCGGGTTCGGATGACTCGAAGAATGCCGCCCACGCCGTCTCCATGACTGCGCGCAGTTCGTCTTCGGGACCGCCGCGATCACTGCTCGTTGATGACATCGCCTTAGGCAGGAGCTGGGATCCTCACAGTGAGGAGAGCCGTCGATTATTTGCCAAATGTGTGTTCTTCCATGTCTCGCCTTGTACTTGCTATTGACGTCCAGGCATAGTCCAGAGGTCGACATTGTACTTGATAAACAACTGCTCCTCGACCGATGCCGTGTTGAACGAGATGATGGTGGATCTGTCAAACGAGTCTCCCGCTTGTTTTCTGGGCTGTGTGGCGCTGCAGCTGCTCCACGACGAGGGCTGTGTCGAGAAGTTCTTCCTGTGCTTCGAGAGCACACTTCGCGCCTTTCGCGCCGAGCTACTCGACCGGCCCAGCGGAGGCTCCATGCAGAGAGGTACACTTCGTGCAGGACTGCACCTCTGCACGTTGTCGGTACGTCAGTTGACCCCTCAGCGCTGAGCAATTTGCCACTAGGGCTAACTACTCCTATAGATTGAGCAGGGTTTCCCATGGACGGGTCAGCTCAAGTGCATGGCCGATCTTGCTGGCCTAGCCGACGACCAAGAACCAGCCACCCCTCCACCCGACGACTCGACGTACCACGTTCTGGAGGCTATCGCGGTCATGGACCTGCCCGACTTTGTCTTTGGCCGACAGACGGCCTGCATAGGCATGTGGAAGCGCCTGCGCGAGCACCAACGCCGGGCGACCGGAACCCTGCCTGGTGGTGTAGAGATGATGACAGCCCTTCCTCGCACACTCCTGGATATCTTTGCCCGCGTCCATGAGCCCGCGGCACAGTTCGACTTTTGGCACTGGAGTGGAGATGAGGGTCATCTGCTGCAGGCGGCGTTCTGGGATGTGTGGAGGTTCTGCGGCATTCTTCTTGCCCGTAGATCACGCGAACAGACAACCACCCGGACGAACGATGCCGCACAACCGCAAGACCGAAGCTTGACCATCTCTGGGTTGCCATCCGACGAGCACCTAGTATATCGAATCGTCGCGTCATTGGATACTCTGCGGCTGGGACTTCAACAGCCGGAGAATACGCACTTGCTCCTCGCAAACGGCATGTTTTACCCATACATGGTGGTCAGCTGCAACTTGGCCATTCTGTCCCGGCATCCAAAGTGGCTTCTTGCTCTTGATAAAGTTAGGGAGCTTTGTTTCCGGGATCCGTCCCAAAACATTGTAATCGCCCAGAGTCTGCTTGAGGAAAGCAGGGAAAAGGGAGACGAGTTTTTTGACATATCCGAGGCGGCGAGGGTCCGCGGGATTGAACTAGCAGTCTTCTGACGGAATTCTTGGCTGCCTGGCGACCGTACTTGTACTAATATACATGTACGACGAGGATGTGCTGACCTCTCGTAGAACGCATTCAGTCCTTGGCCATGAACCAAAGCGTACATTCGTCGGGCGCAGACATAGCACGCTGAGGCGTGAGTACGGCGCTGCCTATCTCTTTGAAGCCAAACCGCTGATAGAACGGTACGCTTCTCCGGCTGGTGGACTCAAGGACGACGGGAACTCGCGCCGGCGCCAGCGCCAGAATTTCCTGAACAACCATGGAGCCCACACCCTTGCCCTGCAGGGCAGGGTCGACAGCAATTACCTCGATATATGTGACAGGTTGGCGGAATCTCTTTTCCATACACTCGAGCATGCTGTCATGTATGACTAGCATGTGTGTCGTGCGCTGCAATACTCAATAAGCAGTGCCTCTCCATCTTGGCGTCGGGACTAGAACAAACCTCGTCGTCGGAGCCATCATGAACAGGCTTGGTAATATTCGACACCCATAATCGAAATCGCGGAACTAGTCGCAGCAACCAATGCTTGAAGGTAAACGGCTCCATCACGAACGCAACAGCAGCGAGCACAAGTGGTTTGCCCTTTTCCGCCTCTTCTGATCTGTTTCTCAAGGCAAAGACTCGCCCATCTACCATGTTTTGACGAACCCTGCGTACCTGCCAGGTCAGGACTTTGGGGTCTGTCGAGCACCAGCCGTTCCTGTCTGGACGGAGCCACGTAATCAGTGGATCGTTGGAGAAACTGTAAGCCCAATTATGAGCATATTCTTATCGAGGACAGTGCACAGGGACAGACAAACGCATCGCATATAGTCCTCGCCGCTGCGATAATCAGATCAGGGGGAGAGCCTTGCGCAGCCATCGTTAGCTCTCGAGCAGGCAGCTACCAACCTAGTTGATGGGACGGCGTACCTGGGAAGAGCTCAAAAAACTCGAAATCCGACTTTGGGGCGGACATGATGGCGCAGGATAGCGAGGGTGAACAACTTTGTGACACTGCCAGTGGTGCGGGTGTGCGACATGGCGCTGTCTATAAGTGTAACGGACGCGGTACTATCCAGGGGCTAACCATCTAGGTGGATAATGCTACCCGATTCAGGAGGTCCACGCGACAGACCCAAAGTCAGTGATCGGTTATGTCGGGACTAGGCATGCATGCCCGCGGTCGCGTTACTTGAATTGTTGCTCACTTAAACAACATCGTTGGTACCCTTAGTCTGCGCTTTCTCGCCGTGCTTTGCAGAGAATCCGTGGGCCTTGTTGAACTCTCTATGGCGACCGGCCAGCAATAGAAGAGAAAGGAAGTCATTTATCTTAGGCCCAAGATGAGTTTTACTCGGTCAACATGGTAATACTATTAGATCTCCCTGCTGTGTCCGTATGTGCATCTCGTTGTCCTCCGAACTGTTCGCCGTCTGAATCCCAAGAATGGTAGTAAACCTCACTGAGGAGGAATGTATACGAAGTCAGGAGATGACGAGTTACTTTCTACTTCTATCTAAAGCCATGACAGCGGCGATAATCCTGAAACGTGAAGCAATGTTAGGTAGGAATATACGCCCTGGAAAGCACGCTGTTGGAGCCGGATATGTTAGGTTGTATAGCTGAGTAGGGTCTTAGACGTCGACCCAAGCATCCATCTCACGTTGGCCAAATCGTCCATGGCAGCGACCCAGTTCTCAAAGATGCCTGCATTGACAATCGCATTCATCCTGCTGTATTTGCGAACCGGCTCAGCCTCCTCCTCGCTGATCATGGCGCAGGTGTCGTCGGGTCCGTAGCGCATCCAGCGACTGCGCTTGTTGTATTGCTCCCAGGGCTCCCTCCCATACGCGAAGTCGAGGAAATCGCCAGCGACTTTGGATGCGATTCGGCGCTGACCGTCTGTCATCTGTTCCTTCATGTTCAGGAAAACGTACCCGATGTCGATGGCGTGGTGGGCAAGGCCCGTGTAGAGGCCATCTAGGGTCGACTTCTGGTCGAAATGGTACGCATAGATAGGGATTTCAGATGCTTGAGCGTGCTTGCGGTCCAGAAAGCCAAAGAGACCGTCAGCAACCATCTGCTCCAAGTTTCTCTTCCAGTCATCTGTGCTGGCACTGGGGTTGATGCCATATGCTCGCAGCACCAGCTCTATTTCGGGCTCCTTGAGAAAGATGGACAGTCGCTGTCGAGCAAGTTCAAGCGTTTGCACCGATAGATTGTGGGAAAAGATCATGCCTTCGTGCGTTACGTTCCCGATCATGAAGGAGTTCAGCCAAGCAGGGGGCGATGTGTACTTTCCCGGCGAGGGAGAGCTGGCGTAGAACCATCCGTCATCACACATGTTGCCCGTTGCATCAATCGTGCCTTCGATCGGGCAAGTTGCTACTGCAATCTCGGCTTCTGGGACGTCGCGAAGCCGATCCAAGGCGTCCGATGCCAGAGGGTCAATGCCGAAGCGCTTCAGAAGGACGTTCCATCGCCTCTCGTGCTGTTCCAGCGACCAGACTGGCCACGTGTGTAGGCTGCCCGACATACTGATGCCACGGTGGAAAGTGGCAGGATTCGCTGCCCAGGTGTGGTGGCAAACGCTCATGCCACCGGCCGACTCGCCGAAGATGGTGACGTTGCCGGGATCTCCGCCAAACGCGCCAATATACCGCTGCACCCAATCCAAGGCAGTTTGCTGATCCGTTAAGCCAAAGTTGCCGACGCCCTTAAAGCCATCTTTTGCAAGATCGTCTCTAATTGCAGCAGAGGCGAGGAACCCAAACAGGCCGACCCGGTAGTTGATGCTAACGCCGACGATTGGAGTTCCTCGTGCGTTGGAAAACGACACCAGGTTGACCATGTCGTACCCAGGATGCGTTGCCGCGCCGAAAATGAACGAACCTCCGTGAATCCAGACCATGACTGGAAGGCGCGCCGTAGGGCCGACGCCTTCAGGCATCACCACGTTCAAGTTGAGGGCGTCCGCCTCGCTTTCAACGTCTGGCTTAAAATGCGAGCATCTCCTGATTGGGACCATATCGTGGAATTCGACAGCATATTCTGGAGGCTGAGGGCAAATCGGACTATGTTGGTTTTCGTTAAGCTACCAAGTATCTCTTTGTCTCAAGATGTAAGGCGTGCATTACGTACCCATGCTGTGTTCCATCGTGGAAGCCGTCTTTGAGCAAGGTATTTAAGACGCTGCGTGTCCAGCGTTTGGTGAGGTTCGCGTAAGGAATGGCACAGAACTGCCGAGTGCCATCTTCGAAGATGAGACCCTTGATGGTACCCAAAGAGGGCACGTGAAAGATCGTGGTGCCGGTGGGAGTTGGGGGTGCCATAGCAGCTGCAGCCGAGATAGAGCATGGAGAAATAAAATAGAGTTGAGGTCGCGCTGTGCTTGCTTAAGACGGCAGCTATTTAACATGGTCACCATGCATAACAGCCGTGAGTAACAAGTCTTTCCAAGCGTCAATGATGGCTTCTGGGGAGCTCTCTTCCCCAACTTGGAAGGCCCATCCACGCACCGATCTATTAAAGCCTGACATTACCGACTTCGAGCACCGACATTAAAGCCGCACGTGCGCGTGTCATCGCTTATAGTGAGTGAAATAATTTACTTGGGAACAAGCGCAGGCGCAAAGGGATCTCAACGCACCACATGCAATGTTCACGGGGTTAGAATAGTCCGTTTCGCGAGGAGCATGCTACTGTACTGAACGAGTACTAGCAGTTGTTGTCCACTGTTGCTAGGCCTGAAAAGGATGGTCCATCCACTGCTCATGTAGCTAGGACTGACAACAACAGGAAGCAGGCAGCGCCTTGCGGCACGGCATCGCCCATTCTCCCCGCTAGTTGTGCACAGCGGCGTCATTGCAGGGAACGAATGCCCCGAAACGCGATGGATTGAAGCAGCCACTAGCATGGCATCGCGCTGCGGAAACGTCTCCCAGGAGCCCCCGCTGGATATCGGCTGTGGCCCCCAGACACGCCACGCACGCCGATGGGCCAGGGAGTCGGCGTCGTTGCGCTTGACTGAAGGCGCAGAGCTGAAGATCTACGGGGATCTCCGAGGGAATCTGCATGAGATTCTGCAACAACGGCTCTGCGCGTTCAAAGCACAGCACGGCTACAGGTAGACATGCTCATCGGCGGGCGTACACCCGCGCGAGGCCTGGAGCCCTGGACTATCTTTGCCGGGCAGACGGCTTGCGACCGTCTGCCGGTGGGTGAACTTGGACAACAGTTGAATCCCGGCGAAGCAGCTTCAGGCAAAACGGAGTTTCGTACTACGCTGCTCGCCCACTTCGCTTCTTGACAGCAGGCCTCCCGCCACCACGGCTCCAGGCAGCAGAATCCAGGCCAGCAGATGTCCTGCAAGCAAGGGCGCGCGGCCCCCGTCTCGTCCCTCGCCTGCCGAACCGCACAGCCCAGCCAGTGCTCCACCCCAAACCGCCGATTCGTTTGCTCGCGACCAACGTAGAAACAGGCATAGCGCACCTCGACACCGTCACCAAATCCGGCAACTCTGCTCATCAGCCTCGCTCTTTTGACCTCCTCTCGGCCATGAAGCAATTTTGCGATCCACGGCGACGAAATGCGCGAAGGGGAGCAGCCGTCGTCGTCAGCGGTCTAACTCTGCTTGAGGGGTCGAACGCGAGGAGACAAATCACGGCCGGAGGGAACCACAATTGCATGGACCTTCGGCATCTTGGGAATGGTGGAAGGAAGTGTATATAAGGCTTCGGATTGAACAGTCATTGGAAACGAAATGATGGACAGCATCAGCAACTCTTGTCAACATGCTCTCCCATATGTATCCCCTCGCCATCCTGGCCGCCTCGGCCTCTGCCACTGCAGTCTTCGATCAGAAACTCCTCGGCCCAGCCTACCCGGCGCCCTCCAATCTCGCCGCCGCCAGTGCCATTCGCGAGGCCGCAGCCAGCATCTCCTCCGCCCTTAAGTCTGCCCTCGACAGCGGACACTCCCCATTTGGAAACTTCACCGGCAAGGCAACGTCCCTCTCGCTGGAGGCCGTGTCCGCCATCGATGACGGCAGTTCCCCGATCCTCGACTTCCACTACACGGCCGCCGAGCTCAACACCTCGGCCGGTAGCACCAGCAGGGTTGCTGCGGACACGGTCTACCGTATCGGCAGCGTGTCCAAGCTCTTCACCGTGTACGCCCTTCTGCTCCACGGCGGCGCCCAGTACTGGGACCGGCCTGTCACGGACTTTGTGCCCGAGCTGAGGCGGGCGGCGGCGTTGCCGGGGGCAGACGATGCGGTTGAGCGTGTGCAGTGGCGTGATGTGACGGTTGGCGCGCTGGCGTCCCAGCTATCCGGCATTGGACGAGACTGTAAGGCTACTACTGGTGCACCGTGCCAAAAGAAAGAGGGGAGTACTAATGATGGTCCTTGGGCAGACAACAATGCCGATCTAGCCAGCCAGGGCTTTCCGTGGAAAGAGGCCGGCCTGCCGCCTCTGCCTCCGAGCGAGATCCCAACATGTGCTGGGAACTCGAGCCAGCCGCCGTGCAACCGAAAGGGCACGTTCACATGTACACGCCAAGGATTCATGGAACACAGAGCTGACGTCGTCGGCAGAGTATTTTGAAGGCTTCATCAAGCGACACCCCGTCCTGCCGCCGTTCACGGCCCCGGTATACTCCAACGCAGCGTACCGAATCCTCGGCTACGTCGTCGAGGCCATCGCCGGCTCGCCCTACGACGCGGTCCTTGCTCGAAGCGTCCTCCGACCGCTGGGGCTGAAGAAGACGAGCACGGCCAGCCCCAGCGGCTCTGGTGTCGGCGTCATCCCTCCGGGAGACTCGGGTTGGGGCCGTCCCCTGGGAGACGAGGTTTCGTGAGCTTGCCGTTCTCTGCGACATGTCCTATCCTGCAGCACTAACGCGCATCAGCACCGGCGGACTCTACTCTTCCTCGCACGACCTCGCTGTATTCGGCCGTGCCCTCCTCACCAGCAAGCAACTTTCCCGCCTCGCCACCCGCCACTGGATGAAGCCCCATTCCCACACGGCCTCGCCTTCGGCCTCTGTCGGCGCCCCCTGGGAAATGGCCCGCACGCGCAGCCGCGTCACGTCCGGCTATGCCGTCGACCTGTACACAAAATCCGGCAGCGACGGACAGTACAACGCGCTGCTCGTCCTTGTACCCGAGTTCCAGGTCGTCGTGTCGCTGCTGGCCGCGGGACCCGACTCCGGGCCGGTCGTGACGGCGGCGGCCGAGACGGTCCTGCAGGCGCTGCTTCCCGCGCTGGATGGCGTGAGTCAGAGCCAGGCTTGCGATAAGTTCTGCGGACGGTATGCGACTGCGGACGCGGCTGTCAATTCGTCGCTCGTGCTGGCGGTTGATTACGAGGGGCCGGGGCTGCTCGTCACGCAATGGATCAGCAATGGTGTGGATGTGAGGCAGGTCGCGCAGGCGTATGCGGACGCAACCAAGGGCGGCGTCATCGAGTCCATCAGGCTGTATCCGACGGGCCTGTACGCTCCCGGCAAGGCTGCTTTCCGGGCGGTCCTGCAGACAGTCCCGTCTGACTTTAACTCGTCGATCCCGCGTATCCTGGATCCCAGGGCGAGCCAGTGGAGCGCCATGGACCAGCTCATGTACGGGGAGGTGGCGGTCGATGACTTTGTGTTTCGGCTGGACGGGCACGGCAGGGCTGTAGCTGTCGAGCCACGAGTGCTACGGCAAACACTTCAGAGAGTTGGCGGCAAGTAACCTGGCTGGATCAGTGGTCGTATTCGTTCACTGTTGACCTTTCGTTAGGCCGAACGGCCATCGGGCAGCTGTCTCCATTATTGGGTCGTATTTGTGATGTATACAGTTCTGTGGCACGGTTGCTATAATGCCTCATGGCCGAATGTGTTTCCAGAGTCTTCATCGTGACATTTATCTCGAATCGAGCAAGACGCGCCTTCCTTGGAGCGCAGGCCGAGCAGCGTCATACATCTATTCTACGTGATCTGCTGTGACGCGGCACTGTGCAGTCTTTCAACACCATTACCATGTTATCACCTCCGTAAAATCGTCCCACTCCCCATCCATGCCGTTCGGCCGCCACCGGAAGCTCACCTCTGCGCGCCGTAGGCCAAGCTGGGGGTATATATCTACCGAGTGAATGCGCCGCCACTCCGGAACCCGCGACAGATCCCATGCCGCCCAACTTATAGGCTTCGTGTCAGTGGCATCCGTCGACAACTTCAGCCCAAGTCCGCGGTGCAGGTCCAGGTCCAGGCCGCATTCCTCGAGCTGCATCACCCGCTCCCCGATGCGCGCATGCTCCTTGGCCTCCCACACGCCCTCCGCCCCCGGCACCGCGTCCAGCAGCGCCACGGCGCGCCGCCTGATGCCTGGGTGACGGCATTTGCACGCCGTCACGTACAGCGAGTGCACGATGCCCATGTCCAGCGTGAAGCCGCGGTGGCCTGCGGGCGTCACCCTCCGCTGCGACCCATCCAGAAGACCCGCGCAGAGCGTCACGATGTCGGCAAACTGCGCCGTGAAGCAGTCGTACATGGCTTCCTCGACGGCAAGGCACGTGGCCAGGAGGATGCTCGCTGTGAGGTACTTGACGCGGATCAACGCCGTTTCCTCAAGCGGGCCACGTTCCATAAGGGCCGTCCCAGGGGCGAGATGTCTGTCCCGGAACGCCGCGAGATCGTCCTCCAGCCTGCCAACCTTGTCGGCAACATGCAGCGGCACCGACCCGGGCTCCCGGTACCGAAAGTGGTCGGACACGGCCCTCATAAAGCTGAACAAGCGGCTTGTCAGACAAGTTAGGTCCCGGTCTGCTTCTTGGTAGCCACCTTCAGCAGAGAGTGCGTAGGTGGACACGCGCGCGGCATCGAACGTGGGGGATCGCCGGCCGAGGAATATTGAGGCCTGCAGGTCAAGCCTTGACAGCGCCATCGCGAGATCGGCGTCGACTGTGCAGAAGGTTAGTCAACGGACGACGAACTGTGAATCCTCGGATGAGTACCATATGAGTGATTCGAGCTGGCTATGTTCAGCCCATGCTCCAGATGGCTCAGCGCAACCAGCGGCTCATGCATACACAACTCAAAACCTATACAAATCACCGTACATAGCAGCACGATATTCACACACCGGCTGTCACGGCTCCCGCTGCCAACCACGCGCTGCATCTCTTGGATACACCGCTCGTAGTGCCGCAGCGCGAGCCGCACCTCGTCCGATGAGAGCGACGGCGACACACGCTCGAAGCGCTTGATCCCCCCGTCAGACGGCGAAGCTGCCGTCGCCTTCTGCAGGGCGCTAAACGCAACCGCCGCATGGCCCAGCGCCGGCTCCTCGAACACCGCCTGCAGCACGAGCCGCCGCCACGCCGACCGGCTTCCGACGATGCAGCTGACGAGCTCGCGCTGGAACAGGTCGAGGTACGCACCGACTCCATGGCCGAGCTCGCCGCCGCTGGCCTTCGCGGGCGGGAAGTGCGAGAGCGTCAACGGCGCGGTGAATGTCACGACCGGTGTGCTCGGCGCCGCGCGGGGTGCGGAGGCGACGCCATCACAGCGCCGGCCCGTGTTGTTGCAGTTGTGGCACGTCGGCCAGGTCTCATCGCAGCGAACTTTGCGGATCCTGGCGAGAAGCCATTGTCAGCGTTGCATCTCTCCTTTCTCTTGGAAGATGTGGAAACAGACTTGCAGGTCCGGCAGCCGAGTTTCGTCCACTTGTACGGCCTCCTCGTCAATTGCCGTGCCCGCGTCGATGCGTCTACTGTCTGCTCGGAGCTCATCTTTTCCGCTCTCTCCCTCCCATTGACCAAGGTAATCCGCCATGTACAAGTACATGAAGTGAAGCAGCGTCGTCACAGGTGTAGTCGTCAATTGTGCTGCCTGGTGTTGTTCGTGGGTGGCTTCGCGGGTCGTCGTCAGCTCAGAGTTGCGCCACTTTAAATCCCGGGTCTAAGCGCGGCATCGCCAATCGCAGCACCAGCCCCCTTTCGTCTCCAAACAATGCAAGGGCCGCACTTTCACAATGGACGCCGATAAGTCGATTCAGACCTATGTGCCAGCGGCAAGGGTGCCTTGCCTGATTGTGGATGCCACCATTGCCAGTGGGAGCTACAGTATGCTCTAAAGTACGGTGGAAAAGGACGGTTGACGCCTCGGCAGCATAAACGCGGATCCTGAAATGGATATGGCAGCGTGTTTATGCGCCGCGCCGCCGCACATCTAAGTAAATGCTATCGACAATGCGTCTACTGGCGGAATAATTAACGGCGCGCCGATTCCGAGCTACTAGCCCGAACGTATTGATTACCTTGCTTGCAACTAAGAGCAATTACAGACGATACGTACATACAACAGAATGCCCACGCTTTGGCCCCCTGACAGTCCAAGTAGCCAACATCACTGGTTTCAGGCGAATGCTTTACATATTGTGTGAACACGGGTATTATATGTCGTCAACTTCTCAAATGTCGTTCAGCCGAAGGAGGCAGCTCTAAGGCGTAAGCGGCCCCGCAAGCAACTGCACCTGGTGATGTGGTAGACGGACCGGCACATGTACGATCTCGAGCCAGGCCACTTACCATCTTCCGGCAGACAACTATCACCGCTTCCTAGCAGCCCCAGGCTTTGCCTCCTGACCTTCCTTCGCTTTCCTAGTCCGCTTCACCACCCGTCCACTCCTACGAGCAGCACACGAGTTCTTGCACTCCTGACAAGCCTCGTCCGTGACATAGTGGGTGATGACGTCGAACTCGCCTTCGCGCAGCGAGTCCGGGCAATCCCTCAAGCCCATGGTCTCTCCCTTGGCCTTGGCGAGCTTGCAAGGCTTCGTGATGAGGCGCGGCAGCCACGCGTTCTCCTGCTTGCACCACGTCCTGCCGAGCTTGTGAACCGCCCGTCCGTGGACCATTTTCAGGCCCATGCGCTTCAGGAGGCAGTCCTCGCCCTTCTCACAGGGACAGAAGATGATCTGCAGCTCGAAGTAGCACATCACTCCTGCTTGATGACGGGGAGTGGTAACGGTGCTCGTACCTTTTGATCAGCGAGGTGTGTGTGTGAGATTGCCGGTAAACGAGTGTAATCTGCCGTGAGGTGTTGCTGTGGACGCGCCCGATGCTGGGAAAGGAATAGATTCATCTTTATGATACCTCTAATGGCTTTTATAGAAGCAATGTCGAGAGGTTTGTGGTTCAGGCTGCTGAGGGAATTGTGCTGTGATGAAGCTGTTCAGCACCGCCATACGCTTGCTCCATGGCAGCACAGCTACCCGCTCGCACGGGAAATCACGATATCAGCACTCTATCAAAGACTCCTTTCCCGCTGCGGCACATTCATTCACAGTGCAATAGGACTGTTGATTCATCAAGTCTGCATGTTGTGCGAACAGGTCGTGTGTTCCCCGGCTTGCGCATTGATGGTCACGAAGTACTTGCCGTCAACAAAGAAATGGCAACGCTGACACAGCCTGCACGCCTGTAAGGCGCACGACCGCATTCGCTTCTACTCAGTCACCCAAATGAAGTCCTTTCACGCATTTCATACACGTAGTGCACAAGACCTGCTGTCCCCTGCTTTCCGCCGACCGCGGGACAGGCACGGCCCCACAGCTCCGTCGCCGGCCGCTCGCATCGGTCCGGCACCCGGAGTCAGGCCCCGGCGCAGGTCCGGCGCCAACGTTGCACTCACATAAAAAAGAGTGCCCCCGACGACGCGCTGACAGGGTAAATGGATTGCAGCATGCTCACCCCGTCTTGAGTTGTGACTAGGCACTTAATCAATGAGCACCCATCCGATTGGACGCCATCTCGCTGCGGCATTCTGGTCTGGACGCTGGCCCTGGTCAACACACTCAAAATAGGCTCTTTCCGCCCGTCGCGACGTTCATGCAAGTGCGTACCAGAAGCGTTAACGCCGCTCGCCGCATGATAGAGTCGTTTCGCAGCAATGAATCACGGACTAGTTTGCCTCTTGCTGTCAACCCTGGCGACCACCTAGCGCACACAAGCACACTTCGCCCGCCTCTCCCTCGGCAGCAACAACAACAACAACAATAACAACAGTGACAGCAAGCACCCCAAAGCGGCCGTCCGTCCGCAAACAAGTTCGAGAGTCGGGACGAAGCGGCAGCCAGTGAGACGCGGACCTGCGCTTCCCCGCCGTAGCATCGGAATGCACCTTACCCATGGGCCCCACGCGACGCCCAAGCAAACGGCGTGGGCCAGTGGGTAGAGAGTAGGCTGTCGCTCTGTGAGTGGACGAGTTGCCCACTGGCGATCACGCATCCTTCAGCAGAACCCCCGAGCGACGTCGAACGACTTTGGCCACGCATAGGCCTGCCAAGGCACGGGTAGAGCTGACGGGTGCTGCATGCACGTACTTGTACCTAGCAGCTGCCACATCGGGCCCCACGGGTCGCCACCCGGATGTGCGAGGTCGTGCACGTTGGGCTCTCATGGCTCTCTCCAGCCCCAAGATCAGGCGTGGCAGGCGGGAACCCAAACCTCAAGCTAGGAGAGTCCGTTCCGGCGCCTAGCTTGCCTTGCCTAGATGCCCAGGAAGCGACGCATAATGTCCCGTCCGACACGCTCCAGAGTATGGCTCTCTCTATCGGTCTCCAAGGTAGGAACAGACTCGCGACGGTGCTCATCGCGGCGTCTGGTGGCGCCATCAGATGCAGCCACCCCGCGCGTCAGACTCGGGCGGCGCGGCCCCGATCTCCGAACTTGTCCTTTGCGCCGCGGGCCAGAGGCGTTCCTCCAGCGTCAGGGGGCTGCCATGTGACTGGCTGTGTGCCTCGCGTGTGTCGCGAATCTCGAGGCGTCGACGTCTGCATCGCCGTGAAGCATCTCGATGCACAAACAGTCGAGACACCCAAACAACTGAACGGCGGGGAAACACAGAGAGATTGGGCTGGTCGAGTGCCCCCGTCATACAATATACACTGAACGACGCTGTCTTTTGGTTCACCCGTTCGCAATGCAACGTCGAGCTGAGCCGGTGGGTTCGGAGGCTTGTTAGTGTGCGTATTTAGTTACCTTGGTCGACGTCCTACTCACTTCTCATTCACATGTCCCGCGTGGCCAACACGAAACTGCGCAGGAAACTCGGCTCACGCTCGACGCCCTTCCCCCCCAGAGCCTCTCGTGCCTGTCAGCCCCCAGCCGCAAGCGTGGCCTTGAAACGAGGCACCAAGCCTCAAAGGCATAGACATGACAACGTGCGCCCACCGCCCTGGCTGGCATTCTCGGCGCGGCATACCATGCTGGAGGAAAAACCCCTGCTCGCGCCCAGCCGGCAGCCCGTAAGCACCGGGCGGGATGGCGGGCTCCTCCTCACCCAGAGAGATGAGAGAGCCTCCTTCCGTGGACGCCACTGCATCGCCCGTGCCGCCGGGTCTTCTCCACAGGCACATGAAAAAGAGCAAGGCCCACGCACCACCACAACGACGCCTCGACTGCCGCGGCTCGTCCTGACCCCCCCATGTCCGCTGATGATACCCCAGATCCCCCACACCGCGCTAGCAGAGGGGGGGCCCTTGCCCGGCGAGGCAAGCCCACCACCAGCAGCACGTCTTTCATCCATCGCCATCGCTTGGCTGGCGGGCGGCGCTGGCACTGGGTCCGATTTTTCCCCTGGCGCGATCAGCACGCAAACTGCCGCGTCCGTGTCCCATGTCCGTACGAAACCCCGTTTGGGGGGTGAGGCGCGATTGGACAATTGGCCCGCCCTGGGCGCTTGACTTGCCTGTCATCCGGGTTGCCGGTGGGCGAGCGAGGTCAGAGAGGTAGGCAGGGCCCGGCGTCCGCCCACTGCATTGTCACCCGAGACAGAGCAGGACAGAATTGCAAAGCCGAACCCAGGGCGCGCGTGGCCACGCGGGACGTTCATGGCATGAGTACGTTGTAGGCATGCTCCATACACAAGAGTCCAAGCACGGCACATGCTCCATCATACTGCATCACCTACATGCGCAATCGGCCCGCAGGGTGGGAAGCGACCCAGCAGACGAAGGAAACTCCGTGAATGTGAGTCGGCACATCGTCGCCAAGTCACAGGCAGGCAGGCACCGGATCTCACTCTCCTCTGCCAACTCTGCTCCTTTCCCCCCGGGTTCTCCGCCCACACACACGCGCGACCGCACACATGGCGCCATTCCCCCCGGACGAGGACCCCCAATGCGGCAAGGCCTGAAGGGTTCGGGATGCAGCACCCGCAGGGCTGCCCACAGGACTGGCGGCCGAACCGGGGGGTGGAGGTGGAGGGTGGGAGGGCCAAGGAAATGACGACGATCCCCCTTCCGTGAGTAGTTGTGTGATGCTGGTGCTGCTGGCCCGTGTAAGTCTCGTCTGACGCCTGGTCCGCCCCGGACACTGACGGAGCGGGAAGACTGCGACCCCATCCTTCGTTCGTATATATATAAAGACGGCCCGACGATCCCTCTCGCGTCTGTGCTTCCCTCTGACTCGCTTGTTGTCGTTGCTGTCGCTTCCCTTCTCTCCCGCTCTCTCTAACGCTCATCAACCTCGCCGCATCTCCACCACACCAAGGGACATCTTCAGTCACTGTCCACCAAGCAACCGCCAAGATGCTCGTCTCCAACATGCTCCTCACGGGCGTCGCCCTCGCCGCCACCGCCCTCGCCGACGGCAAGGCCATCGTCTCCGCCATCAACACCATCAAGGCCGACACCGTCGACCTCGGCAACCACGCCGCCTCCTTCAAGGGCGACATCATCGGCGTCATCCCCATCGCCGTCGGCTCCCTCCACCTCCTCGACGACATCAAGAAGGGCACCAAGACGGCCGACGCCTCCCAGCCCCTCACCACCCCCGAGGCCCTCGACCTCGCCGGCGCCACCGGCGACCTCGCCACCCAGGTCAACAAGACTCTCACCGCCATCATCGCCGCCAAGCCCAAGTTCGACAAGCTCCTCGTCGTCAGCCCCATCATCCTCCTCAACCTCGAGCAGCAGCAAAAGGCCACAAAGGACTTTTCCGCAAAGGTCGTCTCCAAGGTCCCCACCGAGCTCCAGGCCATCGCCCAGGCCCTCATCAAGCCCATCGACGACGGCTTCGCCCAGGCCATTGACAAGTACAAGCTCTTCTAAGCGCGTTCTTCTTTTTGTGCCTCTTGTTTGTTGTGACTCGTTTTCCGCTGCGCTCATGCGCGCGGTAAGCTGGACTTGATGTGGTGAATATGGCAGGCGGCGTCGCGCGTGGTGGCAGGACGTCGGCGACGGCCACGATGACTCGTAAGGCAGTCGAGCAAGCGAGCGAGCAAATCTTCCTGTACATATTTTCCCCGGCCACTACCAAAATATACGCGAGGCGCGCCCAGCAGCGTGCAGATGACAATGGCTACACTTCTCAAGGCTTCTTCCACTCGTTTTACCACAACGGCCGCGGGTCAGCGGGCCGCCTCTCAGCCTCCTCCCCGAGCACGACGGCCCTGAATACATGCCCAGCCCACATTTCAAACGCTTTCCAACTGACAAACCTCTCAGCTTCACGCGCACAAATGCAACTTTTCAAGATGGATGCGTCTAATCCAGCTGGTCCACCGTCTGCTCCGCGCCGTTGCCGTTCTTCTTCTCCGCACCGGCGACCTTGCCATCGGCCTCGGAGACGAGGAACCGCCACTTGAACTCGTCCTTGACCTTGCCCAGCTGAATAGCCTTGAGGTGCGTGAGCAGCTTCAGGCACGCGGCCCCGGCCTCCTCCTGCGTGTCGGGGATGTACGTGACCGTCTCCGACTCGGCGTCGCCCGTGACGCGCGGGCCGGCGGGCAGCGTGGCGGCGCCCTGGTGCTGCTTGCGGCGGGTGATGGAGCGGATGGGCACCAGCGCCGCGGCGGTGCCCGCGGCGACGACCTCGGTGAAGGCGGGCAGCTCGCCGTACTTGATGGGGCGCTTCTCCGTCTTCCAGCCCCAGCTGCGGGCGATCTGCAGGACGCTGTCGCTGGTGACGCTGTCGATGACGCAGGTGGAATCGGGGACGACGAGGGTCACGTCGTTGTTGCCCTTGTCGACGATGCCGATGAAGCCGCTGGTGCTGAATTCGTCGACGTCCTCGTGGCGGGCGCTGTCGAGGTGCAGGGTGATGCCGTAGCCCTCCTTGCGGGCCTTGTCGCTCCAGCGCAGGACGGGTGCGTAGTTGCCGCCGACCTTGGCGTTTCCTGTGCCATTGGGAGCAGCGCGGTCAAACTCGTCCAGGATGAGGGCCTTGACGGGGTGGGAGCCGTGGTAGACGCCCGTGGGGATGACGAAGACGCAAAAGGTATACTCCTCGGGGGCGGTCAGGCCCAGTTGGGCGCTGGAGCCGTAGAGCTGGGGACGGACGTAGAGAGCAGCGCCCGTCTCGTGCGGGGGCACAAAAGCAGCGTTGAGGGCGACGGCGGCGCGGCAGGCCTCGAGGAACATCTTCTCGGGGACGCGGGGCATGGAGGCGACGTCGGCCGAGTGCTGCAGGCGGAGGGCGTTGCGGTCGGGGCGGAAGATGGCGATGTCGGCGTCGCCGGGGCCTCGGAAGGCCTTGAGGCCCTCGTAGGCCTGCTGGCCGTAGTTGAGGGCGGGCGACATGCCGTGGATGCGCATGAAGGGGTCGGCGACGAAGCGCAGGGGCGTCCACTCGCCCGTGGCCATGGAGTAGGTCGACTCGATGTGGCCGTTGACTGTTGAGGGAGGGCAGTTCTGTCAGCTGTGTGGCCGCTGGACGGCGCGGGAGACGGCCAACGAACCTTCGCGGACGCGGAAGCCGACATTGGACCAGTCAATGGTGTTGACCGGAGGCGGAGGGAAGGCAGCCATGGCGAAAGATTGTGTGTCGCGGTGTTCTGTGGTGGTGGCGGTGGTGCGGTGGTGAAGTCGGTGACGATGATGATGCCAGTGGCGGTGGAAATGGGGTCACGCCAACAACGGGGATGGGATGCAGTGGGAGCTCGGATCCGCAAGTGTCCAATTGACGCAGCAGCCGCTCGTGCGCAGGGAGTTGGGAGTCGCCGTGGGCAAGCAAGGTCCAATGTCCCTGAGGAATGAGTATGGGGGGGGAGAGAGAACGAGGCGAAAGGGAAGAAGGAGAAAAAGAATCAAGGTGTCTGTTACGATGCGGACGTGAGAAGTTTCCACCAGGGCCCCCGCCACACCACCACCTCTACACAACAGGAACTGCTGGACCCTGACTCTGACTCCTACCGTCTGAACCCATGAGGTGGTGGATGCCCGAGGGGAGCTGCGCTTGGGTAACCGGGCCCCCCGATGTCGGGCTGCGGGGTCGTGATTCCATAGGCGGGAGGGCCTGCCTGCTGAGCGCGCGCTGTTGGTTGCCGCATCCGGCTGTGCCGGTCGCGTGTTACGGGCTGCTTGTGCTGCTGAAACCAGAGGCCCGCGGAGGGGCAATTGGCCCCCCCTGGCCTCCGAACCGGCGCCCTGGAGCGGTCCGCTGCGTCCATGCCTCCAGCGCCGACAACTGCCCTGACAGGTGAGATGCGCTGGCCGAGCGCTGACAGGCACTCTGGTGACGAGGCCCTCGAATCCGGCGCACGCGTTCCACGGCGCAAACGGGAATATTCGGTCAATGTCATTGGTGTTTGCTCCATTGCTGGTGTCCGAATGCCCTGCATGCATCCTCGCATCCGTGTCTCCTTGCTGGCAGCCGAAACCCGGCCTCTCCATGAGGTAAAGGTACGGGCATCCACCAACACCGCACACCTCACCCAGGCCCGTCCAGCGCCTATCCGTGCATCACCTCAACGCTGTCAAGCCCCTCCATCCATGCACGTCAAAAAGCAACCGCATGAGAACCCTTGTTCCCACCGCCGCCAACACCCGATACCTTCCTCTCTCACTCCCTCCCTACCCTTACTCACTCTGCTTCACTTTGTACAATACACCCGTCTCTTCCCGTGAGCCAGCTGTAGCCATCAAGGTAAACCCGGCACTCGCACGCCCCGTGCCCCGTCCCTGCATGCTCGACAGCCGAAACCCCGGGCACGACCTCGGGGCCCTCACCGACAGATGGTCGGACTTGCATGCAAAACACATATAGACCCGACACGCGTACAACCTGTTTCGTCTACGGATGAGGAATTATCCAGGCACAGCACCAGGCTGACGAACAGGCTCACTTTGCTCGTTCGCCCCTCGCTCCGTCAGCCGCTCACCCTTCCAAACGCCTCACCTCGCCTCGCCTCACCTCGCCCCCAAAATCTGACAGGCCGCTCCGGGCGTCGCCGTCGCCGGCCCGCCGGAGTCAGATTCACAACTCGCACGGGCAGTCGGCCACGTGTGGTGATGCCTGTCTCGGCACGGCCATCCAGCAATTCTCACCGCCCACCAACACATCTCCACCAACGACACGCATTCACAAAGCGGCCACGACACAGCATAGTGACGCTCGTCAGTCTCGTTTACTCCTTGCCTACTCCGTAGCTACATCGCCGTTCCGCATTCCACGTCTCACATCGTCATTCTCCCTCTTCCTCCTGCTCATGTCTTAGCCCCGTCTCCCAATATGCATCATCGTCGCCACCGGAGTTCCTCTTTGGGGCGCAAAACGAGTGTACAGCGAAAAGGATCCATGCGAATGATTGACGAGGTAACAAGTCCCCTTCGAAGCCATTGTTGTCTCCGGGACTCGGTGTCATCGCATGTTGCGTGTCGCGTGCCGCGAGGCAGCCGTTGGGGCATTCTTTCTTGTTTCGAGTCGCAGCTCGCGTCGTGGCCCGGGCTGCTTTTCCAGTCGTGTCCGGTAACTCCCTGTCCGCCCATGATTCCCTGTATATCATGCCTTTCGTACCAGCCCCCAAACGCCTTGCAAGAAATAGCCAGTCAAACACACGTCAGCACCCGCCGCCCTATTCCGAGATGGACGCAAGTCGCTGCAGGCAGTTGAGAACACCTGGATCAGAAGTCTTTATTAGCCACGGCATCTTCCAGGTCGCCACGCACTGCGGACATGGAGCAAACTTACCGCTTACACCCTGCGTCAGGGTCGTCTCCGCCTCGGTGCTGCGCTTGCCGATGCTTACCGTCGACACATTGTCCACGGCGCCGCGTCGCTGCAGCTTGTTGGCCCACTTGAATACCTTTTCATCCTCGCGGCCGTCGCCCACAACCATCAAGAAGTCGACGGCGCTGGCGTCGGGGCCCGTGCCGTGCTTGTCCTTGAGGTAGTCAAAGACCCTCTGCGCCGCTGTCCCCTTGTTGTAGTCGGTGGACTCGACAATGACCGACTTGCCCATGGTCAGCGCGTGCACGTGCTGAGACTCGCACGCGTCGTTGACGTGGCTGGCGCACGCTGCCGCCTGCCAGCCCGCGTTGCTCGGGTCCTCGGCCGCGTCGTAGTGGAAGATGAGGCTGCAGTGCCGCTCTTCTATTTCGGTTCCTGGGGTGCGCTCCAAAAAGTACGTCATCAGGGGCTTGACCGACGCCTTCCATTCTTCAATGTGCTTGCTGTCCGTCATCTCGATCCACTGCTCGGAGCCGCAGTCGCGGATGAAGCACCCATTCTCGGCAATGAGTCCCAGGTTCGGCACCATGCGGAACACGCCAGCAAGCTCCTCGGGTCTGCGGCCAGACATGACGTAGACAATGTTGCGGTCGTCCAGGAGCAGGTCGTTGAGCACGTCGAGCGTTCGCTGCGGGCTGACCGGAATAATCTGGTTTACCGGACCCCAGCTCACCAGCGTGCCCTCATAGTCGAGCAGGAACAAGCGCCGACCGGATTTTTCGTACTGTGCTGCGAGCCGGTGCATCGATAGGCGAGGCACTGAGGTCTGGTCTCGCTTGTGCTGCGCCTCGTACGCCTCGTCCAGGCGACGAAGGAGCTCGCCGAACCAGTGGGAGCCAGTGTGACGCGCGACCGCCTCGTACAGGCCCTCCCAACGGCGTGTCTTTTCCTCTTCGCCCATCTCGAGCGCCTCCTTGATGGCGAGGGCGCACTGCCGGTAGCTCCATGGGTTGACGGACAGCTCGTTGCCGTTGAAGAGGGACGAGGTGCCGGTGAACTCGGACAGGATGAGAGAGCCGTGCTTCTGCTGCGGGTAAATCTTGCCGTCCTGGCAAAATATGTATTCGTGCGACGTGAGGTTCATGCCCTCGCGCTGACTGGTAATCATCAGGGCGTCGGCAATGGTGAGCAGCGCCAGGTACTGCGGATAGTCAATGTCCTGCTTCAGGTACACGACGGGCTGGTACGCCAGATTGGCCCACGACGAGTTAACGCGCGTCACAATGTCCGAGACGGTCGCGTCCAGGTCCGTTCTCTCACTAGACGACAGGGCAACCTGGATGAGGACGGTATTTTCGCGCCACTCGGGGTTTGCGTTGAGGAACAGCTCGTAGGACAGCAGCTTCTGTCGCACGCCGCGGACATGGTCGAGCTTGTCCCGCGCGACGATGAGCCGCTTGCCCTTGTACCGCTCCTGCAGAGTCTGCAGCCATTCCATGACCTCGGTCTCGCCGCGGTGCTTGTCGAGGCTGACGGGGTCAATGCCAATGGGGAGATTCATGACGTCGACGAAGCGGTCCTCCAGCTGGATGCCCTCGGGGGTGGCCTCGACAGTCAAGATGCGGCTGCAGGTCTGGAGGAAGTGGCGCGTGTACTCGTGGATCTGGAAGCCAATGAGGTTAGCGCCCAGCATGCCTTCGAGCAGCTCCCTCCTGACGGCGAGACAACGGAAAACCTCGGACGAGGGAAAAGCGACGTGCAAGAAGAAGCCAATCTTGGCCTCGGGCAGCTTTTCGCGCACCATGCGAGGCACGAGCAGCAAGTGGTAGTCGTGAATCCAGATGACGTCGTCGCGCTTCCAGTTGGCAATAATCTTGTCGGCAAAGCGGCGGTTCACGGTGACATAGAACTTCCACGAGTGGTCCTCGTATGCCTTGCTCTTTGGGTTGTCGGGGATCTGGTAGTGGAAGACGGGCCACAGGATCTGCTTGCAAAAGTGCGTGTAGTGGCCGTCAAAGTCCTTGTCGGAGCAGAAGACGGTCAGCATGTCGTGCTCGGTGGCCAAGGTATCCTCAATGTCTTGCTTCTGCTGGGTGCCCTCGAGGGCATCGGTAGGCATGCCGAGAGTGCCAACCCAGGTGTAGTCGCTGAGGGCACCATCGCGGGCCGCGGCCTCGGCGGCGTTGCGCAAGCCACCGTTGCCCTGATCGGCGTCGACAACGGTCCATGAGGCCGAGGCAAACACTCTGTCGGCGCTGTCACTGCGCATCAGCGGCTTGGGCTGGACGACACCACGGCGGCCGAGCTCGCGAGCTTTTTGCAGCGTGTGATTGTGCTCAAAGAGGTCGGCACGGGGCGGCGAGTTGGCGCGGGAGCGAGGCTGGTTCACACGGGAGCCCCAATTCCTATTTGTCGGGTCGCTCGAGGAACCCAGGTCGTGGGGGAACTGAATGCGGAAGCCATCTTCGTTGGAAAAGGGATCAGGCGACTCCTCGTTGTCGGGCGTATGCGGAGGCGTGAGGTCGGCTTGGGGCGCAAAGAGACTGGGCTGCGTCTCGACAGCCGGCGGTTCCGTCGTCTTGTTGCTCTTGGTGGGTGGCGGAATCGTCTTGGCGCGAGAGCGTCCAATCTCGCTCCTGCGGCGTGGCGGCGTGCCGGGGAGGTTGAATTGGATCGTCTTGGGGAGGAAGCTGTCGCGAGAAACAAACTTTTTGTCAGCCAAGAGTCGGGGGCCACGCGGGGGCAAGCGTTGACGAGTAGTTATACGTACAGGGAGCAGACGAAGACGGTCATGTTGAGCTGCAGGGCTCGCGCCGGAGGCGAAGCTGACTCTCAGGGTTGTGAGGGTTTTGGCGAGACTGGAGAGCAATCAAGATGCTCTCCTCGGGTGGTGGTGCTGGAATCGTCGAGGTAGCTCCTCTTTATCCGGCGCATGTGGAGCAATTGATGACGCAGTTGGGCCGTGTGAGCCCGAGTGAGCGGCCGGGGTGGAGGATGGGTATTAATATGCTGTAGGTGCGTCTGGAGTGGGATGATGGCTGACGAGAGAGCAGGGCCAGTTTGTGCTCGATGGAGAGGGCTAGGTATGCTGTGATATTTTTTTTTCTCTCTGGCTGGGGCGCGAGGTGGGAGGTTGCTTGTTTGGCCGACTGCCTGCCTGCCTGCTTGCTGCGTGTCGCAGATGCAGAGCCCGAGTTGGGGGAGGATCGGATGCAGTTGGGGGAGCAGCTTGGCCGCTTTTAGATGGGGGGGTGTGTGAGTGTGGGCGAGAAGAAAAGAAGCGGGCACCAGCGTGCGGCGCAGTTGGAGCGGATGTCAGTGGGCACTGGCGCCTCAGGCGGGCGGCGGTACTTGAATGTACCTGAGGTGCGGATGCCCAGATCACCTAGTGGGTGGGCGGCCTTCTTGGGGGCTCTTGCTCAGCTCCAGAGGGTGACGGCTGAGCTCCAGGCTGAGACGCGAGGGAAATCGAGCAGAACCCAAGTCACAGCAGTGCCCGTCGTCCCTTCCCAGTCTGCAATTGACGCACGAGTACCTGTCGCTACTAGATACATGCCTGTGGCCGGCCTGCGGTGTTCTCGCCAGCGGGGCCGCCGGGCAGGGAAGGAGATACGTGACGGTAATTGCCTCTTGCCCCTCTACTTCGTAGGTAGAATGTACAGTACATGAAATACTTGATGCTTCACTCAAGTAGGAAAGAACAAACAAGCTTCTGCTAACGTCGCGCCTGCCGGTGCGAAAAACTAACGTTGGCTCGACACGCGGAGCCGGCGGGCGTCCTTGACTTTGTCCTTCACTCTGCAGGTTTCCAGCCTGTCAGTCTTCCTTCAGTTGGCCGGGCCTGAAGCTGCAACTCAACAATCCGTCAGCTTCAGCACATTGACGTAAATCGTCACCCAAGGAAACAGCCTCTGCCCACTTTGACGTCGCCCAGATCGAACATGGATCGGAGAATGCTCCCACGCACGCCCACCCGGCTGGGGGCAGGGTCAGAACGGGGGCCTCTGGAGGCTTTGGTCCGCCCGCCAGGACGCCAGCCAGGCCAGCCTGGTATCGTGGTGGTGTCCCGGCGTAGGCTTTTTTACTATGCTACCATCAACTCCCAGGATGCGACTGACCCTCAATTGCCAGGCCCTCTCAACAAAGCTGCCGCCCATTGCCGATGGCGACGGCGGAATACAGGCCGAGCCGATGATGAACGGGCGGATGGATGGGCGGGGGCGAAAGTCCAGTCTCGGCCCGGTCTGGCATCCAAGACGCAGCGAATCTTCTCGACGCAGGCAGGGCTCCCTCTCCCTCACCCGGCTCTCGACGACTCGTTCGACGCGCCAGCTTCAGGCCAAGCTCCGGCCTAGCTCCACGCCATGGAGCCAAGCTCAAGCGGCTGCCCGCGGCGCCGATGCCACTTCCACTGCCATACTCGATCCCTGCCTTGTGGTCTGGCCCTTGCATCGCCACCAAAGAACAAGGTCCCCCGCCTGCACTTGGTGCCATTGCGCCGTCTCATGCTTCGGCCCTCAGGCCGTGAATCGGCATTGTCCCTCGTCGGGCCTGCGTGTCTTGTCTCAGAAGCCCGGGCCTCGTCGAGGTCAGACGCATCACTCATCGCTCGTCACAGGAGCCACGTCTGCAACTGCGGACCGAAGCGGCAATTGCGCGCCCGCCCGGCCACGGCTGCCTCCCGCCGCCTTGGACACCCATCGATGCCCTCCCCCGGACAGGCGCTGCGGGTCACGACGCCGGCAAAAGCCCAAACCAGGCCAGCGGCAAGACCGTGCTGGGCCGCATCCCCAGACGATGCCATGCCATGCTGTGCCATGCTGCGCCATGGCATGCCAGGTGCAGTCCTGCCCCGTCCGCCCATGTCCTGGTCTACACAGCCGTGGAGCCACCCGCCCACGAGTTGGGTAGCTTCTGTTGAACCCCCCGTCCGGTGCCGTTACTCCGTCCTCCAGCTCCGGGCGCTCGGTTGTTGTTCGCCTGTCTTGCCATCCGCAACCTCCATGAGGGCCCGTCGCCCGTCGCCTCCATGCATGTGCATGCATACATACATGACACCTCCCGCACGACGTTACAGTCACACGTTCACCAACGCCTTTCCCGGGCGACGCGACGCCCAAGCCAGTCGCCAACGAACGCCGATGCTTGGCCAGCCAATGGCCTCCATCGCCGGCCCATTTATTCAACCTCAACGCTGCCCAGAGCTTGTCCCCATGTGGCGCAAGCGACAGCTCTCGTTCGAGGATGCGACTGACGTAACGCTGGTATCCCAGCACAGACCACGTTGTTCTCCCACACGCGCAGGAGCGCGCTGCACCTCGACGCCCGGCATGGATGCGGATGCGGTGGTCATCGGTCATCGCCCAGCGCGGGCCGGGCCTGCATGCAGCTCACAGCAGCTGCTGTTGATGCCGCTGCTTGCAATTTGCGGCCCAATCCGAGCCCGCCTGCCCTCCTGCAGATCCGGGCCGCAGTCGAGCAAGTCTAGAACTGGGGGCAACGCACATGCCTGCGCTGTAGCGCGCGTCAGTTGACGCCCCTAGAACAGAGCACGCAATACTGTACAGTGACCGAGGGCCATGGAGCACGAAACGCGCAAGCCGCCGCGTCGTTGATGTTGGGCCATCACTACCAACGGCAAGCCATCGACAGTCGGCAGAATGCGGCATCAAACTCTGGGGCCTAGACAACACCCGGGAGGGAGGCCCCGCCGGCACCCGGCCCTCCGCAAGTGGTGAGAATAGCAACACCACTAGCCGCCAGCATCATTCGACTCGGCCTCTCATTGTCGCGCGATATCCCTATCAAAGTTTCCGGCTGCCCGCCACTCCCCGCGCGCTAACCCGTGTTGCTTGTCAGCCTGACGCCCTCCTCCACACCTGTCAAAGGGGACCGCGTCTCGGCGGCGGGGTGTGGCTGTCTGTCTGTCTTAGTGAGAGCCTCTGGCGGCCAACGCCATCTTTGTCTTCGATCGAACCGTCGCAACTTTACGGCGCGCCGTTCCAAGGGGCAGGCAGCCATCAGCGAGACGGCTGCCATCGTTCCCTCCCGCTGTGCTTTTTGTTGTCCATCGTGCTCGATTGACCTGGCCCTGAGCCTGAGTATCCCGCCACCGAATCGGCAGGCTCCGTCAGCTGGATGAGGCAGTTCGCAGGCGCAGCAACTTGCGGGGAACACGACCAGTTGCACCAAAACAATGACATCCCCCCAGAGAACAAACCTCTCACAGCCGGAATGCGTCTGGATTTCTAGGTTTGGCCACGTCGTCAAGCTGAGCCCGCATAACCTTGTCGACAACGTGACTCTACCCCGTGGTTGTTACGAATTCTGCCAGCGATGCACCGCTACCCTAGACCTATGGCTTGCCATGCCAAGGTTGCTGCGGCTCTACAGGACGTCGACCGCACAGAACCCCGATCTGCGAATCATTCCACTTCTTCTGAAGCATCGGCCGTACGGAGGGAACGTGTCATATGTGACCAACTCCGGACAATACGCCGATTGCCCTGTATGGAGGCCCCACCATCAGGGGAGCGAGTGGCAGTCTACTTGATGAACGGCTTACACGGAGAACATCGGGGCCAGGTCCCCTGGGAACGCAGTGGACGGCTGCTCCGTCACCTCGCCTGTCTAGAGATCGGCAGACAGCTGAGGAACCACCTGCACAGCAGAGTGAACCCGGGCGCTCAGATCCACAGTGGCATTGTGGGCGGCGGCACCTGAGGGCTGGGTAGCATATTATCCTCCCGCGACGTTCAAGCCCAGCAATGAACCCCCCCCGCACGTCTCCCCGGGAAGGCAACTCCGTGAGGTGCCTCGGGCGGCACCAGGCAGCCAGGCACGAAATCACCTGCCTCTCTGTGCCCGGCGGCCGGGACTGGGCGCCACTCGGCCAACATGGCTCAGCGCGTCCAACAGGCTGTCTCTATGCCTGGCACAAGCTTCGCGACTGCAGGAGGGGAGGGCAGGGCACCCCCTCCTCCAGACTTGCCTGGCTGGGCAACTCCCCGGTCCAAAAGTTCGCCTTCCACAGACCGTGACCCGAACGATCGGGTCCGGGCTGCCACGACGCGACCGAGTCCGCGCAGCATGTCCCTGCATGTCACCCCTTTGTCCATCACGTTGGCGCGTGCACATGTATCCCGAGGTAGCCTGCGTTTGTCATCTGTGTGGGACGAGCCCGACGTTTGTTGTCTATGCATGCATCGCTTCGCGTATTCTAATTCTGCCACAACCGCACGGCCTTGTCCTTGCCCCCGCTGGCTACCCTCTTGCCGTCCGGGGCCCAGTCCACGGCGTAGACCTCGTCGGCATGCCCCGGCAGATCCATGGCCAGCTTGTGCGACGCCATCGACCACACCTTGAGCGTTGTGTCCTTAGACGCCGTCACCAGCAGCCGCGAGTCGGCCGAGAAGGAGCACTGGTACACCGTCGCCACATGGCCGCGCAGCGTATTAACGAACTTGCCGTCCCTGCAACACAGCACGTTAGCCAATCCATTTGCCGAGCGAAACAGTCACAGACGGGGCCATCAACAAAGCATACCTTGCGCTCCAAAGCTTGGTGTGGTTGTCCCAACCGGCACTCGCGATGAGGGTGTTGTCGGGTGAAAACGTCACATGGTTGATCTGCTTCTGATGCCCGACCATGCGGGCGACGGGCTTTGTCCCCTGCGACGGGTCCCACAGGTACATGGTGAAGTCGTCGCTGGCCGACACCAGGCGCTCCGAGATCTTGCCCTGCACGCGCGCCGCCTTCTCGAACCGCTCCTTGGCCTTGGCGCGCTTTCCCTCGTCGGTGGCGGGCGTCGGCGTGTGGTCGAAAAAGGCCGTCCGCAGGGCAAAGTCGGTCGACAGCGCTAGGTGGTTGATCCAGTGCGCGTGCGCCGACAGCGTGTGCACCAGCGTGCCCTTTTCCGCGTCCCATACCCTAACGGCCTTGTCATGGCTGCCCGTGTAGATGAGCCCCGTGCCTCCCCACCGCACGCAGCTGACGGAGCTCTTGTGTCCAGAGAGGACGTGCTCCGTCCGCCCCGTGTTGACGACCCAGACGCGCACTGTCCCGTCCTTGCTTGCGCTGGCGAGCCGCGGCGTCCCGTCCTTCCATAGATGATACGGCTCCCATGCCATGTTCGTGATCCACTTCGCGTGGCCGGTCAGGGGGCCCGAGCCCATGGGTTTGCCCGTCTGCGGATCCCATAACCGCACCGACTTGTCCATGCTACCCGTCGCCAGCCGAGCGCCATCGGGCGACCAAGCGACGCAGAGCACCCAATGCGTGTGTCCGGAGAGGGTGTACTTGGGCGTGCCGGTCTCCGTGTCCCATATCCGAGCCGTCTTGTCGCCAGACCCAGTCGCGAGGCGCGAGCTCGTCGCGGGACTGAATTGTGCCGCGAGAATCGCCTCGCCATGGCCCGGTATCCTGTGCGACATGCGTGTGACGGCCTGTACTTTGAAGACGGATTGCGGCTCGGCCGTCAGAGTGACGGTCGTCTCGAACGGGTTTTCGATGCCATGGCTGCGTAACAGTTGAAGGAGGTCGGTCGGATATTGGTCCACGATGATATCGCTGTCGGGAATATGGATACGGAATCGGTAGGGGAGAAAGTCTTCCCTTTCCTGCACGTCGTGGTGGTCAGCAGCCGTGGTCCCTGGGTAGTAGAAGAGCAGGGCGCATTTCGGGTCGTACCCTTGCCAACAACGTATTCAGCAGCAACGACAGGTTCTTCTCGGAAGCGTCCGCAAGGGGCACCTCAATCACATCGCAGACCTGCTTCCCGTCACCGTCGAGGAACCGAGCCTTGAACGACCCGGCAGGGCCACTCGCGGCGGTGACATCCTGCTGAATCTGTGTTCTCTCGAGATCTTCCCGTCTTTGCCGTTTGGACGGCGGCGGAACAATTGTCGCCATGGCAAAGCTGGAATGCGTACGGAGGTGCAGGCGACGGTGGGCGAGTCTCTCGCTGCCGTGCCTATGGCGGGGACTTTTCTTGGTGGTTTGGCAAAAAACCCAGAAAATTTGGGCGGTGAGCGCGATGCACTTTGGCACTAACGCCATCAGGCAAAACGGCAGCGGCGCGCTTGTTAAGCGCCGCGGTGGGCCCACCAGCTCCATGGGCTCTCTCATGTGCAGCTACGAGCTCGACTCGATGGACGGTGTCGATTGAGAAGACTGCTGCGGTGTTTGCTGAGGGCCGGATGCGTTTGGATGGCCGCTCTGCTGCGCTGTCTGCTGCGCTGTCTGCTGCGCCCGTTGCCCAGCCATGCCGCCTTGCGACTGCCGGCCCCCGCGGATCCGCTTGGGAGGACCCGGGTAGACCCTATACCTAACGTTGAGAGGGTACGGCACAGGTGTAACAGTCGTCGCAGGAGCCGCGTCTGTCTCTGAAGGAATGGGCTCAAACTGTGGTTGGGGAGGAGCTGGAGTCGGTGCTATCTGAGCATATTGCCGGGAATTGTTCTGGGGTTGCTGCTGCCCGCGGGACCGCCTCTGCAGCATGCGAGTTTGCCGGGCATTGGCGTTGTGGAACATGAGTTGCGCGCCAGCCTGCGCGCTGGGCGGCGGGTTGCGCTGTCGACTTGTCCGCTCTTCGTTTTGCGATGCGATTCGTCTCATACTCTCCTCGTTCTGCGCCTCTGTTCGCCTCCTGCTCTCCTCAATCTCCTGGTGTCGCCTGTCCTGAGCTTCTTGTCGCTTTTGCCGCTGTAAGTCTTCGTTCTGGAGGGCATAAATGGCGGCGATCCGTAGCTGCAGCTGGGCGAGCATGCCTATGCGGTCAGGCTGTGACATCTTTCGATAGTCGTTCTTGAACTTGTGGAAGGTGTCGCCGCTGAGACGTAAAAGAGAGTCAGAGACGCCGGCGACCTGGAGTGCCGCCGCAGTCTCGGGATCGGGCTGAGGGCCCTCAGCTGCAACAGTCAGCAGTTTGTCACGTCAGACGTCGCGCTCCAAAGGCTGCTCACCAGGCGTGTCTTCTTCGGCATCATTGTCCTCGGCCTCGCTGCCTTGCGAAGGGGTAGGCGGCTCCGGCGTCCCTGGTTCGTGGTTGTGTTGATCGCAGATGACTGTCAGGACCCAGCCACCCACGGTTTTGCGGTCGACGGCCTTGGCCTTCCACGGGCAGTCCGTCTTCTTCGTCGACGTCTTGTGCTTTGTCGCGGCGCACTTGTACGGCTGACCGCCCCTTTCGCAACAGAGATCGACGCGCATGACGGGCTCGCCAGGCCGGCTCCGATGCGACCGGAGCTTGACAATCTTGTAGCCGTCTTTCTGCGTGCGGTTGGTGAGGTCGCCTAGCAGGTCATCGAGCGTAGCGTAGACGCCAGCATTTGGGACCGTGACGGCCGCCAAAATACCGAACATGGTGGCTCGCGGCACAAGAGCAGGACCACTGGTACTGGGGTCCTTGTGAATCGTCTGATAGAGTCGTGTGTCGCGTACTATTTCCGCGATATCGAAGTGAGGCCTGGAGCCCGGGCCATGTGTGTAGATTTACGCCGCAGCCTGTGCGAGGCATCGTGCACGAGGTGGAGCGGTGAGGCCCCACGGGTAAATGCCGGCCCGGAGTGGGGTCCAGCCTACGCGTAAATCCACCGTTCGGGAAGGACCCTGTGCAGGTTTCCGCCGGTCCTTCCTCAACAATGAACAATGGACATACCCGGCAGTCGACGAGGACTTATCATCGACTGCACGCGGAAGGAAGTATCGACACAATGTTGGTGATACTGGAGAAGGTGCATACGTAGCCATGTCACACGTGACTCCCTGCAGCGTGTACAAGTTGCCCGGAACTGGCTACATGTCCCGCGCTCGTCTTTGTGGTCAATGTCATTTTGTTGCACCACCGAAGATCCCGCGCCCGCGTCTATGACCCAAGCGACAGCCATACCGGTGCTGTGTCTCTCTCGGGTGTCTTCTCTTCCCCAGAAGAGCGTTCATTCACCATGTCATCGTCGCGGTATGGCAACAGCGGGCGTTCTGCCACGCCTGCATCGTCGGCCTACTTCCAGGGCAGCTTCGAGTCGCAGGTGCCGAGCAGTGCCGTGTCAGACTCGTTGCAAGGGCACCAGCATATCACGGACAACAGCGAGAATGCGCGTCCATACACGCCGTCGTTGGCCAGTGCCAGACCCAGCACCTCGTACAGCACGGTTTCGCGAACCACCAGGCCGAGTACTGCCTCCGGCCGGAGGCCTCGCACGGGAACGACGGCTTCGATACTGGGGTTGAGCGAGCAGCAGAATATTGTGTGTGCACTCGCCGAAGCGCGAGGAATCACACCGGCGGTGGGCGTCGCCTTTGTCAATGTCTCGCTCGGCGAAGTCATCCTCAGCCAAATATGTGACAACCAGGCCTACGTCAAGACGATCCACAAGATCCAATTGGCATCTCCCTCCAGAATTGTCTTCATGTCGACGGCCTGCCCGCCAGCCAAGAACACCACGCTATTCTCTCTAATCCAGGAGTTGGTGCCCGACGCCACCTCGCACGCTTTTGACCGAGCAGCCTGGTCAGAAAACGCGGGCCACGAGCACATCCAGAAGCTCGCACCACACAGTGACGTGGGACCCATCAAAGTGGCATTGCAAGGCAAATACTATGCCGTGTGCTCTTTCGCTGCGGTACGCTTGCCACGTGTGTCTCCCTGCGCCTCGCTGACACGACCAGGCCATGAAGTACATTGAGCACCAGTTCACCCTATCCTTTGCCCCTCATTCCCTTCGGATCCGATACCAGCCGTCAGAGGACACCATGATGATTGATGTGGCCGCCATCCAGTCGCTCGAGATTATGCAGAACACGCACAACCCCAAGTCCAAAGAATCGCTGTATGGCCTGCTAAACCATACTTGCACACCCATGGGAGCCCGTATGCTGCGACGAAATATCCTTCAACCGCCCACGGGCCACGAGACGTTCCTTGGACCCAGACTCGATGCACTAGAGGAGCTGACCACGCGAGAAGAGCTTTCCCGCGAGGTTCGCAAAGGTTTGACAGTCTCATGGAGAAAGGTTGCTATCTTTGACTGATCGGGCCGCAGCGCTGCGACTCTTCCACGATGTCGAAAAACTTCTCACAAAGGTCAGCCCATCCGTCCCTCCCTTGCGCATGATATCTGACGACACCAGTTGATCATTGTTCCCACCAGCAAATCCATTTCGCTTGTGGAAGAGCAGATTGGCCAGGTGCTCATGCTCAAGAACTTCCTAGAAGCCGTCCCTGAACTATTTGCGGCCCTGGCTCCGGTCCAGAGCGCGCTGCTCGTCAAGGTTCGCGAGTTGTGTTGTCCCGGCGTGACTGGCCCCATTCTGGCCAACATCCAACGGGTCATCGAAGCCGACGTGAGGTATATGAAGTCGCCCTTGGACCTCCGCAACCAACGTACATTTGCAGTCAAATCCGGTGTCAATGGCATGCTGGATGTGGCCCGGCAAACATACAAGGAGCTCACCGAAGAAATCCACCAGCACGTGGACGCGATACAGGGTTGGCTGTGCCCGACTTCTCGTAACGAGCAGTGTTTCTGACCTTGAGCGCAGGTGAATTCAAGATTGCCGTTGCTCTCAAATTTGATAATGGGAGAAAGTACTGGCTACGGATCAAAGCCATCGACTTTGACTTTGGAGCACCGCCACAGCGTTTTGTCAATGTCGTTCGCAAAAAGGACAATGTCGAGTGCCAGACGCTTGACCTCATCAAGCTGAACGTACGACTCTCCGATGCTTCCAATGAAGTAGTCATTCGCAGCGACGTTGTGATAGAGGAATTGGTTGGAAATCTCCGGAGGGCGGCGTCACAGCTCTTCAAGGTCTGCGAATCCGTCGCGTTGGTGGACATGCTGGCGTCTTTCGCCCAGCTGTCCGCGACGCGGGACTACGTGCGTCCGGATATCACCTCGACACTTGCACTGAAAGCCGCCCGGCATCCGATTCTTGACAGGGTCTGTAATCCATTTCGTTGTGTGATGGTGGCAGAAACTCACTAGTGACAGTCTCATTCGGGGAACATTGTTCCCAACGACTACTACGCATCGGAGCAGCACTGCTTTCACATCATCACTGGATGTAACATGAGCGGCAAGAGTACCTATATCCGAGCTGTGGCATTGCTGCAGATCATGGCACAGGTCGGGTGTTTTGTGCCCGCGGAATACGCCGCTTTCCCCATCATTCACAACATCTTTGCCCGAGTGTCGATGGACGACAACATTGAGGCGAGCCTGTCTACGTTCTCGGTCGAGATGCGCGAGATGGCCTTCATTCTCCGGAACATTGATGACAAGAGCCTGGCCATCATCGACGAGCTGGGCCGAGGGACTAGCACGCGAGATGGCCTCGCCATCGCCATCGCCATGTCAGAGGCGTTGATTCAGGCTGGGGCCTCTGTTTGGTTTGCCACACATTTCATTGAGCTGGCAAAGGTGCTCGGGGAGCGGCCAGGTGTACTCAATCTTCACCTCGCGTCCACGACGGCCGAGACGCCAGAAGGACTTCCCCACCTGCAAATGTTGTACAAGGCCACGGCAGGCACCGTCAATGACACGGAGCATTACGGCATTCACCTAGCTCGTGCCATGGGGTTCCCAGCGTCCTTTATCAACAAGGCCGAGGAGGTTGCCAATGATTTGAGACAGAAACGCGAGGCTGGCCGGCAGAGCTCCGAGTCCCGGAAGCTGGTCGCTCGCCGAAAACTCTTGTTGAACCTGCACGATGCCCTCCGCCAAGCCAGGGACGCGGGGAGCGAAGAGTCGCTGCCGGGGTACTTACAGCGGCTTCAGGCCGAATTTGTCGCTCGCATGGAAGGCCTTGACAGCATGGAGTACGGCACAGTGGGGGATTGAGGGCATCTCGACGCTGAGATGGCTCAAGATTTGGCCCTTGTGGTGCTTCATGTTGCTCTATTTGCTCTAATTTTGTAGCGCGGTTGGTCGGTTGTAGCTCAGAGGCCGAACTCTCTTCCAGACTTGGCGAATGACACGATGTTGCGCTTCCAAGGCGGTCTCACTGTCAGACGGACCCGCAGGCCTGTTTGATGGTGAGTCCATGCCGTTGTCTCAGTTAGAGCGGACAAACGTACCGAATTGCCAAGTAGAGGCGACTCCCGAGCTGAGCCTTGGGGACTTCAGCACCATTCGGGTTGTCGGGAGGGTTGGCAGTCGTGACCAGGCCGCCGGCCTCTTCGAGAATGGCAATTCCAGCCGCTACGTCCCTGGGGGGTGCGTCAGACTTGATGAAAACTTGGCTCGAGCGCAAGATGAACTCACCACTCCCAACATCCACCTTCCCACCAGATATCGAGCGACCCCATGGCCGTGTAGGCCAGATCCATGGTTGCGCTGGGTTCATGTAGTTAGTTAAGTCTCTTCAAAAACACTCGACTGGCAAAGCTCACCTGCCGAGGCTCCGCACACCATGCACCATGCCGCCTCGGCCCTCTCGCGCCCCCCTCTCCGCCGCCATGGTGACGAACGAGTCGACCTTGCGCATCAAGTTCCCCTCGGGCCCCTCTCTCCGGTCCTTGCCCCACTCGCAGGAGAAGATGCACCCGCTCGGCGCGTTGTCGGGCAGGGGCGGGACGGGATCGCGCACAAGGGGCAGGCGGTGCTTCTCGTTGAGCCAGGCGCCGCGGCCGCGGCACGAGCTGAAGAGCTGGTGGAGGAAGGGCGCGTTGATGACGCCGATGACGGGGGCGTGGTCGACCACGAAGGCGATGGAGACGCAGAACATGGGGAAGAGGTGGGTGAAGTTGACGGTGCCGTCGAGGGGGTCGACGATCCAGGTGGGGGAGGCGTCGACGAGGTAGTCGCGCGAGGAGCCGGCCGAGTAGGTCTCTTCGCCGATGAACCTGATGCATCAAAAGTCAGTCGTGGAGCCCGTGGATGTAGTCGCAGCTGCGGTGGTGTCTCGGTGAGAATGGAGTTGTATCGTACTTGTGAGAGGGGTACTTGGCGGCGATGGAGTCGCGGATGAAGGCCTCGACCGCTGAAGGAATGCGAGTTAGCAGTCTTCAGAAGTATAGAAGTCAAGAAGATGGCAGCTCGAACCGTGGTCCGTCTTGGTGACAATGTCTACGGAGCTCTCCTTCTCGTCAAACTCGTTGGAGCTGCTGGCCCCATTGACCGATCCGCCGTCGACGCGCCGCCAGGCCGCCTGCATGAGCATCTGCCCGGCATCCTTGCCCAGCTGCACGGCAAAAGCATGAATTTCGTCGAGCTCTTGGCTGTCCATCACGCCGGTCGTGGGTTTGACTGCCTGGCAATGTTGATGAAGCAAGGCACGATTGCGCTGCGACATCGCTGGCGGGCAGGCCGACCAACAGCCGCGGCCATGCTGTCGGACGTCATTCTGCCAGAAAGCGCTGCTTGAATGGGCCTGCTTCGGACCAGACCGTCGTAAGCAGAGGGCGGGGAGATGATGGGGTAGCTGTTCATGTTGTGTGGATGAAGGCTTAGCCGTGGGTGTAAGCCGTCGGTGCGGGGAGTTGTGGGGTTGAGCGTGTAAGTGGCAGAGATGTCGGCTTGAACGACACGATGCAACGCGCCAGATAAATGGACCTCATGCTATCTCATCGTGCAGGCATAGCAAGGCCTCTAAGCGCAATAGATACCGATAACTCAAATCAAGATGGCACAAAGAATCCTCCTCATCAACGGCCCCAACCTCAACCTGCTGGGCACGCGTGAGCCACACATCTACGGCTCCACGACCCTCGCCGACGTCCTCGCCCAGGCACAGGCCCAGGCGCAGCAACTCTCGGTCTGCGTCGACGCCTTCCAGTCCAACCACGAGGGCGCCATCGTGGACCGCATCCAAGCCGCTGCGGGCTTTGGCCCCTTGGTCGGCGGCCAGCAGGCGACCGACGCCGAGGCGTTGCGCGCCGACGCCGTCATCATCAACCCTGGCGCGTTGACGCATACGAGCGTCGCTATCCGGGATGCGCTGCTGGGCACGGGCCTGCCGTTTGTGGAACTGCATGTGTCGAATGTGCATGCGCGGGAGCCGTGGCGCAAGCATAGCTACTTGAGTGACAAGGCGGAGGCGGTGATCTGCGGGATGGGGGTCTTTGGGTATACGGCGGCGATTGAGTTTGCGGCGCGGCATATCAAGATCAAGGGCGGGTCGTCCAGGCTGTAAAAATTTGGTTCAATGTTCATAGATCGTTCATATATGGACATATGCCCTCATTAGTGGGATGATACGTTACAACATTGCCTGCGTCCTTTCGTGATCGGCGGCTGTAGCACCGCTTGTACCCGCGGCCGTCTCAATGTGCACATCCCGCGCCATCTTCTCCCACGCCACGGCCGCTCTTCTGGCCATCTTTTCCGGCACATCCTTATCCTCATCAGCCAGCCTCCTATTAAACACCTCAAAGCTCATCCAGCCCTCGTAGCCCAGCCCATGCACAATGGCATCCAGCACAGACTTGACCGGCAGGTACGCACCCTGCGCCGTCTCGCCGTAAAAGAGCCGCGCGTTGCGCGACCAGCTCATGCGCGGCGGCTGGCCCGCGACATGGAACGGGTGAGCCTCGTCGAGCGGTCGCGCCAGGCGCTCCGCGTCGGCGAGCTGCACGAGGAACACCTTGCTGCGCTCGACGGTCGACACGAGCCGGCTGAGGGACTTGACGACGGCGGCGTCGCAGTCGGGTGTGCGTCCCGACGCGGCGGCTGGGTCGGCGTAGATGCGTCCTGCAATGTTGAATGTGTCTAGGCAGATGCCAAAATTGGGGCGGGCAACCCTCTGGACGATGTCCCAGCTTGCTTCCCAGGTGTCGACTCTTGTGCCCCAGCACAGGGCTTCGTACGTGAATCTGATAACCGGTGTTGAGGCAAGCCCAAGGTCTGCGAGCTCTCGAAAGTCCTCCGCTATCATGTCCATGTCGTCGGTCAGCTCTGCCGCGGCCAAGAAGCTGCTCGGCAAGCAAACCAAATCCGTCCCCAGCGCGTGCGCCAGTTGCACCCAGAAGCGCATCTCCTGCAACCGACGCCCGTGCAGCTCCCTGTCCAAGAGGCCTTCATAGTGCATAAAGGGCTGCAGGCAGATAATGTCTAGCGCGCGGTCGGCGCAGAGTCTGCGGATGGAGGTCGCGGCTGATAGTTGGTTGGCTTCGGTGTCGCCGCCGGGCATGTCGCGCGTGAGGTCGACGAGGTCTTCGTAGAAGAGCTCGATGCCTGTGAAGCCGTATTGTCTTGCCATGTCGAGCTTGTGGGCTAGGGAGTGGCCGGCGAAGCACCGGCCGAGCGACATGGTGCAGATGGCTCGTTTGATGGCCATTATTGCCGATATGCTGCGGTGTGCAGTGAGGAATAATGAGACAATAGCATGCACTGCATGTACATGTGTAAATGTTACAACTGGACTCTCAGTCCACAGTGTACGAGGTGGTTGTGATGATGGAGTGTGAGGCGAAGCAGGGTTGCAACTGATCTGGCGGACAGAGTAACGACACGTTTGTCCACGTCACTCATCGGCCACAGCAAGATGGAACGGCAATAACACTTCGAGTCGATTCGTGACGTCTCCAGTCTCGTATCTACGGAGCTCTTCCCAACCAAACACGTAAGAGACCGAGGCCAACAGTCCCATCACAGCCGTTCAGCACCGCTGAGAGAGGAGCCAGAAGCATCAAAAGCGGATAAAGGCTACACGCGGCAAAGGGGATGAAGGTGTAGCCACGAGATCGCCAGCACAACCCTCAACCACCGTCGTCACACCCTCCGGCATTCAGCCTATGCAACAGCGGGCAACCCTCACGGCCCCAGAGTCGCCTCGCCAGCGTTGGAAGCTCACCTGGTCGACGCCGTTGTGAGTCCTGTGATGCCGCTATGATGCCGCCGAGATTATTGCCCAACTAGGCAGGCGGCCGAGGGTAAAGACTTACCCGCCGGGCGGGGCGGATGCCGCCCCAGCCCCGGACCCACCCCGGCGGCCCCGGCCAGTGGAGAAGGGGGCGCGGCGCCTCCCCGCCCGCCAGGCGTAAGTTCACAGCTGAGACTCTTTGCCACGGATATTCGTTGTCGAGGCGAGGGAGGTTTCGATGCTGGACGGTAATCAGCAATCTTTTGCTTGGATACGCTTTCCGCCGCTGTGGCTCTGCAAGCAAGGGGGAAAAAGTGGTAGTGCATCCCGAGGTTTGGCGATGCTTCGGGGTAGCTGAGCGCCGTCTGCACTGCATATGAGAGAGACCGAGGCCAGTCCAGTCCAGTCCAGTCACACCACCTCTGCGAAGCTCTCACTCACCACCCCTGCCTGTCCTCCGAGTCCGTTGTCTGCACCCGCACGCACGCGCTTGGCTGAGAGAGCACCACACGCGTGTTTGACAGTCCTTGATTCGCGTCTGGACTCTGAAGCAGACGCTCACCAACGGCCAGCCATGGCGCTGCAAACTCCCCACGAGAAGACGCAGCCCGCCGCCCTTGGCGAGCTCGAGCGCGAGACGTCCGCACTGGACAAGCACGGCTACCTCTTCGGCCAGAAGATCACGCACTCGCTCTCGCCGTACCTACACCAGGTCATCTACGAGAACCTGGGGCTGCGATGGGGCCAGGTGCGGCTCGACTCGTGCGACATGCAGCTCTTTCTGCGGCTGGTCCGGCACCCTGACTTTTACGGTACGTTTCCTCCCCTCCTCCTTGACACTCACTCTACAACAGTCCGTGAGATTTGAAGACAGCCGCTGATGAGATGATGTGATGTGGATGGAACAGGCGCCTCGGTGACCATGCCCAACAAAGTCGCCATCCTCCCTCACCTCGACCGCATGACCGACGAGTGCCGCTCCGTCGGCGCCTGCAACACCCTCTTCCTGCAGCCCGACCCGGCCGACCCCTCGGGCCAGCGCCGCCTCCTCTGCGGCGCCAACACCGACGTCATCGGCATCCGCGACTCCTTCCTGCGCAACGTCGCCGACCCGGCGCGCGTCTACCACGGCAAGCCGGCCCTCGTCATCGGCGGCGGCGGCGCCGCCCGCAGCGCCATCTACGCGCTCGCCCGCTGGATGCGCGCCGCCGACATCTACCTCGTCAACCGCGACGCCGCCGAGGTGGCCGACATGATGCGCGACTGCGCCGCGCGCGGTTACGGGAATGGGCTCGTGCACGTCGCGACGGAGGAGCAGGCGCGGGAGCTGCCCGCCGCGGGGGCGATTGTCGCGTGCGTACCGGACTTTGAGCCGCGCACCGAGGAGGAGAAGCTGGCACGGCGCATCACCGAGATATTCCTCTCCAAGCAACCACAGCCACCACAACACCAACAACAAGTCCAAGTAGGAGCGGGATCAGGCGACGTGGCGCAGCCGATCAAGGGCGCCATGCTGGAAATGTGCTACAACCCGACGCCGTTTACCGCGCTGGGCACCCTCGCGGAGCGGCACGGTTGGCAGGTCATCCTGGGGACCGAGGCGCTGATATGGCAGGGGCTGGAGCAGGACCGGTACTGGACGGGGAGGCCGGTCGAGGACCTGCCCGTGGACAAGGTCAAGGAGGCTATTGCGGCGAGCGTGGCGCAGAGGTCGCAGTCGAGGCTTTAGCGTGGGGTACGAAATAGAAATAAACGGTAATGATGGAAGAGTACAGTTATGCCACAAGGCAGGCTGCGGTATATGTGACGGCATGTGCAAAGCGGCAAGTGCAGTGAAGCACAAGGCACGCCTCGCGGTACACGAGTGTTACGCCTTGACGGCACCTGTGCCTGGGGACCGCTTCGAGTATAGGACACGCCGCCGTGTGCGAACAACCTCCGTGGACTCATGCCTCTGGCTAACACAGCGGGGAGAAGCTACATCCGAGACCCCACTGAGGCATTCACCGGCTGTCGTGGACAGTCACACAAGACGGGTACATGTGAGTGAGCAAGTCCATAGGATATCGCTTATGTGCCAGCGCCGGTGTCGACGTGGCACAGACACGTATCCATTCAATATGCAACTGGCCTGTCTGTGACAGGACCCCTAATTAAATACAGAAAGGCGACTACTTCGTCGCAGTCACGCTGTCCCGCGACTCAATCTGCTCCGCGCCGACGTCCTTTTCGTTCTCCCAGCCTACGCCCTGTGCGTTGTTGCGAAAGTCGGCGTCCTCCACCTGCAGCTCCTGCATGAGGATCTCGTTGGCCCGCCACGTCGGCTTCAGCTTGAACAGGCGGTCCATGGCCTCGAGCGGCAGCGACTTGGTCTCCGGCACGCAGAAGAAGACGAAGAAGACGGAGATGATCATGAGGGACGCGAAGAAAAAGTAGACGCCGTAGCCCCACGCGTCAAACATTTGCTCCGTGAACCGCGAAATGATAAAGTTCCAGAACCAGTTGTTTGCCGCCGCGTTGGCCTGGCCCAGGGACCGCGTGTTTTGGTCAAACATTTCCGAGTTGATGACCCATGGCGTGCCGTTCCACGAAGGCGTGTAAAACGCCGTCCAGAGGTAGAAGAAGAAGATGGCGGCGATGCCTCCGGACGACAACCCACCGTCGGAGCTCTGGTTGGAGCTCACGTTTGAGAGCTTGACGTAGGCTCCAATGAACCACATGCACAGCGAGCCGCCAACAGCACCAATCATGAGGAGCTTGCGGCGGCCCATGTGGTCGATGAGGACAAGCAGCCAGACGATGGTGAGAGCAGTCTTGACGACACCAAAGATGCCCGTCGTCAAGAAGCTGGTGTTGGTGCCGCGGACGCCGATGCTGCGGAAGACGGTGGGGCTATAGTAGTTGATGGCATTGATGCCAGATCCTGCAGACGTCAGCATGCATTGCCGCGACCAGCCGCGTGCCATTCAGAGAACTTACCGTTTTGGAAGACAAAAAGCAGGGCACCGAGCAGGAACCTCCACTGGATCCGCTTCTCCTTGAGCGAGAGGAAAGGCTTCCAGAACCCAGCGCCAACCTCGCGGCGGTATCGCTCAAGGTCATCGTCGATGTAGCTAATCTCTTCCACAATGTAGATATCGCTCCGGTCCAGGTTGCGCATCCAGCACAGGCCCTTGATGGCCTCTTCGCGCTTGCCCTTGGAAAAGAGCCAGCGCGGGGACTCCGGGATGAGCGTCGCACCGATGAGTAGGAGTCCGCCAGGGATCAGCTGAACGGCAAACGGGATAAGCCACTGCGAGCGGCTCGGCGCCATGGTGGTGTTGACGCCGTAGTTGATCCAGAACCCCACGAGGCCGCCGATCTGCCAGCCAAGCTCGTACAGGCCGACGAGCCGACCGCGCACTGCAGGCGGAGACAGCTCCGAGATGTAGATTGGTGTCATGTTGGAACAGCCGCCCACGCCGAACCCGGCCAGGACGCGTCCGCCGATGATGAGCCCCGTGCCGCGCTCCCCCGTTGCGCCAAGCATCATGCCCGCCCCGACCATGAAGATGGCCGCGAACAGCAGCAGCGACTTGCGCCGCCCGAGGAAGTAGCTCGAGGCATAGGCGGCCAAGCTGCCAAAGAAGGCACCCGCCTGGTAGACAGACACAATGTTTGCCTTGAGCAGTGAGAGGCCCGACGCTGAGTACTCCGCGAACTTGAACTCCGAGGTGAAGGACGGCAGGGCGAGCGTGGTGCCGATAAAGGCCGAGTCGTATCCGATCATGCACGAGGCAAAGGACGCGGTGGCGGCGCAGACATAGACACGCCAGTTGTAGACGGCCTTGGGCGTCGGCCGGTCCTCCTTGAGGGCCAAGATAGTCATGGTGGGCGATGTAGCGAGTACGACCAAGAGGTAGTCGACGATGACGAAGCCCGTGGGGATGCAGCGCCGTCTGCGTCCATGGGGGTTGACTTATATGGCGATGGTTCCGAGGCCAACGTGCATGGATGAGAATTGACGAGTGCCTCGTCGCTGATCCAACAACCCCATGGGGACGGCACTCACTCAGCCACAGATGCACCGCGTACGGAGATTGTCGAACCTGGGGTGCGGGGGTGACGACAGGTGGGCGTTTTCGAGAAGCTCTGGCTGGACCGTGTTTCGGAGTGCGTGTGGAGCCTCGATAGCGTGGGGATAAAGGAATATCCAGCGCCACGAGGGCGGACATTCAGCCGCCGCGGCACTCCCTCGCGAGAACTGCTAAACGTTGAGGCAATCTCTTTGCAGAGAGGGCCGTCAAGGCGACGGCGAGGCACCGAGACACGACGATGATGTGTGGACAGACGGATGGATGCAAGTGTGTCATGATTCAACTGCCAAAGTCTCCCTGAAACATCTCGCCCAAATCGCAGCCCGGCGCGAAGCCCAGGTTGACCATGAACTGGGGATCCATGCCGATGCCGTCGGTGTAGTCAATGGTACCCAGCTCGTCCAGAATGGCATCGTAGTCAATGGCTTGGCCGAGTGGCCCCGGGGCCGCAAAGGCTGCGCCAGAGCGCTCCTGGAACGGCCCGCTCTCGTTGCCCTCAGCTTCCACAGCTCTCAGTGCTGATCGAGGGGACGCGAATTGATCCATAGGAGGTGGAGGGATGTTGATGGATCGACTCGCGTCGGTTGGGAATAATCTATAACCCTGCGGGATGGTGGGCTCCGCCAGCAACCCCGGCCCTGCGTCCAACCGCTCAGAGCTCCAACGGCGTTGGGTAAATGATGGGAGGCTGTCTCGATGGCCTGAAAATTCGGGCCCTGGTGGCCCTGACACCGGAGAATGGTTCACACGAGAGGTTTCGCCCGCCTCCTGCGCCCAAACTGCATTCAGCGTACTTAACGCACAAGTCCACCTTTTCCTCTCCGACTCGTGCATGTCGACAGTGCCCCTATTTTGTACCAGGCATAGCAGAGCCCCGACAAGTGGTGGTGTGCCGCAGGCCCCGAAATTGCTCAGACTGGCCTCGACGACTTCCAAGACGTTGGATAGCAGCGATGAGCGGTGAGCGGGAACGAGCCGAACCGTTGTCGCCAGAAACATGGCCTTGACCAGGTATGCAGACGGCAGCAGTGGAGTGGAGCCTCCCGCAATAACGGAGTTGCAGAAACTGAATTGGGGCCTCAAGCATTGCACGAGGTCATCCGTGTTTGCTTGTTTGCTCGAGAACTGGCTCAAGCGCGGGTCCGTAGCGCCCGCCAGGATGTGCGCAAACTGCCGCAGCTGGCACAGGGTGGAGACTGGCTGTGTTCTGGGAGGGCTTGCCGGCTCGCCGCCAAGTGAAGGATGGCCAAACCCGTAGACAGGCGTCCAGTTCTCGGGCGAGTCCGTGTCGACAGAGAGACTCGTGGACGAACGAGCATCTCGAGTGAAGTCGGCCAGCTCTGGCGACTGCCGCAAGCAGGCAGAGGTGATGGCGTCGAAGACGACGCAGGCGTCGAACAGGGACTCGAAGTGTAATGCCTTCGACATGGCGGGATCGGTGGATCGGAGATGGCTGAGGATCCGTGCGGCTCTCGCGACCAACAACGAGGCCGCAAAGTGGCTTCCACGGCCGATGAGTATCAGAGCATGCAGAAGGCTCGCGCGGATGATGGACGTGTCAAAAGGCCCATCCTCGTGGGGCAAAAAACTGCGGGCGATGGTAAAAATGCGCGCTGGCGATAGGTCTGGGTCTGTCGACGCGCCGAGCGAGTGCGCATCTTGAAAGGCGGCAACACTTAACGCTGCCCAGAGCTCAGCGTACCTCGACCATGTCGACTCCGTCCCGGACAGGCTGTGTGGCGTCGGGTACGCGCCATACTCTGCCGCAGTTGCGAACAAGTCGTTCTTGCTGGATATGGGTAGCCAGCAATGCGTGTACGCGACGTATATCTCGACAAGGCGCTGCCAGTTGGAAGGTAACGTTGGTCGATGCCTCGCTGCTGCGACATCGGCAGCACCTGTCGCTGGCGGCATGCGCCCCTGTGGACTCGTGCTGTAGAAGGCTGAGCTCGAGGCAGATTCAGCGGCCTTGAGCCACGAGGGCGAGTCCTGCTCGGTGTCGGAGCCAGTCTCTTCGGGGGAGGGCTCCGTTGTCTGGGCCGAGCCATCAGACAGGAGTCGCCCAATCTCCTTGTGTATTCGACTCTTGGTCCAGCGCTTGTGAAGGCGATTGCTGATGTGGTCCTTGTTGACGACGACGGTTGCTCCGCCCGACCCGTCGCTCTGGCTAAGGAGCTGGTTGAGCGTCTCTTCGGTGCCTGGGACCTGCTCCAGTAGCCATGCGAGCGACAGCTCGACAGCCCTCAAGTACCCCGTCTGGACGCCCCTCTTCTTCGAGGCGGGCGTGTACGAGCATAGTCGGTTCTGCGACACGCACGTTTGACACTGCGGGCGGGTTCCGTCGCACTTTTCGCGGGCAGCCCTGCATCCATCACAGGCCAGCGAGACGCGTTGTCTCTTGGCTGCCGAAGGTTGCTCGTCCGGTCTCCTGGATGGGTCTGCGTCGGTTGCTGCCCTCTTCTTGGGCGGCATCCTCGACGCGAAGGATCAAGAGGCGAAACTTTGCTACAGCGGACTGTCGTTTGCCGGCTCTGACGCGGGGTCGGATGCTGGCTTCATCGTCGTCCGACCAGAGGCGGCGCAGGGCGGAAGAGGGGATGGTTTCTGGTCGTCGAGCTGCGCGGCGATGGCAGAGTGATTTTGATGCCGCGACACACCGACGACGCGCCGCTTTCGCCGGACGTGTAAGTAATGGTGGCGCCGTCATTCGTCAACGCGGCAGGCAAGCCGTTGAAGCTGGGGAGGCAAATCTGGGGTTCGAGCTTGGGCGAGAGACGCGGAGCAGCGGAGGCGCCGCCGCAGTTGGCTGGTGGAGGGGCGCCGGATAAACGCTTATCCCCCGCCTGCCCCTACCAGGCGCCGCTACGAACGCCCCATCGCGGTTTCCCCAGACGGAGCCGTGGCAGCGACGGTAGCGCTTCCTTGCGGCCGCTCACTAACCTGGAAGTTACTTCCTCTATCGCGGGGTCGCGGGGCTCGACGACGACTCTTCTTCCCTCGACTCCGTATGCTCGGACACGTTTCGCAACGCCAATCCTGACCGAGGAACATGAGCGCTGCGGCATTGAGCGAGGCATCATGGCGGGCGTCAAGAGATCCCTCGCAGCCATGATGGCCCACGACGGCGTCTCTCCTGGCGTGTCGAGCGACTCCAGCCCTGCATCGCGACATGGCTTCACACCGTCGCATGGCCCGAAGAGCGCCTCAAGGACCCCGACACCGCCGCTCCGTCCCGTCCGTGGAGATATCCCCTCCTTCACATCCGATGCGTCCATTGTCATCGTCGGCGTTCGCGGCGCCGGCAAGTCCACCTTGGCCATCATGGCAGCATCCGCGTTGAAGAAACGCATAGTCGACCTGGAGACGGCGTTCCAACGCGCCACAAGCTTGTCAAGCGCGGGCTTCAAGCAAAAGAATGGGACGGCCGAATGCCAGGCGAGGCAAGCCGAGGTCCTCGATGATGTTTTGCGCCAGAACCCCGCGGGCGCCATTGTTGTTTGCTCCTGGATGGAGCGCCGCATCCAGGACTTGCTGCGTCGGTTCGCCGCAACGAACCCCGTCGTCCATGTCGTTCGCAGTGTCGACGCCATCCAAGACTACCTCAAGATTGCGGACAAGACCACGGCGCAAAATCTGCTCAACATGACCAACTTTTACTTCCGCACATGTACCAATCTCGAGTTCTTTAATGTCTCGGAGATTCATACAGCAACACGCGGCCGAGAAGAGCCGGATGGCGCGACACCAGCGGCACCTCCACCCTATCTCGCCTTGCAACAAGCTGAAAGGCACTTTCTCAAGTTTCTGTCCCTCATCTACCCGGCGGGAACGATACCCTTTTTCGAGTCAGCCTTTCCATTGGCAAGCATCTCTCCGGAACAGCGACAGTTTACGTACGCGCTGTCTCTGGACATGCGCGATGTGCTAAGCGGCCACGCTGAGTGGCATGACTCTACTGTCGGCGTGGATGCCGTACAGATCTTTGTCAACAGCCTGGTGGTGGCCAGAGGCGGCAGCGCAATACCGGACCTGTTCCCTGTCATTGCCAACGACATTACCGAGGCTGTCGCCGTCGTCAGGCGAAGCACGATGCTGCCGATTCTGCTTCACATCAAGCTGCCAGAGCAAACAATTGACGAAGTACTGCGGCTCTACCTGGACCTCTTGACACACGCGCTGTGCTTGGCGCCCGAAATGCTCACTGTCGACCTTCGCCTGGACAGCGCGGACATTTCGAGAATCATGTCTGCCAAGAGGCGCTCCAAGCTGATCGGAAATTACTTTACCTCTACGGACACACAGCCGTGGGACTCGCCGACCTGGCTGTCGTGGTACCAAAAGGCTTGCCGGATGGGGTGCGACATGGTCCGCTTGGTACGGTTCGCGATGGCAATGGAAGACAATTTTGCCATTTCGCGGCTGCGGGCCAGGGTCTCTTTGCTCGAAGGGGATGGTATTCCCCTCATCGCGTACAACTCGGGGCCCATTGGCCGTCACTCGACGTGCTTCAACCCCATCCTCACACTTGTGGCGGCGAAGCCCGTGGATCCAAGTAACGCTGGGCAGGCGCCCTTCCCCTACATCACGGCCAAAGAAGTCACGAGGGCTCTGTACTCCTCCTTTGTATACGACTCAATGAAGCTGTACGTGTTCGGCGCCAATGTCGGTTACAGCATGTCGCCGGCGATGCACAACGCGGCGCTCGCGGCTTGCGGCATACCGCATCGCTATGAGCCGTTCTCGAGCGCGTCCCTGAGTGGCGTTAAGCAACTCCTTCAGGACCCCAACTTTGGCGGAGCGTCGGTCGGGTTGCCGTTCAAGGTCGAAGTCATTACGCTCACGCACTCCCTTAGTCCGCACGCCCAGGCCATTGGCGCCGTCAACACGCTCATCCCCATCCGACAGCTCAACCAAGATGGGTCGATTCCCACGGGTGCCGACCTTTTTCGGGGGGTCAACCGGGCTGGGCCAGTCCAGGCTCTCTATGGAGAAAACACGGACTGGATAGGTGTTCGAGCTTGCATTCGGCGTGGGCTGTCGCCGGCAAACGCGGTGCGACCGACTACATGGGGCCTGATCATCGGAGCCGGCGGCATGGCCCGCGCTGCGACGTACGCCATGCTGCAGGTCGGCGTCAAGAACATTGCCATCTACAACAGGACACCTGCGAACGCAGAGAAGATGGCTGCTCACTTCCGGCAGCTGCTCCAGAAAAGGGACTTTGAGCTGCTTAGCAACGGGTCCGAGACGCAATTCCGCATCCTCCAGTCATTGAACGAGCCATGGCCCTCTGACTGCCGACTGCCGTCCATCATCATCTCCTGCATCCCTACCCACCCCATCAGAAACACCCCATCGCCCGAGTTCGAGCTTCCCGAGCAGTGGCTCGGCCACCAGACGGGCGGCGTCATCATCGAGCTCGGGTACAAGACGCTCAACACGCCTCTGCTGGCGCAGGCCCGCAACGCCGCCTCACGCGGTTGGGTCGCCATGGACGGTCTGGACCTGCTGCCGGAACAGGGCTTTGCACAGTTTGAGCTGTTTACGGGCAGGCGGGCGCCGCGGCGGGTCATGAGGCGCGAGGTGCTGGAGAATTACACAGACGAGGAGGGGAGGTCGCATCTGGCGGAGCTGCACGGGAGGCTGCGGTCTATTGTTGAGCAGGATTCATGAGATGGTGGGGGCCGTACTCTCCAGTACGTCTTGGCTTGCACACTCACTCTTGCGTCAATGGGAGTTGTTGGAAAGTCTCTATGTTGGAGTAGCCTATTCTAGAATACATGATGCCAGTTCCAGACCAACGGAGTAATATGCCAATGTCGTGCAGAATCATCGACCTAAACGGAAAAGGCACTCTATGGTATGTCCCTCCAAACTCCCGAACCCACGACCCATGTGTCCATTGCCATCAATAATACTCACGCCTGCGTGGAGCCGAGCCTCATCGCCGACGTCAGCCTCGACCGCGCGCTCTCCCTCCTCGTCTGGTTGGGAGACGCCGCGCCATCACCCCTCTGCGTCGCCGCCGTGTCGTAGTACCGGTCTGCGTCCTCGAAGCCCACCTTCTGTGGGCGAGGAGGCGGCGGCGGAGGAGCGTGACCGGGGGCCTGCTGCTGCTGCTGTGGCGCGCCGCCGGCAGATGTATAGTACGCAGAGTCCCATTCACGCGGCTGCTGCTGATGGTTGGGGCTGCCGGCGTAGCTCACGCTGCCGTGCGTGCTCTGCCGAGACTCCTGCGGGGGCGCGGCGGGCGTGCGCTGGCTGGGGGCTCCGTCGGTGACGACGGCGGGACGCTGGGGACGGTCGTCGCGCGGTACGGGGCGGCGGACAGAGTCGGTGCGCGTGCCGCCGGCGGTTTGGTTGGAGGAGATGGGGCGGCGGTTGGATGCGGCGCGCCTTAGCTGCTGCTTCTGGGCGTCCTCATCGTCGGTCGCGACATACTCGTCCGAGTCGTCGTCGTACGAGGAGGCGCGCAGGTCGCTGCGCATGGCGAGGCTGGCGCATATGCTGCGGGCCTCCTCGATGGCCTTCTTCTGAGCCTTGAGTGCGGCGCGTCGCTCGCGCGTCTCCTTGTTCTCGGCGGCGATGGACTCGATGGTCTTGTCGGGCATGCGCAGGATCTCGACGGGGTTGAAGAGGCGCAGCATGCCGAGCAGGAGGTGGCGCTCGACGACTTGGGTGATGACGTTGCGGGTGAAGATGCGGGCGGTGAGGTCGTAGTAGATGAGCATCTTCTCGAGCACCTCCTCGGCCTCGGTGTAGGAGCCGCCGTCGGCCGTGGCCTCGGCGCGCCAGCGGATGAGGCGCTCCTCGTACTCGGGGTCGTAGGGCTGCACCTCGAGTTCCATGTCGTCGGTGAGGCGCGCGAGCTCCGCCTCGGCGCCGTCCATGAGCTCGCGCATCTTCACCTCGAGGAAGTGGTAGCGCAGCGGGTCGCGCATGCGCAGTGGCCACACGTGGTCGATGACCTCGGCCAGGAACTCGTTGCAGATGACGCCCAGGTTGTCCTTGTACTCTTGCGCCAGCACCGGCCAGTTGCGCGAGTAGTCCTGGAAGAGGATGTAAGGGGCGCGGGGGTTCGAGTCGAGGGGCAGCTCGTTGCCGCGGATCTGGCGCAGCAGCGGCTCGACCTCGTTGAGCGCAAAGTCGCGCTTGCTTTGGTCGCCGACCATGCCCGCAGCGGGTAGGCTAGTGCTGCTGCCGTCGCTGTCAGTCGCGTTGCCGCCGTGAGGAGCCGAGGCCGAAAAGTTGATGCGTCGCCCGTGCTGGCGAAACTGCCGCGCGAACCGCTCGCTTTCCTCGCGCACCCGCGCACGCAGCTTATGCGGCGGCGTGCCCCGTGGGCTCGACTGCCGGGCAAAGAACCGTTCGCCAAAGGGGTTCTTGTAGTTGCCATTGACGGCGGGAGTCACGAGGTTGTTGGAGCCGGTGAAGAGCTCGCCCATCTCGAAGCGCATCTCCTCGACCGTGTCCTTGGCGGAGCCCATGGCGCGCAACTGGCCGTCGCAGCGCTCCAGGGCCTGCTGGATCTGCCTGCGAAGGGTCTTGACGTGGCGGCCAATGTGCCTCTGCAGCTGCGTGCTGAGCGTCTGGCGCAGCGAGGCGATCCCCCACATGTGCGGTGGGAGGGCGGACCAGCGGCCGCGGGTGAAGAAGTCGGCCTCGCGGGCGGCGCGCTCCTCGGGCGCCAGCCACTGCTCGCCGGGGCCCGGGTTGAGGAGGACGTACCAGCCGAGCTTGAAGTTGTTCTCGCGGTCCTTGTTGGTCACGAGCTCCAGGAACTTCTCCTCGAGGCCGATGCGTTCGGTCATGTCGGGCTTGGTGAGGACGCCGATCGTACGTGAGCCGCGGGGGTCAAAGTGGCGCGCCTTTTTGAGAATAGGCGCCTGGACGTAGTCGTTGTTGCCGCCGATGACGGCGAGGATGATGGTGCGGGAGCTCTTCATGTAGTGGTCCGAGAGCGCCTCGATGGTCTGGATGTCGGCCTCGGACTGGTCGCGGTTGGCGACGCGGACCAGGCCGGGCAAGTCGACGAGGGTCAGGAGAGGCATGTCCGGGCCGCTCTTCTCGACCACGAGGATATCGCGGGCGGCGAAGCGGCCGGGAATCTCGCGGGGCGCAATCAGCTGCGTGGCATCCCGCATCATGGCCTCAAAGGGCGTATCGCCTGTTACGTCGCCACCATAGCGCAGGAGCTTGTCCTGCTCGGCCCATGGGCGCTTCTTGTCGGGGATGATGGAGACCTTGAGGGTCGTCTCCTTTGCTCTCCGGAGACGGATCTCGGTCGCGAAGCGTGTGCAGGCGCCGGCATCGCGCGGAAAGGGTGTGCCGGTAAGGGCCTCAAGCACGGAGCTCTTGCCGGCGGACTGGTCGCCGACGACGACGATCTGGGGCAGCTTGACATTGTCGAGCTGGGCAAACTGCAGCTTGTCGATGAGGTCGAGCAGTCCGCGCTGTTCGCTGGCGAGGCCCTGCGTGTCGAGCGAGGCGTCGATGGAGGGGGCGGACATGGCGGGCGCAGCGTCTCGCGAGAGGGTGGTGCTGCTGCTGGGCGAGGTGACGAACAGAGCGCCCATGGTATAGATGTCACGGATGAAGGAAGGAGAGACAGACAGGCCGGGTCTACGCCGCGGGGGAGTCGTCGTCACCGTCTTTTATACGACCCGAGGCCGAGCCGAGATTCGCCATGATGGGCGGCCTCGTGGACGGGAGTTGCGCGGCGGGCCACGACAGTCGAGTGGGTGTGAGTCGACCCGACGAAGCATACGCCAAATCAGGATGGCAGGTTGGCAGGGCAAGGATAGTGCCGTGTACGGTACGCCACCGGGACGACTGCGCGCCGCCACAGGAACGGGTTTGCTGTCGTCACCTGGTCCCATCGAATGGGTTGGGGATGTCGAGTTGTCGTTTGGGGGG